ACTAAGACATGATCCTGCTTTCAATACTGTTATGTGCACCCCAATATTTTTAGAGGCACAGCTGCTTCCTTTCCAGTCAGTGCCAATCCTGTAGCTTCTTGCTGAAACCTTGTAACTTTATACCATAAATGTTCTGGGTCGTTGTTGGTTTCAGTTCTGCTTTTATTGCACTGTAGTCTCTACAGAAGGCAATAATGCAATAACTCTTGGGATGTATCAAAGAGCCACTAATAAAGCAGAATAATAATAAAGGGGATCCATAATGCCTGCTTCTTGGGAGAAAAGCAATGAGAAACCTAGACAGCATCTTAAAAAGCAGAGACATCACCTCGCCAACAAAGGTCCATATAGTTAAAGCTATGGTTTTCCCAGTAGTGATGTATGGAAGTGAGAGCTGGACCATAAAGAGGGCTGATCGTCGAAGAATTGATGCTTTTGAATTATGGTGCTGGAGGAGACTCTTGAGAGTCCCATGGACTGCAAGAAGATCAAACCGATCCATTCTGAAGGAAATCAGCCCTGAGTGCTCATTGGAAGGACAGATCCTGAAGCTGAGGCTCCAATACTTTGGCTACCTCATGAGAAGAGAAGACTCCCTGGAAAAGACCCTGATGTTGGGAAAGATGGAGGGCACAAGGAGAAGGGGACGAGAGAGGACAAGATGGTTGGACAGTGTTCTCGAAGCTACCAGCATGAGTTTGAGCAAACTGCGGGAGGCAGTGGAAGACAGAAGTGCCTGGCGTGCTCTGGTCCATGGGGTCACGAAGAGTTGGACACGACTAAACAACAACAACAATAACATGGGCAGTCCAGTAGAAATCCATCACGAATGCACTATCTTTTGCAACAGTGGCATGTTGCCCGATTGGGATCATAATGACATAAAATCCCCAAAACAGGCTTGTTTTGGTTCGCGGCTGCATGCCTCTCAGTTGTACAAAAATGAAAAACTTTGTTTCCTCTTGGTTGCATACTGTTTGGAATATGGCTCCATGTCATGAACTGGCAGGACAATGGGGAGGAGGGAAAGGACTGCAGTGAAGGGTGTAGTGACTGGGACATACCAGGGCAAGCTGGGGACGGGGAAGGAGAAGTTGGAGTAGGAAGTACTCATAGGGTGATGGAGGGTGGTGAGGGGTTGGGGGTCAGTGCACAGGAATCAGAGCATCAGGACCCATCACCAGAGCCAGAGGGGCGTAGGGAGCAGTGGGAGGGGTGCTCCAAGAGGCTGAGGTAGGCAAGGGCCCACAGCCCAGCCCCCTAGCTGGCCAGGTGGGGCTCGCTAGCTCTGGCAGGAGTGGTGTGTTTCCTCCCTTGGAGCAGGTGAGGGTCATCTGCCTCATCAGGCCCAGGTGCTGCAATCAGCCTGCAAAGTCCAACAGGGAAGCAGAGCTGAGGGCTGTGTCTCCTCAACTGCTCACGTTGATAGGCCTCAGCTTGGATTTTCCAGCATCTCTGTGGGACTGTGGTTCGGCTTGGGCTTTGGAAACATGGATTGACCCTGGACTGACTGAACTGACATACTGGACTGACATACTGACTATTTGCCAGGTAGGCCAGCAGTTCAGGACACTAGAAAAAGTAACACCGCATGCGAGAGCCTTATGTGGAGCCAGTGTGGTGTAGTGGTTAAGATCGGTAGACTCGTAATCTGGTGAACCGGGTTCGCATCTCTGCTCCTCCACGTGCAGCTGCTGGGTGACCTTGGGCTAGTCACACTTCTCTGAAGTCTCTCAGCCTCACTCACCTCACAGACTGTGAGGGAGGAAGGGAAAGGAGAATGTTAGCCGCTTTGAGACTCCTTCGGGTAGTGATAAAGTGGGATATCAAATCCAAACTCTTCTTCTTCTTCTTCAAACTCTTATGTGATACAGCAAAAGCAGTTTAATTTCAAGCAACATGGTGAGACTTTATTTCATAGACCACTTTGGAACAATTACAACAATCTTTGTTGGACATTTGGAATATATGGTTCTGATGTAAAACTGAAGGGAGAGGGGGGGTAAACCCCACCGTGCATTAGCGCTCCAGCTAACAATTGCTCCAGCTATGCAGGCCAGGTTGCTCTAGCTATGTAGGCCAGCAGTGGTTTTCCTGTCTGGCTTCCTGCCTCAGCTGTGCTGAAGATGCAAACATATACAATGCAAAGCAAACAATATATGCAAAGGTGGGGGGGGGCTTAGCTAGCCTAATAAGGTAATGAAGTGTATCTCTGCCTGTTGATTGGGGAGCAACTGAGGAGCCAAGCTTGCAGCTTCAGTATAAGAATGCTTGCAAGACAATAGGGAGGGCGGCCAGTCTTTGGAAGCTATTCCGCTGGCTGTCTCTGCGCAGATTCTGCAATAAACCTTTTTCTCTGTGAAACCCACCCTGGTGTTCGCTTGACTCCTTCACGCTCACGGCGAGGGCACAAGGTGACTGGATCCGGACCCCTTAGGTTCAGATATCCTAACAAAACAACAACAACAAACAAATAACATTTGGGAACAATATTATTTATTTGGCGTTTACTGGTGCCCTTGAAAAATATGAAAGGTGTACAATATGCTTATGACCTCCTCTTGTTTCATTACATTATGTTTTGTATTTTACAAGTTTTTTCATTTTCTTTTCTAAAATCTGAAAATCAACAAAGGTTATTTGTTATTGTTAAATGGTTGGTTTTTGCTTAAAATATTAAGTTTTGAGTTGCTGTGGCATAAATGTGGCATAAATGTGACATACATTTAATATATGATAATATTTGAAAAATCAATTAATTTCTTTTTTAAGGACATGTTACAGAATATACCCCCTCACACAAAATACTAGTTTGAAGGATCCCAAAGATGTTACCCCATGTAAGTATCTTTCCAAAAGGTCTGTGCCTTACTAAGTAGGAATAAGCGTTTAAGTGCAGGGAGCACTTTTACCTTTATACAATCATGTACACCTGTTCTGTGACAATTGTATTCACATGATTGCAACCATTGAGATAAGACACTTGCTTAATCAAGTTACTTAAGCTGTACTAGAGGATATATGATTTAAAATTATGAATAATGATTTAGATGGATCAAGGAAGGAAGATTAATTCTATTTGATTAATTGAGGAAATGGTCAGGTAAATGTTTCAACAGGAATTGAACATGCACAGTTGATGGAAACAGGAATGGATGGAAAAGTATTAGAAATTAAGAAAAGGTATTTTACTGTGAGCAGCAAAGGAGGGAGGGGGGAAAAGCATTTTTTGAGGCGGGGCGGAAAGTCAATTTTTAAATTGGTGTTCAACTCAAATTGTTAATTTGTTTAAAATTTGGAAAACTAATAAAAATTAATTGGCTTTTTTTAAAAAAAGAGGTAAGGTGTTTGCTGAGGAACCTATAATTTGACACAAAACACCTAATTCTGGAATTTTGTGTGAAATTTCAAAAGAGAAAGCACTCAGGTTGTAGGTTCAGGAAAAGCATTCAGGCCAGGGCTGGGGAGAAGAGAACAATATACTGAAAAGAGAACAATGCCTGGTTTATGGTGCAAGTCAGTTCAAAAGGCAGTATTGTTGAGTTCAGTGGGGCTTACTCTCAGGGAAGTGATATAGGATCGCAGCCTAAATTTGTTCTGGGATCTGTAACTTGACTATTGAATGGGGATGCATATTTTTCTGTTGGACATGTGTGAGTTCTTGCTGATGAAAGGCATTTTTGCTCATGAAAATGCAAAGACTGATACGCATGTGACAAATAATGGTTTTGAAATGGGTCCTGGAATTTCTGCCCCCTGTGCAAATATTCATGTCTGTGTTGGTTTCCAGCAGTTATGCTTGATGGCTTAATAGCCAAGATTAAGAGCGTACATTTTGACCTGAGCTGCATGCATCCCTCATTAGCAGGGCCCTGTTTGCCCCCCCAAACCTTTCTCCACCCCATTTTAAATGTGTAATAATAATAATAATAATAATAATAATAATAATTTATTACTTATACCCTGCTGGGTTGGGTTTCCCTAGCCACTCTGGGCAGCTCCCAACAGAATATTGAAAGTGCGATAAAACATCAAACATAAAAAGCATCCCGAAACAGGGCTGTCTTCAGATGTCTTCTAAAAATCAGATAGTTGTTTATCTCTTTGACATCTCAAGAGAGGGTGTCCCACAGGACGGGCGCCACTACCAAGAAGGTCCTCTGCCTAGTTCACTGTAACCTCATTTCTCTCAGTGAGGGAACTGCCAGAAGGCCCTTGCTACTGGACCTCAGTGTCTGGGCTGAACAATGGGGGTGGAGACGCTCCTTCAGGTATACTGGGCTGAGGCTGTTTAGGTCTTTAAAGGTCAGCACCAACACTTTCAAATGTGCTCGGAAATGTACTGGGAGCCAATGTAGGTCTTTCAGGACCGCTGTTATGTGGTCTCGGCAGCCGCTCCCAGTCACCAGTCTAGCTGCCGCATTGTGCATCCGATTCACCTAATTACAGGACGGTTTTTCAAACTTTTATCGAGCTCTCTGAGCGATGGGTTCAGCGTGGTCCTGGCTTTCTGTTTGCAGGAGGATCCTGCAATAATTACCCACCGTCGAGCAGAAGGCCTCTCCATTGTTTTCATGAACAAATGACCCCATACTTATAAAAGAAACAGTGCAACCCAAGGCGGCTGTTTTGCTCAGGTTGCAGTTACCAAAAGGCCTTTCGCATTTCAGCTGTCACTCTCTCTCACGCACAAGGAAGATCCATTTACTGCTGTGCCTTTCTTGGAGCAGGTGACACTGCATAGGTGGGCAAAGGAGGATCGTACTTGGTTTTTTAGGAGTTTGAAAGCTATTGTACCCATTTGCTTGCTTTTGCTGTCTGGAAGCCTCTGAGAACAGCATGGCATTTATAACCCCTACCAGTAGACCTTGTCATGGAAGCTACTGACGTGTCGGCTTTTGGGATTTGTCCTGCAGAGAGAGAACGACTCCTCGCTGCGCCTCCATTGTACAATGTTTCCTTCTCCCCTGAGCCACAGCCGTCGGCTAGAAAGGTCCAGCATGTTGGAATCGGCAGCGCACAGCAGCTCTGATTCCTTCCCCAACACTGCCCTAAACCTTCCCCTCAACTTGAATTCTACTTTGACCAAAGATGAGCGCATCGATCTCATCAAGGAGCAGGCTTTCAAGTCCTTTAAGCTGAAGGCTGAAAAGTGGAATCGCTTCGTCTCGACAGAGGAGAACCAAAGACTTTTATTGGATTTCTTGGATGAAGGTCAACATCCTTCGCTGGTCCTTTTCACCGGCCCTGGGGGCAATCTGTATGCAGGTGATGGGCAGGTAGGAGCAAAATACATAAAGTGTTGGCGTGTTCAGAAGTGGAAAGACCTGTGGGTTTGGGGAGCTAAGGACAGGTCATTCACTTTAGGAGTCAATTATTAAAGGACGTGGTGGTGCTGTTGTTTCCAGATGTGCGAAGCTCAGAGAGGAGGATAGGAATAATTCATACCACTTTGTTGTATGTGGTGGCTATGAGGAGGCAGCTCTCAAGAATAAAGTGAGCTTTTTGCTGAACTGTTGGCCAGGATATAGAGGAGAAATATTATGACGATTCCTTTCCAAACCTTTATTTGTGTGTGTGTGTGATTCTGATGCCCTAACTGAACTACAAAAAGGTGAATGGCATGGTGCCAAATACTGAAAAAATGAATTTGGGCCCTATGAAATCATGCTGGAATCCTAACTCCATTTACTGAGGAGTAAGTCCCATTGAATTACTTCTGAGTAGACATGGTTAGGATTGTTCTGCTATTTTATAACATTTTTCATATCTCAGCAGGAAGGTAAATAGTTTCCTTCACTATGCTGCTATACACAAAGGGTGTGTATCTAATAATAATAATAATAATAATAATAATAATAATAATAATAATAATAAAAAATACCCCCCGACCATCTTACTTGGTTACCCCAGCCACTCTGGGCAGCTTCCAACAAATATCTAGGCATAGTAAGACAGCAAACATTAAAAACTTCCCTTTACAGGGCTGCCTTCAGATATCTTCTGAAAGTTGTATAGTTAGTTATCTCCTTGACATCTGATGGGAGGGTGTTCCACAGGGTGGGCGCCACTACACAGAAGGCCCTCTGCCTATGCACATGTCTGAGCGAGCAAACACATTCCTGTTCCATTGATCTGAAAGACTATGGTGGTCATATAGGATTCGGGTGTCAAGAAAATACACTGACATAAAAAAGCTGATGAGACTGATATATACAGCAGCTTTTGACAAATGTATGTATTAATCCACCAACTAAATACAGCAAAACTGGGGACTGGGAAATGTCCATTTGTGTATTCCTACTTTCTTATACCAAATTGTTGTGCATGAACAATGCATACACATTATTTCTGCTGTTTGTTGGAGGGTTATTAAGTCAAGTTAGTGTTTGTGTTTGTGTTATTATCCTGCTGCAGTAAGATCCCCACAATTCATCTGATACTCTGCACAACTCTGGGAAATCTGAAATAACAACAACAACAACAATAATCTGGGTTTTCCCAGCTTTGGATAGATTGCTCCACTTTCTCATGATTATGACAACAAGGGCAGACTTAACAGTGCAGCTTTCTTAAATGTGTACAGAATGTTTTGAATTTTTTTAAGGGCTGGTATTTCTTGTTTTATTTGTCCCCCAGACACCGATTTCTTGGAAAACAAAGCTTCTCTATGTTTTGCGGAAAAGGACAGTAACCAAAGTATCCCAGTTTGGCTACAAGCAGGAGATAGAATTGGGAGAGGTCTCATCTCGACTTCTTGACCAAGTTCCCATTCTCATCAGCCAGGTAATCTAAAAGATGTGACTGCATGCCACTGATTATATTCAAAAATTTCAACATGACTTTTGTTTCCCTGTGTTTCCATATTCCACATACCTGCATTTAATTGGGTAGCAGGCTTGGAAGGTGAGTGGCTAACTATTGGGTCCACTGGAACTTACATTATCTACTTAATGCTCCTTAAATTCTTTCGAGGTGTCTTTGGTGAAATAAGAGGAGCTCATTATAAAGAATGCTGAGAGGGCCATCTCATCTTTCCGGCTACCTTGCCAAAATTAGCTATACCTGCAAATATAGGTCATCAGCTAGCAAATATTTTGCTGAATAGTTAAAATGAGATTTGTTTGATTAAGTGGCTCAGCAAATTTAATGCTTATTTGCAAAAAGAAAGAAAGCTGAAGGGGGAAATGGTTTGCAGTTATCTTTCTCTTACGGAAAAACAAAAACCGCAGCAGCACATTATTTGGTAGGACTTCGCATCAATGAAAACATCTCTCTCAGGTTTCAGGTTTCTGACCACATCCAGTGCCAGATTTATAAGCTAAACAAGCTCTAGCTTAGGGCCCCACTCTCTTGGGCCCCCCCAAAAAATAAAAGGGGAAAAAACTCCCAGGATGTACATTTCCAAAATAAAATATAAAAAACAAATAAAATAAAGCCCATATACAGCAACAGTGTTTTGTGTTGTGTAGGCTCCTATGATGTAAGTCAGGGGTCAGCAACCTTTTTCAGCCGTGGGCTGGTCCACCGTCCCTCAGACCATGTAGTGGACCGGACTATATTTTTTTTGGGGGGGGGGGGAATTGAACGAATCCCTATGCCCCACAAATAACCCAGAGATGCATTTTAAATAAAAGCATACATTCTACTCATGTAAAAACACGCTGATTCCCGGACCGTCCTCGGGCCGGATTGAGAAAGCGATTGGGCTGCATCTGATCCCTGGGCCTTAGGTTGCCTACCCCTGATGTAAGTAATGGAGGCCTGCTAGCCTACATATTTTGTTATGTGCAAATGGCTTTGGATACCTATTAGGTCCATAAATTACCATATAGCATATATTCAATGCAAAAAACCAGTGACAATTTGTTGTTGACAAAGGACAGCTGGACATATAAAGGGCCCCATTACCTTCCGTAGCTTAGGGCCTCATCAAACCAAAATCTGGCCCTGACCACACCTCAGACATACTTACTTCTATACTTGATGACAGGTTCTGTTGGTCATTCTTTCCAACCCGGAAAATTTCTGCGGCTGGCCCAGAGTAGCGCTGGAGGATGCAAGGAAGCATGTTGAGATGCTCAAAAACACGGTGTACGTTCTGCAAGGGCACGTGGCAAGGAGGACATACCTACCCCTCCCCACACTGACAGAAAATTTTGATGACGTGGCAATGTAAGTATTCGCGTTGGGTTCACATTTAGGAAGCGTATGTATCCTTAACATACTTTCAAAGCGCATCCCTCAAAGAATTCTGGGTGCTGTAGTTGTGTTAAGGGTCGCTGGGCATTGTAACTCTGTGAGGGATAAACTACAAGTGCCCAGAATTCTTTGAGGGAAAGAATGTGCTTTAAAAGGTATAGTGTGTCCACTGCCATGTTGTTGTTGTTGTTTAGTCGTGACTGACTCTTTGTGACCCCATGGACCAGAACACGCCAGGCACTCTTGTCTTCCACTGCCTCCCACAGTTTGGTCAAACTCATGTACACTGCCATAGTCTTCATATATTGAAAGCACATGTTGAGGGGGTTGTGGGGTCATGGTGGCTAGCTCTGCAACCATATCAGTAATACACATTTTAGTCATGTCTCCCCAACAGCTGGACCTTGGGCAGCTGTGTGAAGTGATCTATAGAGGTACCTATGTACCTATGTTCCCCTAGTGAGGGAGAATCTTTATGTGGTTGCTACCTATGACAATGGTCAGCATCTGGGTTGTTGCTGGGATATAACAACAACAACAACAGCAACAAGAACAACAACTTATTATTTATACTCCAACCGCTCTGGGTGGCTCCCAACATATCATCATCATCATCATCAATAAAGTGATAAAACATTAAACATTAAAAAACTTTCCTAAACAGGGCTGCCTTCAGATGTCTTCTAAAAGCCAGATGGTTGTTTATTTCCTTGACACCTGATGGGAGGGTGTGCCACAGGGCAGGTGCCAATACTGAGAAGGCCCTCTGCCTGGTTCCCTGTAACCTCACTTCTCACAGTGAGGGAACCGCCAGAAGGCCCTCAGAGCTGGACCTCAGTGTCCGGGCTGAACGAGGGGGGTGGAGATGCTCCTTCAGGTATACTGGGCTGAGGTATAGCCCCACAATCTCCCCACACATGCTTTCAATGCATTGTTGTTGCTTTCATGTGAACACTGTACTATTTCTGTACATAGCTATCAGCTCTCTGTCTTGCAGCCAAGGCCAGATTACTTACCCAGATTACTTCCAGATTCTATTGATGGGCTGTTACTGGGTTTTATTAGTCCAATTCGTGTCCTTCAGCAGTGAGCCATTAAAAAAAGGAGCCTCAGAATGGCACAACATTGGTCCCAATTCAGTTTGTACTTAGGCACGACTGGTTGGGCCAAATGTAAATGAACAACTGCATTCAAATGCATGCATGCCTTTATGCTCAAGCCTTTGAAATTATTGCAGCGTGGGTGGATGACAGTTGCATTCCAGTGCTACACCCAGCCCTAGGCTTTGGCTTGCTTTGAGCAATTCAAACTATAATAGCACACTTTCAAGATGCAATAAGTGAGAAGTGCAGTTTATAGAGCAATCCTATACATGTCTTGCTTGCTGGCTATACATGCCCACTCATAAGTCCTATTAAGTTCAATTGGTTAGTGGATATAAGATTGAGGCTCTATCTATCTAATTTATTATTTGCTATTGTGTGCATTTACCCTGTTAATGGTTAATACAAAGTCTCACTTTCATGCCCATGTAACCGGAGGAATGAAATCTGAACTGTCACCAAGTATAAATAATAGAAGATAAAATTAAACGGCTACACGTTTCCAAGATCAGTGTTGAATTTCTATTTCTTCTTTCCCTTTCTTTCTTTTTTTTTAAACCATAGGACACATTACACAGAAACAGCTTTGCTGTATACAGTTGAAACCATGGTAGTTCAGTGGACCCATCTCATATCTGATGTGCTAAGATTGGATTCAGCTCAGCTGCTTTTACAGGGAGAAAACCCCGGGCCTTCTGCAGAAATTCAATTTTGGCAGCAGCAAAAGGAAAATCTGCTGGGAATTTATGAGCAGGTAAGACAGATGTAGCAGGAGATGTTAAAACACTAAACCAATCAGTAACTTCAGGCATGTGCATGGTATGGTAAGTAGGAAGCTGCCGTTGACCAAGTCAGACTGCTCAGGTGTTGTCTCCTCTCAGTGACATAGTGTAGGTTGCCAGTGCCCGGGGCCACATGGAGGGGGTTGGTGCAAGAGAGGGAAATGGATCCAGTACTTATGCACATTCAGCTGCCTAACAGTGCCCAGATCACCAAGGACATCACAGCCGCAGAGATAGGAAAAGAAGAGTCTCCAGCTGTTTTTGGACTACAACTCCCATCATCCCTAGCTAGCAGGACCAATGGTCAGGGATGATGGGAGCTGTAGTCCAAAAGCAGCAGGAGACCCAAGTTTGGGAAACCCTGGTATAAAGAGACAAATGGTTATCAGGAGGACTCTTTAATTTCACCCATCCCAAGTGGTTCATTACATCAAAACTGGATCTCACCCTGCTTGGACCTTCCTCTTATTAAAAGGAAGATCCCAGCTGCTATGGGTCCAGCTTCCCAGCAACCCTTCATAAAAAAAGTGATCTGAAACTGGACAGCCATCACTTCAGCCAGTACTTGCTCTGAGAATTAAAGTAACTTCAACACAGTGTTGAGCCAGGGAATCTTCAGAGAGGAACTTGAAGCAGCTGCATTCTATGGTTCTGAAATATCCAGATGTTCCTTATGAAAAGAATTAAGCAGAGCAGTCAGGATCTATATTGAGTGTTATCTGCTCTCTCTTTGCAGCTGCAAAACCCAAAGGTTCACAAAGTAACGGAGATTCTAAACAGGAAAAGAAGCAGCTATTATCCTGGCTTTAAGCAGCTCACCTTAAAAGTTGAAGAAGGTATGAGGCTTTATATGCATGTAAATCTCTTAAATATTTCTAACCTACGGTACTTGGAGGGCACCTTAAAAATTACAGGGGAGGGAATTCCAAAGGGTGGGAGCCACAACACTTAAGGCCCAACTCCTATAGTGTGTGGGATGGGTGCCCTAATAAGATGGTATCTGCATTCTTTGTCCTTGAGAGGCTGTCCTTGAGGAGAATAAGAACAAATAAACTGTAGTTACAACAAATATCCATGCCCAAATGTCAAATGTGGCTCTCTCTGGAGAGCAGTTGAGCCGCCACATTTATACCAGCTGCATCTTCTCAAGGACAGTCTCCTCAAGGACAGCCTCTCAAGGACAAAGAATGCAGATACCATCTTATTAGGGCACCCATCCCACACACTATAGGAGTATCAGCTGGAGACTCTTCTTTTCCTATCTCTGCAGCTGTGATGTCCTTGGTGATCTGGGCGCTGTTAGGCAGCTGAATGTGCATAAGTACTGGATCCCTAATAAGATGGTATCTGCCTGCAGACCACCTGGGATGCAGGTGGTGCTGTAGTCCAAACCACTGAGCCTCTTGGGCTTGCTGATCAGGAGGTTGGCGGTTCAAATCCCTGTGATGGGATGAGCTCCCGTTGCTCTGTCCCAGCTCCTGCGAACCTAGCAGTTTGAAAGCATGCCAGTGCAAGTAGATAAATAGGTACCGCTGTGGCAGGAAGGTAAATGGCGTTTCCATGCGCTCTGGCTTCTGTTGTGCGAGAAGTGGTTTAGTCCTGCTGGCCACATGACCTGGAAAGCTGTCTGTGGACAAACGCCGGCTGCCTCGGCCTGAAAGCAAGATGAGTCGCCTTTGACTGGACTTAACAGTCCAGGGGTCCTTTACCCTTACCTTACCTAAGGCATGAGGCAATCTTCCAGGTAACCTAGTCAAACGTTGTACAGTGCTGAACATGAAAACCAGCACTTTGAACTTAGCTTGTTAGCAAATTGGCAGCAAGTGCAATTCTTTCAACAGTGAGTGGACTAACATATTGGTGGTACGCTGCTCCAGAGAGCAGTTGAGCCGCCACATTTATACCAGCTGCATCTTCTCAAGGACAGTCTCCTCAAGGACAGCCTCTCAAGGACAAAGAATGCAGTGCAGTTATCCCATCTGGAGGTTTACTAGCTTGCAGGGACAGAGGAAGGGGGGTGCAGTGGTGCGGGCAGCCCCGTGTGTCACCTCTGAGGGGGGTGACAAAATGGCGGGCAGCACTCACCGTGGGGCCTGCAGCATGCCCGAGCCACACGTCTCTCCTGGGAGAGACGTAGTGGCTTGGGTGCGCGCAGGCTCCGCGTTGCCCAAACAGTCTGCCCACTGCCTCCCCCTCAGCTGTAGGGCGGCTGAGAGGGAGGAGGCAGGCTGACTTCTCGGAGGCCCCACGGAGCGGCCTGCCCCATCTGGCCCTGCCCCACGGGTGGCTGGTGCTGGGCACGCGCACTGTCGCAGGTGCCCGATCAGCTTACAGTGGTACCTCGGGTTAAGTACTTACCGTAATTCGTTCCGGAGGTCTGTTCTTAACCTGAAGCACCACTTTATCTAATGGGGCCTCCTGCTGCTGCTGCACCACCGGAGCACAATTTCTGTTCTCATCCTGAAGCAAAGTTCTCAACCTGAAGCACTATTTCTGGGTTAGTGGAGTCTGTAACCTGAAGCGTATGTAACCTGAAGCATATGTAACCCGAGGTACCACTGTACTCCACTGCTGCTGGCTCGTGGACAACAGTTGTCTGGTTATCCCAGTCCAGAAATGGCCATAGCAATCTTACCAGTCAAAGCTGGTCAAAAGTACTCTGAGCCACCGAGGTTACTACATCACCATCATTTGTACCCTGCCCATCTGAATGGGTTGCCCCAGCCACTCTGGGTGGCTTCCAGCATTTAGAAAAACATAATAAAACAGTAGAAACTGCCTTCAGATGTCTTCTTAAGTTACTTATCTCCTTGACATCTGATGGGAATATTACTATTAATTTTGCTTTGATTAATCAGGCAATAAATGTGTTTAGTTTAACACACTACCTCAAACAGTAACAGGGTGATGACAAGCATAGTGCACACAGACTTGGGTTGGATCTGGCAAGCTTCGCTTTGTAGAAGAGCTTAAGATCTAGCGAAGGTTCACACAGGTGGAAGTGATTCCCCCCCATTCCCTGGACAAACTTACTGCTGGAAGTAGATGATAGGAACTTGCTTCACCTGTGATCCTGAGGAGAGAGAAGAGAGCAGGGGAGAAGTGGCAGGAGAGACCTGTTCAGGAGGGGTGGACTGGGTGTATTGGAGTGCGGTGAGTTTGATTATTATTGGTTGTTGACTGCTGTTCTTGCAATTGGTGTGTTCAATGATCACTGGCTGTTGTGTGTAAGGAGCACAAGTAAACCCTGCTGAAGCTGTAACGGTTGTGTGGGTGGTTGATGAAAGTGAAAGACTGTTAAAATAGTTGCCTGGAGGGTGTAAGTTTTTGAGAACTTGATTTATGTCTATTAAGGTGTGTGTACCTCTGGGTTTCTGTATCTCCCCCATCCTAATCTCTCTAACCCAGGGGTCAGCACACTTTTTCAGTAGGGGGCCGGTCCACTGTCCCTCAGACCTTGTGGGGGGCCGGACTATATTTTGAAGAAAAAAAATGAACGAATTCCTATGCCCCACAAATAACGCGGAGATACATTTTAAATAAAATGGCACATTCTACTCTTGTAAAAACACGCTGATTCCCGGACCGTCCGCGGGCCGGATTTAGAAGGCGATTGGGCCGAATCCTGCCCCCAGGCCTTAGTTTGCCTACCCATGCTCTATACTTTAGAATAGGCATAGGCAAACTCGGCCCTCCAGATGTTTTGAGACTACAATTCCCATCATCCCTGACCACTGGTCCTGTTAGCTAGGGATGATGGTATTTGTAGTCCCAAAACATCTGGAGGGCCGAGTTTGCCTATGCCTGCCTTAGAATTGTATATTGTGATTATTATTGTTACATCTGTTGATACTGTGTAGTATTGTGCATCTATGTTCTTGAGTTTTCTTTTCTCTTTAAAAATGGTTAAAATTGTGTTTATTCTATATTTATGTACCTGGATGATGTCTTAAAATGTAAACTGTTGATGATAAGTGGCTATAAAATGACGATGATGAAGTTGAAAGTATTTTAAACTATTTTCAGCGGTTTCTGAAGCTCAAGATATTTGCCTATATCTGGGCCCTTTGAAATGCTATATTGCCTACTTGGAAGAATCCAGCTTCTCCAATATTGAACGTCTCATTGCTCCCCTTTTCCATACCATCTGTCTGATCTGGACCCATTCCAAATACTACTGCTTCGCCAACAGAATTGTTGTCCTGCTACAGGAGTTTTGCAATCTTCTAATTGACAGGGTAAGGAAAATGTACTTTACACGTTTCAGTTAGCAAGTTATATGTTTCTTTGATAAAGGATTTAAATACTGACATCTGCCATATTAAGTTGCACTTTATGGGTCCCAGTTAGTGTGCACAAACTATTTAATCATATTCTCTTTGCTGGTCCAAGTTGTGCTTTGCCTCGCTGAAAAGCCAACATTGCTTTTTCAAAAGAATGCTTGTATCGCCTGCCAATATATCACTTTTGTGCGTTTAGTATTGGAATGCTTTCATTAAAGTAGCTTGTCTATTCTTGCGGCACAGGTGGTTGGGAATCTAGTAATCTGACTTGATTTTTTTTTAAAAAGAAGTTCATGATAATAAAAGATAAATAACAAGATAAATGCACAGGTGTAAAAATGTTAAACTCCATAGAGAGATTTACGATCAAGATTTTCAAGTGTGACAAATGATTTTGGGTAACTTTGATGGATAAAATCCAATAGGGTCCTAGCAAGTCAACTAGCCAACTGCCTGCAATGAGCAAAAGCCAATAGATTTAACCTCTGCTCTTTTTGGAATACCAATTTTACATTACAAAATTGGAGTTTGAAAGTTGGGTGCCATTCTCTCACTCTAGGTTATAAGTAGTCTTTTGGGTTTTCTATTATTAGATCTCTTCTCCTGCTGTGCACAGTGAAAGCAGCAATCCCTCTTGCTGTTCTGGCTTCTGTGATAGCTGTGCAGCCTGCATTCGCTCCATAAGACGCACACACATTTTCCCTTACTTTTTAGGAGGGAAAAAGTGAGTCTTATAGAGCAAAAAATATGGTAGATCTTTTCACTTTGCCTAATGCAGAGAGACCTCAGAGTATGCATCCATATACACAGTTTGGGGTGTGTGTATCTGTGTGTATCGTATCCTATTTATCTACTTGCACCCGGGGGTGCTTTCGAACTGCTAGGTTGGCAGGCGCTGGGACCGAACGACGGGCGCGCACCCCGCCACGGGGATTCGAACTGCCGACCATACGATCGGCAAGTCCTAGGCGCTGAGGTTTTACCCACAGCGCCACCCGCGTCCCTTCTGTGTATATATACCTGCACACAATTTTATTATCAATTTATTAATTTATATGCTGCCCAACTGACTGGGTTTATACCACTTAATAGAAACAAACCTCTAGGCTTACATAATAACATTAAGAACGCAACAATAACATTGAGTAAAATTTCCTTAAAATGACATAAAATCGGGGGGTGTTAAAAAATGTAAAGGTAAAGGATCCCTGGACAGTTGTGGCGACTATGGGGTGTGGCACTCATCTCGCTTTCAGGCCGAGGCAGCCAATGTTTGTCCACAGATAGCTTTCCAGGTCATGTGGCCAGAATGACTAAACTGCTTCTGGTGCAATGGGACACCGTGACAAGTGCCAGAGCACACGGAAACGCCGTTTACCTTCCCACCTCAGCGGTACCTATTTACCTACTTGCACTGATGTGCTTTCGAACTTCTAGGTTGGCAGGAGCTGGAAAAGAGCAATGGGAGCTCGGACTTCCGGGTTGGCGCCTCTGGCAATGACGGATTTCCTCTGATCGGGAGGAACCCGCTCCGTGAAAAACAGGGTCTGAACCGCCACGGCGAGGCGGAGACCCATTAAAAACCACAGGCGGGAGAAGCCTGTGGACGTGGGATTCGGCTGGCACCTTTGCGCCTCCCCTACCCGCGGGGAAACCCTGTTTTGGGGATCCGGAGCGATGTGGGGTGAGTGGCACGGTGCTTTGAATCGACTGCTTCTTTCACGGAGTGAAGCCGTATTGCTGTTGCCGGAGAGCGCTGACTTTTTCCTGTGGACAATTGGACTTTTAACAACTACTCGTGAGTAAAACGGAAAATTGGATTTTTAAATACTTCAATTTGGCACTGAAACGGGAAGGTTATAAACAGGAAGTCCGCCTCCCATTTTTGTAAATAGACGGAAGCAAAGACGTTACAAGTAAAGCCTTTGAAAGCTTTTGGCAAAGGATCAAATTTCCACCGGTTTAAAGTTACAAAACCCCCTTTGGAAGCAGGAGAAGAGGGGGAAATTTTGGATCTAGTGAGCCTGCAGGAGAGAGTGAAAAAACCAAATTACCACTGCTCTGAACCTGGGAACGGGCTGCCAGATGACGTTTGGAGAGAGTGCTTTTGACAGAACGGATTTGACAGCTAGCTAAACAAGAGTAAGATACTGTTTCCATTTTCCCTTTCTGCGTTTACACAAAAAGAGGAAAAGTAACTGAAATTTTATCTTTAATGTTTGAAATTGTGCTTGAAAGAACTGATACAAGTGGAGACTGTTTCCCTCTAGAGGGAGCTTTTGAAACTGTAACAGGACTGTAACTGGGGAATTTCCAGCTGCAGAAAAGGAGTTTGGGAACCAGAGAGTGACCTTGGACTATTTAAAAATGTTGACAGGAGAGGCCATTGTGACTGTTTTATGTAAGATAAGCTGTTCGCTGGGACAGCTTCACAAGAAGATGGATGATATGACTCTCAAAGTTGATAATTTGGAACAGAAAGTGACCAACTTGAGTCAAAAAGCGAACACTAACACAGAAATAATTCAGTACTTGGTACAGGAACCCATTTTGGCAGGTCAAATGGTGGAGGAGAAGGAGAATGCAGCTGTTGTTCCACATAAAATAATACAAGTGAGATCTGTGGATTTACAGAAGCAAATTGGAGATTATAAATTGAGGCCTTCTATGATTGAATCCAGGAAAAGCCAGACTCCGAGGAATGGATCCCGGTTTGGATTAAAGAAGGAAAGTTGGACAGAGCCCTCTATGCAGGGATTAACTGATTTTTGGGACATGGACTCGGGCCTGGAGGAGACTGAAGTTTTGGGGGCCTTTGGAATTGGAGGAATTTTGAAATATACCCGGAAACACCTTATGGACTGTAGTTTTAACTATGGAAATTCAGCTGATCTGTTAAGAAGGAAGAAAAGGATTGACAGGTTGGAATTTCCCCGAGATTGGCTCTTTAGCATTAAAGAAAATGAGGAAGACCTGCAGAAGGGACTTGGAAAAGAGTTAAGAGCCTCGGACATAAGATCACCAGGTTGATGGACTTTATGGAATTGACGGAAAGGATTGGCAGAATCCGAAACCTGGGAGAGGAGATGGTGGAAGAAGATTGGAAAATTTAAAGTTTTTTATATAGACTTATGGCAAAACTAATGAGTGATAGAAAAATGGTGGAATGGTTTTTTTATTTTTATTTTTTTATGGGCTTAACAGAAATGTTATAAGGAGTTAAGCACATATAAGTAATTTAGTTTTAATGGAAAATAAGGTTAAAATAATACGTTATTTACAATATCACAGAAAATGGAGAAAGATGGAAAGGATTTGCTGAAACAATTAATAGAAGCGGAACACAAAAAGGGAGGTGTGGGGAGGTCGAGGAAACAAGGGAACGAAAGATAGAGTATGGAAAAGAGAGGATGTATGTTTTTAAATTGTTTTTGTTTTGGGGAGTGGGGCTTGTCTCGTTTAGCTTAATATGTTTAGTTTTGAGTTTAGGTTGTGTTTTGTATTGTTTATATATTGTATTCTATTGTGTTTCTTTTTCTTTCTCTCTCTCTGTTTTTTCTTTCTTTGCTTTTTCTTTTGTTTTTTCTCTTTTGCTTTTTTTCCTCTCTTTTTGTGATCTATAAAAGTAATAAATATTATTTTCTTTTAAAAAAAGAGCAACGGGAGCTCACCTTGTCATGCAGATTCAAACTGCTTACCTTTCGATCAGCAAGCCCAAGAGGTTCAGTGGTTTAGACCACAACACCACCTATGTCCCTTACATAAAATAACATAGGGGACAAATCAAATATAAGGGGTGGGGAGAACAAAGCAAAAATGATATATTTCAAATAAAACTCAGCAGTGATCAAAACAGCGAAATAAAAATTAAGGGTTCTGGAAAGGCCATTACTGTCTCCACCTCACAAATTACCTGTGGGATGGATGCATTCCAGAGGATGGGTGCTATCGCTGTGAAGTTACCAGTGTATGGACCGTTTTGGCAAGGCTATTTTTGTTCAGGAGCAGTCATGGTTGGCAAACCAACTGAAGTTGGTAGTGAGTATGTGCAGACCAGAGATTGACCAAATGATACCCTAAAGATGCTGTTGGACTGCATCTCCCATCATCCCTCACAGCTGCTCATGCTTTCTGGGGCAGCTGGGAGTTGTAGTTATGGAACCATAGAATTGTAGAGGAGGCAACATCTGGAGAGCCAAAGGTTTCCCTCACCTGATCTATGACTACCCTGATATATATTTATATCTCTGAGTGTTTGTATCTCTAGCTATCGTCTAAAAAGTCAAGAATCTCAGAAGAATGTAGCATAGAGCAAAGAAAACAATTTTTTGAAGTTATAAATAATTGTAAGGTAAAGGTAAAGGGACCCCTGACCATTAGGTCCAGTCATGGCCGACTCTGGGGTTGCGGCGCTCATCTCGCTTTATTGGCTGAGGGAGCCGGTGAAAAGCTTCCGGGTCATGTGGCCAGCATGACTAAGCCGCTTCTGGTGAACCAGAGCAGCGCACAGAAACGCTGTTTACCTTCCCGCCGGAGCGGTACCTATTTATCTACTTGCACTCTGACATGCTTTCGAACGGCTAGGTTGGCAGGAGCAGGGACCGAGCAACGGGAACTCACCCCGTTGCGGGGATTCGAACTGCTGACCTTCTGATTGGCAAGTCCTAGGCTCTGTGGTTTAACCCACAGCGCCACCCGCGTCCTATAAATAATTGTACAGTTGCGGATAATATGAGCATATCTTGCCATGCACCTGGCTGCATCAAGCTCTTGTAAGAAATGCACAGATTCAAGTATACGGAACCACAATAACCAGAGAGTTTTAAAGAGATGGTTATCCAATATATTGATTTATGCCTAGTGCCTTCATTGAGTTCATTATGTGATCCACAGTAAATAATGTAAATGCAAACTACATAGCATTGGGGTGGGGGTGGGGACACACATTATTATGAGATCCACAAATAAAGCAGTGATAAATGGTATATGATTTGGAGGGTCATTTATAAATTCATTGTGTTTTATGTGGAGTCCAATATTGATCCTTTTTTTAAAAAATGGAGAAGTTTATGTGTATGCCTCCATGTGCGCTCCCATCTTTCTCTTTCTTAAACACACACACACACACACACACACTCACTTACACACTTGTTTCCAGGCTGTTCTGAACCATCCGTTTCATGTGCTCCATCACTTAATAAATGCACAGAGCAACACTGGCCTCTTCAATTGCATAGATATCTCTGGCTCAGAATTTCATATAGTTAACATTGTTATGATATTATATCAGAGGTGTTCAAGACCCACAAGTGAGGTGAGCAGGTGCGAAAAAGCCAACAGCAATGGTAGAAGTTTGCCTTCCAATCAATGGCAAGCAACCCATTTCCCCATCAACCTGATATGTAATATTACATTTATATACCATTTGTAAGGTGTAGGCAACCACTCAAAGTAATAATAATAATAATTTATTTATACCCCGCCCATCTGGCTGGGTTTCCCCAGCCACTCTGGGCACCTTCCAACAAAATATTAAAATACAAATACAAGCAGTTTGCGGTGGCAATTAATTAATTAATTAATTAGTTAATTAAAATAATAAAAATAATTTTATTATTTTTACCCCACCCATTTGACTGGGTTGCCCCAGCCACTCTGGGTGGTTTCCAATGCATATGAAAACGTAATTTAAAAAAAAAACACTTTGAAAGGCTTCCCTATACAGTGGTGCCTCTGGATATGAACAGGATCCGTTCCGGAGCCCCGTTCGCATCATGAAGTGAATGCAACCCGCGTCTGCGCGTGCGTGGGTCGCGATTTGCCGCTTCTGTGCATGGATGTGACGTCATTTTGAGCATCTGTGTGAGCGGCAAAACCCGGAAGTAACACGTTCCGTTACTTCCGGGTCGCCGTGGAGCGCAACCCGAAAATGCTCAACCTGAGGCAACTTCAACCCGAGGTATGACTGTACAGGAATGCCTTCAGATGTCTTCTAATGGTTACCGTATTTTTCGCTCTATAAGACGCACCAGACCACAAGACGCACCTAGTTTTTGGAGGAGGAAAACAAGAAAAAAAAATTCTGAATCTCAGAAGCCAGAACAACAAGAGGGATCGCTGCGCAGTGAAGCAGCAATCCCTCTTGCTGTTCTGGCTTCTGGGATAGCTGTGCAGCCTGCATTCCCTCCATAAGACGCACACACATTTCCCCTTACTTTTTAGGAGGGAAAAAGTGAGTCTTATAGAGCAAAAATTACGGTAAATGGTTAACTCATCTCCTTGAGATCCAATGGGAGGACATTCCACAGGGTGGGTGCCACTACTGAGAAGGCTCTCTATGTAGTTCCCTTTAGCTTCACTTCTCGCATTGAGGGAACCGCCAGAAGGCTCAGAGGTGGACCTCAGTGTCCGGGCTGAACAATGAGGGTCCTTCGGGTATACAGGGCCAAGGCCATTTAGGGCTTTAGAAGTTAGCACCAATATTTTGAATTCTATACATACACACACAAATACACATATATACACATGCAATAAAAATGAGCAACAGAGAGAGCTTCTATAAAAGCCAGGTAAAAGCCAGGTGTTATTTTTTAAAAAATAGATACGGTCTCATAGGAACCTCTCTTTGCAATTGGAGGCACTATGCAGAGGGGAAAATAAAATAGGGAGTGGGGAAGGGAACTTGTAAAACTATCCTCATTTCTTCCCTCCATTGCCTTTTGGGTTGGCTTTGTCTTCTGTGTGATTGCATACGAAACTGCAAACTTCTTAAAACTAATGAACAACAGGAGAGGGCAGGCTTAAACTGACAGAAAGCAGGGAAGCCAAGCTAGCTGCGAGTCTGAAACTGCTCTTAAGTCCCTGCGTGCACAGGAAACGCAGCACATATGGAATGCAAAATTATCCAGTGTTCAGAATCCCTGCTGTATCTTGGCATTGCAGAGCCAGAGAAGAAGAGCCATTCAAATTTAACCCTCGACTGCCTGCATAGTGTTGTCGATGCCAAGCAGCTGAGACTTGCATCAAATGGCATTCAGCATTAGAATTGTTGCTGATTGCTGTGTTTCTCCCCTCTTTTTAGGGAAACAATTTAGCTCCTTTGCTATTCTTGGTAGCAGATCAATGCCATGAAAGTTCTCGACAGAGGAGAAATAAGTAGATAAAGAGGGTGTGTTGTGAACATCATGTACAATAATAAAACTTTAAGCAGGGGTATTCCCGGAGGAAACTGCTAACATTTTGCAGCCATCCTGTTTCAGAGACAATTGATGTTATGAAGTGTGTGTGTGTGTGAACATCTATGCTAAGAAGATGACAGGCATGGCAATCGGTTTGCAACAAACTGACGAATGGTGTCATGGGTGGACGTCCGTATGTAGCTAAGGCAATATTAGCTCTGTGCCCTTTCACCCTCAATAAAGGGGACACGGGTGGTGCTGTGGTCTAAACCACTGAGCCTCTTGGGCTTGCCGATCAGAAGGTCCAGTGGTTTGAATCCCTGCGACGGGGTGAGCTTGTTGGGATTACACTCCTCCCGAGCTGCAGATGTGTGGGATTATTGCATGTCACCTGTCTGTTTACATTCCAGCACAGATTGTTGGAGTCCATGAGCAGAACTTCTGCTCTGTGTTGCTTTTGTTTTTAGTCTCTTTCCGAGGAGATGGCAAGGAGAGATGCCATGTTTTTTTTGTCCTAATTTATGTATAATAAATGCGTAGTTTAGTATGTGTCCATGCCTCAAGCTTCATCTGTTGCACAGTTTACACTGCTGAGTAATGTGTGCTCAAGCCTGCTCAGCTTGAGTCACAGACGCACATCGGAGGAGCAGAGGTTGATGGATCTCCACAGCGGCAAGGCTGAGAGGGAGACTCTCCAGCTGGGGCTGAGCCAGCTGGCTTTTTGTCCCCCGATTCTGACAGAGCTCCCGTTGCTCTGTCCTAGCTCCTGCCAACCTAGCAGTTTGAAAGCACGCCAGTGCAAGTAGATAAATAGATACCGCTGCGGCGGGAAGGTAAATGGCATCTCTGTGTGCTCTGGTTTCCTTCACAGTGTTCTGTTGTGCCAGAAATGGTTTAGTCATGCTGGTCACATGACCCAGAAAGCTGTCTGTGGACAAACACTGGCTCCCTCGGCTTGAAAGGCGAGATGAGCGCCGCAACCCCCATAGTTGCCTTTGACTGGACTTAACCGTCCAGGGGTCCTTTATCTTTTACCTTTAATTTGCCCTCAAGCAGTCATTGGACTCCAATTCCATCATCCTCAGCCACTATGGCCAATGGCCAGGGATGATGGGAACTGGCGGCCAGCAGTATCTGGAGGGAGGGTGGGCCCTGGTGCCGCTCACTTCTGCTGTATAGAGTTAACTACTATGGGGTGTTAGGGGAGGGGTAGTGCCTCTCTTGGGGGACATAGTGTTCTCCTTCTGGGGTAGTCTGTCCACCTTTGGTGCTCACCCTGCTCTCAGCTCTCACCTGTGGCTCCTGGAAACTGTCAGCATGCAACAGCCACCACACCCCTGGAAACTGCTTCAACTGGCTGAATAAACCAGGTGAGGATAGCTGATGGGTCTCAAACCCACAGCGAGCTGCATGCCAAGACAGGTGGGTTGAGCAGACAAGACCAACAGTGGGTCGGTCCTATCGTCAAGAAGGCAGTTTCTGCATATGCTGCAGAGGGGAGTGAAGGGCAGATGGGGCTCATCAGCCTGGGATGGTAACCCATCTAAGGAGAAGGGAAACCTCCAACCCTAAACCTTCGCTGCCTTGTACTCCTGCTTCTGGCAACTCCTGCAGCCAAGCTGATGCCAAACATATTGGCCTGCTGTCCTTTGGACCATATGAGCAAGGCTGAGATGGGGGAGTTGTCCGTGTCAGTTTGCATTTCTTAGTACAGAAAGTACTGGTCTGATGTGTATACAGAAAGTATTGATCTGATCTTTCCTATTGCTGAATTCAAGAGTGTTCTGGAAAGTTTTCTTTCTATGTGAAAGAAACAGGCAGAAGGTTCTTGTTTGGGTTATTTCTTCTGAGAAGCTAAGTACAGCTGGTTTAAACTGGTTCTGTTATCTTTCTGTCAAGATCATGCTGATTATAATAGTAAGGTCAGAAGGAGCCTGAACTTACTTTTCTCTATGCTATAGTGTTAAGATTTAGTTTTATTATAAGTCATTGTAAGTTTTATTGTAAGTGCTGCAACTGGATTTTTATCGATTGTGCCAATCCTGAATGTATTGGATTTGTGACTATTATGCTCATTTGCCTTCAGTAGCAGTAAAGCTCTGCTGGATGAAGTACAATTGCCTCTGGTCTATTTTTTGGGAACTCTGCATTGTGTTCAAGTCCTCCCCCCCAGAGGGGCACAACAGTCTGGGCTTCCCAGGACCTCCATACACACTGCCCAAGCTTGTGTCTTGGAGATGTCCCTTTGGTGCTGCTTATACAGCTCACCCCTGGAGGCGCACTCCATTGTCACTTAAGACAACAACAGTTATTGGGAAGACTGGAGGCAAAAAATTCTATTCTATTGCAAAAATAGAAATGGCTAGAAATCTTGCGTTCATCTTTGAAGGCCATCATCTGACATCAATGTGCCAACACCCAGATGGAGCTCCTGTTCCAATGAATGGGAGCGCTGAATTAGCAGATTCTGTATTGAAATGACTGGAAACTGCTTTAAAGGCAGGGGAGCTCAGAGCATGCACCGGAGCCATTCTGCCTGTAGCACACCATTAGATCAAAGGGTCTGGTTCACATTCCTGTACTCCTGCAAAAATCCCCATTCGTTTCAACTAGTGCCTTCACATGGCGTCACCGTAATTTGTATAAACTGGAGCAGCCTGGAGAAGCGCCCCCAGGATCATGTAAATGGAAGAAGCCACAAATATACCGACTCTTAACTCGTCATCATTGGCAGCATCTCTCCGAATGAATTTTGGCTCTGTCTTGAGCGCGCATCTGGAGGTTGCAAGCCTATCAATAGCCCTGTGTACTCCCAAGGCACTTGCTTGTGTGGGTCCTGCTATGATTCATTGCGAACTGGTCCCAGCTGTGATTTAGCAGGTGCTGTTGCTGCATGACCTCCATCGCTTGGAGTAGCATACAAGGGCTATGCCTCAGGGTTGCATGTCCTGTTTTTCACCCGCAGTACAGATTCGGCAAGAGTTGTCATTTAAATAAATGAGAAGGTGGGTGGGTGGGAGAGAGGGGAGGACTGTGCAAATGGAATTCTGCTCATCCTCCTTTGGATCCAAGCCAATTGACTCTCTTTGCTTCAGAACTATTGTTTTTACTCATGCAAATTTGATTGATTGATTGATTGATTGATTGACTGAAACTCATACAATGAGTCAACTAAGATTTATTTAATCATCTGACAGCTCTAGTTAAAAGGGGTCCTATCATATGCAAATACAAGGCAATCAACTGGGATAATGAAATTCTGGCCAGACTAGTTGATTATTGCACAATAATTAGACATATGCACTCACTTCTTAAATAAATGAAAAATGAAACAAATGACCCCATTTGTTTGTTTTAGCAGTGAAAATGAAAAAGAATTCAAATGAAAAATTAATTTGTTTCTTACTTGTTTTGTTATTTTCACATACTTTTCCAGTGGAATAATAATTTAAAAAAAACACACACACCCTGAAAATATCCTGGAAAAGGCTGTACAGTTCACCAAAAGGTTACTGGGAGGGAGGAACGCAGTGTGATTTAGCTTACTTTTTACTTATGAAATGATCTGTAAACAACAACCCACAAGAAAAGTCAAGGCAGTAGGTAATAAAATCATTAAAATATTATAAAATTATAAAATTGACAGCTATTGTTATTATTAGTCATTAAAATTCTATACTGTTCTTCATCCAAAGACCACAGAATGGCTTACAATATAAAAATGCAAAAATACATACCATAAAACAAACAAAAGCCAATAAGTCCCCCCTCCCCGCAGTTTGACAGGCCATAGACTGTTTAATTAACCAAAGGCCTGGAAGAAGAGGAATGTTTTTCCTTGGTGCCTAAAGATACATAATGAAGGTGTCAGGCGAGTTTCCTTGGGGAGAGCATTCCACAAGTGGGGAGCCACCACAGAAAAGGCCTGCACTTGGCTTGCCTGCCTCCAAACCTTTCATGGAGGAGGCACATGAAGAAGCTTCTCAGATGATGATTGCAGAGTTTGGGGCGGTTTTTTGGGGGGAGAGGCTGTCCTTGAGGTATTGTGGTCCTGAGCAGTTTAAGACTTTACAGGTCGAAACCAGCACTTTGAATTGGGCCCAGAAACCGTCGGCAGCCAGTCCAGTCAGACTAGGATTGGTGTTGTATGCTTAAACTGTCTTGCCCCAGTGAGCAACCAGGCCACCAAATTCTTCACCAGCTGAAGTTTCTGAACCATCTTGAGAGGCAGCCCCATGTGTAAGGTGTTGTAGCAATGTAACCTAGAGGTCTGCAGACCATACACCACATAAGTTAGGCTACCCCTGTCCAGACATTGGCGCAGCTGGGCCACCAGCCAAAACTGATGAGTTGTAGTCTAGCAACATGTTTCCCATGACTGGTCTAGAAGGTAGCAGAATGCTTAAGATTCTCATACAAATAGGATATGAAATACAGAAGTGGAAGAGCAGCTGGATTTCCCACTGAAAGCAACAGGAAGCTCATTAAAAAGTGTAACCTTGGAAATGGGAAACCTTTACCCTATCAAGGTGAAATTTGGCAGGTCAGATGTTTTGGAGAGGTACTATAATATCTGCAGATGTCATGCCATTTGGATGGAAAACACCAAGATTACAGGCAGCAGAATACTCTGCATCTCCCATTGAAATAAACAGAAAATGAAAATGGATGTGAATAATGAAAATGAACGGGTTACTTCCAAATTATTTATGACAATGACTGCAGAGCAAACAAGTGAACAGTGAAGAAAATGAAACAAGTGAAGTGACTAATTTGGGAGGGGGAGCATTTAATTGCATCCTTGCACATTTCCTTTGGTGACTTTTAGTCACAAAAAAGCATTGCCATAATCATTACTGAAATAGAATGATAAATAATTCCGGTCCACCAGAATCTGCCCTTGTGTTTTGGGGTTAAAAGGAGGCTGGAGAATTGTCCCAGCGGTATAATATTGTGAATGGCTGAAATCCCATGTTAGATGAAGATTTCAAAATACAGCTTTAAAAATAATTTTCATTTGCTGGATCTTTTCTGCCGAAACAGGCTTTCTCGTTTCTAATCCCTGAGGAGATCTTCACGATGGACCTGGAAGAGGGATTGGAAAAAATAAAGCAAACAATACAGACCTTCAGAATGTTCAAGAATACATTTTCTACGTGTCAAGAAAAGCTTGCTTGCGATCATAGAAATGATCACAGTGTGAAGCAGTGGGACTTTCCCTCTCACCTGGTGTTTTCTAGGTTGGATAAGATCCTTCAGAGGTTGCTGCATATTGAGGTAGAATTTTTAATGTTTATGGTCAATGTCCATTTAGACTTACAATTGGTCTTCAAAGCATATTTTAAATTTCATTTATAGGAAAGATTTTACTTGGTGTCACTGCTAGTTAATCCTCTTTTCTCAGGGATTGGATTTACCTAGCCAAATACTTGCTCTTAACAGCCTCCAGTGGTGGATCTTCTCTACACATATTATATTTCCGTACCCCATCCACAATATTTTGCCATCACTTGGCACACAAATACTGAAGTGCGTATTTTTGTTTCTGCTTCGTTTTTTCGTTCTTTTAAGATTTTAAAACAATAACTTTCATGCTACAGAACAGAGGACTTTAAGATGCTCTGGGTACATTTTTACAGAAAGGAGATGTGAAACCTTTCAATAATAAAGAACATAAATGTTAATGTACATAATTGATCATAAGATGGTGTGTTTTTGAATTTTCAAAATCAATTGTAAGGCTGGCTTAACAAAGGATTAAATGTTAGCATAGGCTTGTAAACCTTATAAGGTTTACAAATGTTCTATAAGTCCTATCAGATCCCTAACTTGTCTTTTAATTTAAAGGAGATTTTTACATCAGCTACTGACTTTCTCAAGTTAGAAAAAATTGAGATTGGGGGCCTGAGAGGAAAGATTCTCAGCGAGGAGATTCACTGCATGAATGAAGAATTTCATGAAAGCTGGAAGGTCCTTCAAGAAAGTAAATATGACCCACTGGACTACAACAACCTGGTAAATATATTGTGAAAAAGGGCTCCCTGCTCCTCCTAGGGAACACACATGTATATGGAAGCAGTGTGCTTTCCCCCAACATACGCTTTTTAACTACATTGCAAAATTCAAAATAATGTCATCTGAAATGCAGCTGTCCGTTGAAATTAACATATTGGTTTAAGAAGTGTGTATTAAAACGTGAGCCACATGATTTTCTCTCTCATCCCTAAAACAGAGCACTGGATTTCAGTTGCTCCCCAATAAATGTGTAGCCCCTTTTGCTCCTGCCACTAGAGCTGGGACAGTCCACCTTCTGCAACAACTGACCACTGCTTAGACAACTGCCTATTCTCATATACAGGCACAGGATGACCCTGGTGTCTGTAAAAACATGTCTGAACTGATGCCTGGGCTTACATGATTATTTTGGCGTGGTGGGGCTTCAGTTGAAAGAAATGAGTCACTCATGCCATCTACACAAATATTTGCAGCTCGTGTTAATGCTCATGTTTCCTATGCAGGAATTTCTGTCTGACTACAAAAGATACATTCAGCAGATTAATGACTTTGATAACCGGTTGGGAACAATACTAAATTTTGCCTTTCAAGAGCCAAAGGGACTAGAATCAGTTTTCAAGGTAAGCATATTTGTTATATTTGTTTTCCACTAAGGCCCACATTTTGTATCTTACATTGGCAAGCGTCAGATACTTGAGTGTATGGTACGGTTAAGTCCGTTTTTTCCAAGCACAAATGATTTCAGAGGCTCTTGGTAAGAGCAGTAAGAACTGCATTATGGAGACAGATTCAGCCCCTGACTTTTTAAACAGAAAATCTGAACATTCAACACTCTTTGTTTATTTGTTTGTTTGTTTTTAGTTCAGCTTTATTTTCCCAGGTCTTCTTTGCTGTTCTCCCCCACCCCACAACAAATGTGAGAATTAGTCTTTTCATTAAATGTTGAGAACCACCTTCTGTTTCCTGTTCTTTTGTAATGTTAGGTACAAAAAGTCTGTTCTGTGTATCCATAGACTCTTTGTGTTACATAGACATCCATTTTGATCAGTATGAAATTGAACTGCTATAATAAGATGACCATTTACAAATAGAAAAGCTGAGGCAGAAGGAGTAAGATTTTCCAAAGTCCAGCCAGTGAGTTCATGGCTGCCCTGGATTTAAAGTCAGGTTCCCTATATCCGAATTCAACCTTCTGCCCACTGTGAGAGATTGTGCCCATATTCTTTTAAGTTTTTCAAATAGTCAAAGACAAAAGCAAGCAGAACCATCATTTTTTTTAAAGCTATGAAGAAGAGATTTGGGGGCATTACAAAGAAAGGAGGGCGGTGAAATCTTAAACCATGAGGCCCTGTGCTTTTCAAGAGTTGTATGGGATTTAGCCACACAAATCCCATTATAGTCAATGGGGGTTATTTAAGTCAGTAGAAATTGTGTGCCTGTATCTTTTGCAAAACCTTCAAAAACCTAAAGGAAAGTGACAATCTGTACAGTGGAGGAAACCAAATATAAAGTATCGGAGAGAAGTATTACACATGAGAAAATTAGGAAAATATCTTACAAAATGGAAAAGCTGATGAAAAAGAGGGGTGTGGGGTTGGGGTGGTTGAATTGCTGAGTTAGGTAAGAATCTGAAAGAGAATTCATAGGGTTTCAGAAAATACAATTTCATCAAAAGCTGAAGGAAAATGAAAAGGAAGACAGCAGGTGTAATTGCTGTGAGGAACAGTTTCCTGCTGAGACAGGAGAGTTTTACCATCAGCTCTGTAAGAAAACATCCAAGCAAATACAATAAACATAGAAATAAATGTATCATGAAATCAAGAAGGTAGGACAAAAAGACTTGACATATGCACTGGAGAAGAGGCAGAGCAAAGGGTGAATAGGATGACAGTAGGAAAAGAGAAGTGAGAAAATTACATCTCCATGGTGCCCCACAGGAACAGGGGAAGAGGACAAGCGAGAGGATAAGGATACTTATAATGGAACAGGAAGAGTATATTTATGAACAGACTGCGGAACACAGAACAAACTACATGAGAAATGTGTTGTTGGAGGACAGAAAAATGTTCCCCGAAGTTCAGTTTTCACCAAACGTAGGAGAATGCAACTACAAAATCAAAGTTTGAGAGTGATGTTTCTAGATGGCAGATTGTAACGCTAAGGAACTTGGTTGAGGCTTGTTTCTCATACAGTGGTATCTCTGGTTATGAACTTAATTCGTTCCGGAGGTCCATTCTTAACCTGAAACTGTTCTTAACCTGAGGTACCACTTTAGCTAATGGGGCCTCCTGCCGCCGCCAGCGCATGATTTCTGTTCTCATCCTGAGGTAAAGTTCTTAACCGGAGGTACTACTTCCGGGTTAGCGGAGTCTGTAACCCAAGGTGTTTGTAACCCAAGGTGTTTGTAACCAGAGGTACCACTGTATTATGATTTACAATCACAGGAAGGCTGTAGCCTGCTATAATTCTCCCAATAGATACTGTAATCTGGAGAAGTTTTATAAATATGATTGCTTGACAGAAATTCAGGAGCAGGCTCCTGTGTGTTAACCTCATGAGGGGAATTACTGCAACAATCTTGATTGCGGGAGTCGCCTTCAGAAATGTTTCTGTGACAGAAACTGAGATATAAGAAGCTGCCAAGTGATTTTCGTCCGAAAACCTAATAATGAATTTATGGATCCCAAACCAAGTGAAAATCCAATGGAATTTAGAAGGCTGTTTCTTCCAGTCCAATCCCTTGACCTGTTACAGTAGTCAGAAAAGGGTAGGATGCAGGCAGTGTCTCAATACAATGTCAAACCAATTCATGCTTTTATAGCATTCTTTACAATCCCAAAGGAAAAGAAGCCAAAGACGTTAAGCCTGGATTCCCTTATGAGCCTGTACACTGACTATTCAAGGCCACTTACTCCCTCGTAAATCACTGCCTGCACTGCCAGAAGGCACGTTCCAGAAGCACAGAACATTGCGATATTTTATTCTCAATATCTTTAAGTTTCTTTTTCTAAATGAATTCGCATAGGCCATTGACATACGGGACGTAATTTAGGGAATGAAACAGTTTCTTTTTTAAAATTTTCCTAAATTACGTCCCATATGTCAACGACCCTTTTTCTAACTCCATTCCAAGTTAGCTCTCCTAGAAAGATGGTCAGGATTCAGGAGAAGTCCCTCAGCTGTCACTCAGCTGACAGTTCTCTGTCTCTTGGGGCGGACCGTCTTTAATTAGCAGGATTGCTTCAGTTTCCCATGAAGTCCTCCTTCTGGCCAGGGACTTGGATATTAGGACAGCCAAGAGGAAGAGGTACAATTTCCTCTTCGTAATTCTTTGCGCTTCCCAAGGCCAACTGCCAATTGAGGTTGCTCTGGCCAGATGCTACCCTGGAGAACTATCTCTGGAGCATTCCTCTCCTTGCTGGCTTTCACAGCTTCTTGCTTGGTGACCTCAGCTCTTCAGCTTCTTCCTGGGCTCTTCTTCTGTTGCTGTTACCACCACTGACCACCAGGTCATATTCTGGCCTTACTGACTTGCCTCACTGCCCTTATATACCATTTCCGTCAGGACATCCTGACCAGTGGTGTGCCTTGATTTCTGACAGTTCATTGGCCTGTAATGCTGGACCAATGAGAGCCCGCAGAATGTTCCTAAACTGGCCTATCAAAACCTGACATCTTGAATCTCACTTTTCTAATATAAAAACCGAGAGGTCTAACTGAGAACCAGTAAGGCTTTGTAACTGTGATAAGTAAGCAAGAAGCTGTATTCAAAATAGCAGATTTCATTAGATCACCTCTCAGTTATATACGAACACAGCAATGTTACACTCATAACCATTCTTTATTTTTATATTTACAAATCATTTTAAAAATGTTTTACCTCAGGCAATTTCTGATTCTCCATGGTCATTTCATTATAGATTGGCGGGACATGGGGGTGGGACCCAAAGATTACACAGGATAAGGGCTCATCTGCACTATACATTTAAAGCAGTATCACACCACTTTAAACACTCGTGGTTTCCACTAAAGAATCATGGGAATTATAGTTTAAGAGTTGTTAGGATACCCATATTCCCTTCACAGAGCTACAAATCGCCAAGTTCCCAAGGGAAGAAGAATTGATTGTTAAACCACTCTGGGAATTTTAGCTCTGTAAGGGCAATAGAGGGTTTCCTAACAACTCTCAGCACCCATAACAAACTACAGTTCCCAAAATATTGGGATGGGGGGGGTATCATGACTGTTTAAAGTGGTATGATACTGCTTTAAATGCATAGTGCAGATGGGGTCCATGTCCCTGAGTCCCTAGTCCTAGTAGCCCTCCAGGAATTATTATTCCCCACACTGCCAGCAGCCCAATGAGTCCTGTTAAATGATGTCTGTGGGGAATGAGGATTTAAATATCAGAATCCAGTATAGGAACACAATTATTGCAATAAGACTTCAGGCTGAAAAGGAGTTTGAGTCAAGACCTCTCTGTGTCAGCTTCAACACTTTATCCAACAGTTTTGCTATATAGACCCCTCTTACAGGAGGCAAAAATGTGTTTATCTGAAATATCAGCTCAATGGATGCTGAGAGCTTTGAAAGGGCAGGGATTTCAGTTGAATAAAAGTACTGTTTTTATAGGACTACGTGGGAGGCATGTTCCTTGATTGTTTGGGTGAGATATTCGCATAATGGGCACGTTATAGAGCATAATTGTATATGAATCCAGATTGACAAATTTTGTAGCAAAAGGGGGGAAAAAACAAAATAGGAACGACTAATAAAAAAAACACACCCAACAAAACAAACTGTAAAAGGCACACAACAGTTTGCCAGAAGGACAAACAGCAGGGGGATGCAGGTAAAGGCGCTTGAATTGATGCCAAAAATGGGAAGGCACAACAGAGATAAATAAAACACACAGCAAAGATGCAATATAATAAAATGCTGTAATTTGGGCTGCCAGCATGAGAGAGTAGACAGTTCACAATAGTAGGGAGTGAGTTAGCTTTTATGGGATATTTAACCACAACTGCCAGGAGAAGCTGCTGCTGTTCGTATTCAAATAAAGCAACCGTGCTATTGAGGAAAATGATATAAAATCACTTCTGTAAACTTTTTGGTTCCATTTGTTGAGTTTGCCCACGAGAGATCTGCATTTTACTTTTTGATGGCTGTGTTTCTTGACCTTGCACACAGAAGGCTCTTCAAAGAATTCAAAACGACAGTGCAATTGCTTGCTGTGTGTTCTCAATCTGTACAGTGACCTCTTAAGTACAATGCAGTACCCAGATTCCCCTCCCTCTCTGCGCTTCGCCATTCCTGCCTTAGGGTAGCAGCAGACCTTGGCACCTGAAATTTCAGTGGTGCCCTGTGTGGTGCGAAAATTCAGCTCCCCCTGCCTGTCTCACTCCACTGTAAGCATATTTGAGGTGTCCCTTATGGCGCCCCGAGTCTCTGCGCTCACCATGACTGTACTGGCCTCTGCTCAGGGCCTAGCTAGGCCTGTGTGAGGATGGAGATGCTTGAATAACTCTCTGGCTCCTATCCAAATTTGCAAATAGCTGTTTGGCATCCCCGCATGCCTAGTGATGTATGGAAGTGAGAGCCGGACCATAAAGAAGGCTGATCGCCGAAGAATTCATGCTTTTGAATTATGGTGCTGGAGGAGACTCTTGAGAGTCCCATGGACGGCAAGAAGATCAAACCTATCCATTCTGAAGGAAATCAACCCTGAGTGCTGACTGGAAGGACAGATCCTGAAGCTGAGGCTCCAATACTTTGGCCACCTCATGAGAAGAGAAGACTCCCTGGAAAAGACCCTGATGTTGGGAAAGATGGAGGGCACAAGGAGAAGGGAATGAAAGAGGACAAGATGGTTGGACAAAGTTCTCGAAGCTACTAACATGAGTTTGACCAAACTGCGGGAGGCAGTGGAAGACAGGAGTGCCTGGCGTGCTTTGGTCCATGGGGTCATGAAGAGCTGGACACACCTAAACGACTAAACAACAACATCCCCTCATGCCATTTTACCAGAAAAAAACACATCCACCCAAGATGCTATTTTCACTGTGAGGAAAACCTATACATGAGCACATTTCCCCTAAGTGAACAAATAGCAGCTGATAGAGGGGTTTTTTTGTGGGGAAATGGTACAGAACAAAAGAGCCCCCCCCCTCCCCATGCCATCAGACCACCGAAGTGTCCCTATTTTCCAGGGATAGTCCCGGATTTACAGAAGCTGTCCAGGTTTCTGATTTGATCCCAGAATGTCCCACTTTTCATTAGGATGTCCCTATTTTCATTAGAGAAATGTTGGAGGGTATGTGTAATAATAATAATAATAATAATAATAATAATAACTTATACCCCTCCTATCTTGCTGGGTTTCCCCAACCACTCTGGGCGGCTCCCAACAGAACACTAAAAACAGAATAAAACTGCAGACATTAAAAACTTCCCTAGATGTCTTCTAAAAGTCAGGTGGTTGTTTATTTCCTTGACATCTGATGGGAGGGCATTTCACAGGGCGGACACCACCACCGAGAAGGCCCTTTGTCTGGTTCCCTGTAACTTGGCTTCTCGCAGTGAGGGAACCATCAGAAGGCCCTTGATACTGGACCTCAGTGTCCAGGCTGAACAATGGGGATGGAGACGCTCCTTCAGGTATGGTCCCAGTCTATTTGCTAAAACTTAAAAGAGGCCAGATAGTTGTTCATAGTTCACACAACTCCATCATCATGTTTACTGTAACTCTTGACTTCGGAGAAACACTGCTGTAGGAAGCTATATAGAATCTGTAATTCATGGATGGGAGAACTTTGGCTCTCTAAGTGTTGTTGGATTCTAAGTCACATCAGCCCCAGCCAGCATGGCCAAAAGTCAGGGATGATAGCAGCTGTGGTCCAAGAACATCTGGGGGGCCACAGATTCCTCATTTCTACTGTAATCAAACCTATTTGTACCTGAAACAGTAATCAGGGTTCAATGGCCATCATATAACTTCTTTTATGTGTATTAAACAACTCTTCTTCTGTTTATCACTTACAAATTTAACAAATAAATAAAAATACTATGTGGGGGTGTTGGTTAATTTTGTTTGTTTGTTGTTATGGGATGCATTTTTGTGTTTTTATGTTGTTAACCACTCTGTGATCTTCAGATGAAGGGCAGTATAGAAATTTAATGAATGATAGAATAAATAAATAAACAAAATACCAAGCAAATTGGGATATCAATGAATTCAGGGATCAGAACTGAAACATTTAATTATAGTCCAGAGGTCTCTTTCTGATCTGCTTTTTTTTCCTAGGTTTTCCTTTTTTAGAGATGCATTTCTTTCAGTCCCAGGTGAGGCCCTAAAAAAAATGAGAGGAGAATCTTGTTCTTTTAATAGCTGGTTTCTTGTGAAACACACTACTAAACAGATTGTGGAGGAATGTAAAGACAAGAATTTAGTCATCAAAGTGATTTCACTTTAAACCCATACAATAATTTTACCTGAAATAATCTTTGAAGGCTAACACATAAATGCCAATCTGTTAAAACAGAATATACAATACAGATAAAGAAATTATTCTGCCCTTTATAATTTTTTATAAAACCACCTAAAATAGCATCTTTTAAAACAGAGATGAAAATTGACACACGTGCTTCAGTTACCTTCTTTTTTAAAATTCAAGATTTTGCAGATATTTGGAAAACTTCTGGAAAGGCCTGTCATCTATTCTCATTTTTATCCAAACGTTGCTGTTCTTCTTTCAATGTTTGATGAGGAAATTACCTGCTGCAAGCAAATCTTTGACAATCAAATAGAAAAAGTGGGTAACAGTCTTTGGCATTCTAATTTATTATTTCATGTTATTTACTTATTTACAGAGACATTAATTTTATTTTCTCCTTGGTGACTAGCTATTGTGTTGTCAAGAATAACCTCATTACTTTGTGTTTTAGTACAAACTGAAGGGGGAGGGGACACACTGAAAAAGTTTGTTTCTATGAATAGATTTCCAACTTATACAACTCTTGTCTGGCATGTGTATGGTAGGCACAGTGTCTGGAGGCAATTAGAATGCCCATAAGATTCTTTCCAATAATGTGCTTTTAGGTTGTGATGAATTGGGTATCCCTCTTTCCATTGGGGTAAGTTTCAATAGGTTTCAGGATAGTGAGAAATGCTGGTGAACAGATTCCTCCCCCCTTTCCTAACCTTCCCGCCTTATTTTGTTTTTACCATTGTATTTGTGTTGCCAGGACTGGCCCACCCATATGTTTAGGTGAGTCTACTGCCTAAGGCAGTAGAATCCACAGGGGCAGCCGATCCTGATGTAGATCTTTCTTTCCTTCCTTGTTCCTGATGTAGATCTTCCCCTTCTTCCTTGGTGGGGAGGGGAGCAGCATTTTGGGGCCCCAATATCTTGGGTCAACCCCAATCATTGCATCCCCCATGGTGGCCATGGCAGCAGAAGAACTCTTCTGAAGATCTACAAAGTCATTCCAGGGACATCTCAGGGGGAGAGATATGCCAACAGCCCAGAGCTCAGGCATTTAAAAAATAATATTTATTTATTTATTTATTTAAAAAACCTGAGTAGAAGTAAAAGAAATGTTAAAAGAGAAACAGAGAATGTTCCCTTTTTCTTTTTCTTTCCAATTGTAATTGAGAATTTTCAAAAGCAAGCGGCTGGCTCAGAGCTTGGCTTGGGAGCCTTGTGTATACCACCTCGGAATAAGTGATATAAACGTAAACAAACCTTTATCCCAGGGGTGCCCAAACTTTTTTCAAAGAGGGCCAGATTTGATGAAGTGAGCATTCGTGAGGGCCGATCAAAGTTGTTGAGTTTTTTTTTTAGGATTGAAGTTTTACCCTAGGAGATAAACTGCCACAGGGGCCAGATTGAACTGACTGGATTAGGCCCCCAAAGCGGACTTTGGACATGCCTGCTTTATCAAAAGTCTACAGGACTCGATTCTCATTGACAGAGCAACTCTAGCCCTGGAGCATCAGTTTCTTTATTAAGTCTGTGATGTAATACAGTGGTACCTCAGGTTAAGTACTTAATTCGTTCCGGAGGTCCGTTCTTAACCTGAAACTGTTCTTAACCTGAAGCACCACTTTAGCTAATGGGGCCTCCCGCTGCTGCCACTGCGCCGCCATAGCACAATTTCAGTTCTCATCCTGAAGCAAAGTTCTTAACCCGAGGTACCACTGTATAGGCTTGTGAACTCACACAGCCGTCTGTGATGCTTAAGTGACTTCATCACTTCACCAGTCTTACAGCATTTATGGAAGGGGTGGAGAAGTTGCAGCCCTCTGGCGTTCTTGGGCTGCAGCTCATATTATGCCTGACCATTACCATACATTTCAACAAGCGTGTATGGTATTCTTTATCATAGCACAGGATTCTTAAAAGAGTAGTTCTTCAACATTTACCGTATTTCTCCGAGTATAAGACTAGGTTATTTTATCAAAATGTTTTGCTAAAAACTTGGGGTCGTCTTATACACAGATAGTGGAGAGGTGGGGCTTATGATTGGTGGCTGCTGTGAGCAGGATATTGTCCATGACGTTTTGGCGGGTGATTGGTGGGTGCTGCAAGGTCCACTGCCTATTGGGTGCTGTGGCAATTGGGCGAGTGATTGGTGGTTGCTTTCAGCGAGCTTGCAGGCGATTGGTGGCTTCGCTGATGTGCGTGCGATTGGCTGCTGCGTTCCTGCAGGTGAGTGATTTTTGGCCACAAAAACGCTTAACAATTGGGCAGTCTCCCCCCATTTTCTGTATTTGGAGTCCCCAAAAAGAGGGGGCATTGTATACATGGGGGTGTCTTATACACGGAAAAGTACAGCAATAGCATGTATTCAGAAGTAAGGCTCGCTTATTCCCATTGGGAATTTTAATTCTGCGTCAATCTGCTTAGAATTTGCAAACTAGAACCTGTTTCAGTGGGAGATTTTTGGATTCAGCTCCAATGGGGTCATTCTTGAGTTTTATTGCAAGTTTTACTTATGGTGTATTGACAGTCCATCATCATAACAGTTTCTGTTTATTTAAGTTAAGGGATGGAGGCAATACACTTCATAAAAACATGCCAGTGACTGCAGGCAATTTAAAATGGTCTCAGGAGTTACGAGAGAGACTGCTGAAGCACAGAACACATTTTAGGCGCATCAATCATCTGTAAGTATTGCTATAAAAATTGTACAATAGGGCTTAAACCACTTCCCAAAGCACCTTCCACTGTGTACTTAGAAATGACATTGAGGAGGAGGAAATCCTTTTTCTCTCTCTAGGATTCTGCAGACAGAGGAAACCAATTTTGTCTTCCAAAAATGTGAGGAAATGTTGGAATTATTGGATAAACACGATGAGGAAATTCATACCACATGGGCACAAGATTTAAGCCACCTTTGTGAAGCACATCTTGGTCAACCAATTCTCAGATACAACGACTGTGGATTGTTTGAAGTAAACTTTAATGAAAAGGTAAAGTAGACAACTTGTTCTTTACTGTTGTTTAGTCATTTAGTCGTGTCCAGCTCTTCGTGAACCCATGGACCAGAGCACGCCAGGCACTCCTGTCTTCCACTGCCTCCCGCAGTTTGGTCAAACTCATGTTAGTAGCTTTGAGAACACTGTCCAACCATCTCGTCCTCTGTCGTCCCCTTCTCCTTGTGCCCTCCATCTTTCCCAACATCAGGGTCTTTTCCAGGGAGTCTTCTCTTCTCATGAGGTGGCCAAAGTATTGGAGCCTCAGCTTCACGATCTGTCCTTCCAGTGAGCACTCAGGGCTGATTTCCTTCAGAATGGAGAGGTTTGATCTTCTTGCAGTCCACGGGACTCTCAAGAGTCTCCTCCAGCACCATAATTCAGAAGCATCAATTCTTTGGCAATCAGCCTTCTTTATGGTCCAGCTCTCACTTCCATACATCACTACTGGGAAAACCATAGCTTTAACTATACGGACCTTTGTCGATTAAACCAGTGGTGGGGAACCTTTCTGAGGTGGAGGGTCGCAATTCCATTTTGAGGAGCTGCATGCATGTTGTGGGCAGGGCCAGAGGCAAAAGTGGGTGGAGCAACAGATTTTACCTTTGTACAGCAGGATGCATCCAAACCACGCAAAAGCCAGATGTTTCTACCCATGTACCCCTCTCCATCCTATACCCCAGAAAGCAAAATACATCGTCGCAGTTCAATAACACATCCCGACCATCAAAAGCACTTAAAGAAGCGCAAATCCAGGGCTAATGAGGGGCATTACAAAGGCCAGATGGAGAGGCGTGGAAGACTGCATTTGGCATCAACTCACACCAGGGTGTTGGGACACGGGTGGCGCTGTGGGTTAAACCACAGAGCCTAGGACTTGCCATTCAGAAGGTTGGCGGTTCGAATCCCCGCAACGGGGTGAGCTCCCGTTGCTCGGTCCTTGCTCCTGCCAACCTAGCAGTTCGAAAGCACGTCAAAGTACAAGTAGATAAATAGGTACTGCTCCAGCGGGAAGGTAAACGGCGATTCCGTGCGCTGCTCTGGTTCGCCAGCAGCGGCTTATTCATGCTGGCCACATGACCCAGAAGCTGTATGCCGGCTCCCTCGGCCAATACAGCGAGATGTAACCCCAGAGTCAGTCACGACTGGACCTAATGGTCAGGGGTGCCTTTACCTTTACCACACTAGGGTGAATCATTTTTCAGTCATTATGAACTTTCATTATGGGCTTCAGGGGACAGGCAGGAAGACTGGGGACATCAGGGAATGATGATCAGGGGTTTTTTTCAGCCAGAACTCAGTTCCGGCATCTCTCAGGTGGGCACCAATTCACAGTGAATTCATAGAATCATAGAATCATAGAATCATAGAATCATAGAGTTGGAAGAGACCACAAGGGCCATCGAGTCCAACCCCCTGCCAAGCAGGAAACACCATCAGAGCACTCCTGACATATGGTTGTCAAGCCTCTGCTTAAAGACCTCCAAAGAAGGAGACTCCACCACACTCCTTGGCAGCAAATTCCACTGTCGAACAGCTCTTACTGTCAGGAAGTTCTTCCTAATGTTTAGGTGGAATCTTCTTTCTTGTAGTTTGGATCCATTGCTCCGTGTCCGCTTCTCTGGAGCAGCAGAAAACAACCTTTCTCCCTCCTCTATGTGACATCCTTTTATATATTTGAACATGGCTATCATATCACCCCTTAACCTCCTCTTCTCCAGGCTAAACATGCCCAGCTCCCTTAGCCGTTCCTCATAAGGCATCGTTTCCAGGCCTTTGACCATTTTGGTTGCCCTTCTCTGGACACGTTCCAGTTTGTCAGTGTCCTTCTTGAACCGTGGTGCCCAGAACTGGACACAGTACTCCAGGTGAGGTCTGACCAGAGCAGAATACAGTGGCACTATTACTTCCCTTGATCTAGATGCTATACTCCTATTGATGCAGCCCAGAATTGCATTGGCTTTTTAGCTGCCGCGTCACACTGTTGGCTCATGTCAAGTTTGTGGTCAACCAAGACTCCTAGATCCTTTTCACATGTACTGCTCTCAAGCCAGGTGTCACCCATCTTGTATTTGTGCCTCTCATTTTTTTGCCCAAGTGCAATACTTTACATTTCTCCCTGTTAAAATTCATCTTGTTTGTTTTGGCCCAGTTCTCTAATCTGTCAAGGTCGTTTTGAAGTGTGATCCTGTCCTCTGGGGTGTTAGCCACCCCTCCCAATTTGGTGTCATCTGCAAATTTGATCAGGATGCCCTTGAGTCCATCATCCAAGTCGTTGATAAAGATGTTGAATAAGACCGGGCCCAAGACAGAACCCTGTGGCACCCCACTAGTCACTCTTCTCCAGGATGAAGAGGAACCATTGATGAGCACCCTTTGGGTTCGGTCAGTCAGCCAGTTACAAATCCACTGAGTGGTAGCATAGTCAAGACCACATTTTACCAGCTTCTTTACAAGAATATCATGAGGCACCTTGTCAAATGCCTTGCTGAAATCAAGGTAGGCTACATCCACTGCGTTCCCTTCATCTACCAGGCTTGTAATTCTGTCAAAAAAACGAGATCAGGTTAGTCTGACATGACTTATTTTTCAGAAATCCATGCTGACTATTGGTGATCACCGCATTCCTTTCTAGGTGCTCACAGACTGTTTGCTTAATGATCTGCTCCAGAATCTTCCCTGGTATTGATGTCAGACTGACTGGGCGGTAATTATTTGGGTCCTCTCTTTTCCCCTTTTTGAAAATGGGGACAACATTTGCCCTCCTCCAGTCTGCCGGGACTTCGCCTGTTCTCCAGGAATTCTCAAAGATGACTGCCAGTGGTTCTGAGATCACATCTGCCAGTTCTTTTAATACTCTTGGATGCAGTTCATCTGGCCCTGGAGACTTGAATACATCTAAACTAGCCAAGTATTCTTGTACTATCTCCTTAGTTATTCTGGGCTGTGTTTCCTTTGCTGAATCATTTGCTCCAAATTCTTCAGGTCGGGCATTGTTTTCTTTATCGGAGAAGACTGAGGCAAAGAAGGCATTGAGGAGTTCAGCTCTTTCTGTGTCCCCTGTTTGCATTTCACCATCTTCTCCTCTGAGTGACCCCACTGTTTCTTTGTTCTTCCTTTTGCTACGGACATACCCATAAAAGCCTTTTTTGTTGCTTTTAACCTCTCTAGCAAGCCTGAGTTCATTCTGTGCTTTACCTTTTCTGACTCTGTGTCTACACGTGCTGGCTATTTGTTTGAATTCCTCTTTGGTGGTTTCCCCCCTTTTCCATTTTTTGTACACATCCTTTTTTAATCTTAACTCAGTTAAAAGTTCTTTAGATAGCCACCCTGGCTTCTTTAGGCACCTTCCATGTTTCTGTCTCATTGGTATTGCCTGACGTTGTGCTTTTAGTATCTCCCTCTTAACAAACTCCCAGCCATCATGAACTCCCTTTCCTTTTAGTATTACTGTCCATGGGATCTCACCCAGCACTTCCCTAAGTTTTATGAAGTCAGCTTTCTTAAAGTCAAGAAATTGAGTCCTAGTATGCTTGGCTGCTCCTTTCCGCTGTATAGTAAACTTCAGAAGAGCATGATCACTCGCGCCTAATGATCCTTCCACTTCTACCCCACTAACCAGGTCATCAACATTGGTTAGGACCAGATCTAAAATGGCTGTTCCTCTTGTTGCTTCTCCCACTTTCTGGACAATGAAGTTGTCTGCAAGGCCAGTGAGGAATCTGTTTGACCTTATGCTCTTGGCTGAGTTTGACATCCAACAAATATCCGGGTAATTGAAGTCCCCCATTACTACTATCTCCCTTCCTTTTGCATGCTTGGCCATCTGTTTCAGGAAGGCATCATCTATGTCCTCCGTTTGGCTTGGGGATCTATAGTAAACTCCCACAATGAGGTCACTGTTATTCTTCTCTCCCTTAATTTTGACCCAAATGCTCTCACTTTGGCTTTGAGGTTCTAAATCTTGGATCTCTTCACAGGTATACACATCCCTGACATATAACGCCACTCCTCCTCCTTTCTTGTCTGGTCTGTTTCTCTGAAATAGATTGTATCCCCCTATTACATTCCAATCGTGGGACTTATCCCACCAGGTTTCAGTGATGCCTATTATGTCATATTTAGTTTGCTGTACCAAGAGCTCAAGCTCATCTTGTTTATTTCCCATGCTTTGAGCATTAGTGTACAGACATTGAAGTCAATTAATCATTCCCCGTGTCTCTTATTTAAGGATTTTTCCTCCCACCACTAGGTCTGTGTGCTGTTTGCTCCATTTGGTCTATGACATTTGGATGATCATCTTCATCAATTGATAGACTCCTACCTTCAGGAGCACTGTCTCCCTCCCCACATTAGTCAGTTTAAAGCCCTCCTGATGAGGTTTCTGAGATTTTTGGCAAAAACATTTCTCCCAACCGTTGTGAGGTGCAGCCCATCGCTTACCAGAAGTCCATCTTCAAGAAACTGCAGTCCGTGATCTAAGAATCCAAACCGTTCCTGTTTACACCATTTGCGAAGCCAGCTGTTCACTTCCACTATTTTCCCCTCTCTCCCTGGGCCACGTCGTTCAACTGGGAGGACAGATGAGATCACAATTTGTGCATTTAATTGCTTCAATTTCCTGCCCAGAGCCTCGTAGTCTCTTTTGATCTTCTGGAGGCTATTGCTTGCAGTGTCATTGGTTCCCACATGAACCAAGAGGAAGGGGTATTTGTCAGTGGGTTTTATGATTCCTTGCAGTCGTTCAGTTACATCTTGGATCTTAGCCCCGGGAGACAGCACACTTCCCGAGACATCTTGTCAGGCCCACAGATCACTGCTTCTGTTCCCTCAGTAGGGAATCCCCTATCACCACTACACGCCTCCTCTTAGGTTTGGTCGGGGTTCTTCCGTGAGCTGTCCGCTCCAAGGTCGCCTGCACATTCCCTGAGGACTGACTTTGCTGCTCGTCTTCATATACCTGATCGACTGTAATGACGGAGAGATCCTCAAATGGAGTCTGCTCTTCGTCTTCCATGCTAGGGGAGAGGACCTCAAAGCGATTGTGTATTTCTAAACAATCAGAGCGAACCCTGGGCCTCCTACTTCTTTGAGTCACGTTTCTCCATATATCTGGCTCCTGTGTTGGTGAACTAGCATCCTTCTCAGGGAGTCCCCTGTCTCCTCCTTGGTGGAGACGGTGTGCTCTGTTGCTTCCAAGAAGAGCTCCAGCTCTCTAATTCTTTGGAGCGTAGCTACACGTTCCTCCAGTTGCTGGACTTTGTCTTTTAAGAGGGCAATCAACATGCAATTGCTGCAGGTAAAGCTGCCTGCAACCTTTGGCAAGATGGCAAACATTGTGCAGGAACCGCAGGCAACTGCAGCTGTTCCCTCCCCCTCCATCTTGAGAACGTGTCGTTGGGGGTGGCTACAGCGGTCCTCCATCATAAAAAGTGTGAAGACAGGAAAAATAACTCCCCCCACAAAAAAACCTAGGTCTCCCCCAACAAACGTTTGAGACTAGCTCCCCTAAATCTAAAAGATGGATCAAACTGATAAGCTCCTCCCACAGCTAATCACCTGCCTCAACAGAAACCCTGCCCCCTCTGACCTTTGCACAGGGAGAGCAGCCAATCAGCCACAAAGAAACACACACACACACACAAGAAAACCCTTTTTGCTCCTTCTTCAACTGCTGCCCTGCAAATTCTGGCACCTCTTTTTCTAGAAAAATAGCATTGATGATTATAACAACCTTCAGTCTGGTGAGGAGCCTCAGAATTATTTGCACTCATGATTCGGAGCCCTTTCCTGGGCCCATAGGAAATATTGGTGCATGTTTGTTGGCCATTACTCCCCTACTTCCTGCTGCTTATATTCTCCAGCAAGGGTTACGAGGTTCCTGCAACCATCAGCAATGCCTGGAGTCTTGCCTTTACACAAGTTAGACTTAAAAAAACCCACCAAAAACCAAAAAGAAAAGAACAACAATCCAACATCGCTAGTAATACAGTTATGCTTATACAGTGGTACCTCGGGTTAAGAACTTAATTCGTTCTCGAGGTCTGTTCTTAACCTGAAACTGTTCTTAACCTGAAGCACCACTTTAGCTAATGGGGCCTCCTGCTGCTGCTGCGCCGCCGCTGCACGATTTCTGATCTCATCCTGAAGCAAAGTTCTTAACCCGAGGTAATATTTCTGGGTTAGTGGAGTATGTAACCTGAAGTGTATGTAACCTGAAGTGTCTGTAACCTGAGGTACCACTGTAGAGCACCTGGAGGATCTGTCTGGCATCTGAACTAAAATGTCCAATGGTACACCTGGAAGGAAGTTGCACGAGTGTCCTTGAAGCGAGGTAGTTTTGAAGAAGCTTCTTGCAACATGACAAAACCATTTACATCTTCTCCTGCAGCTCTCTGCCGTCCTCAGGGAAGTGAAATACCTTGAGGTTTTAAAACACCCTGATATACCTGAGGTTGCCATGCAATTGTATTCCAAGAGAGAAACCCTTTACAAGGTAAATAGAAGCGATTCCGTATGAAAGATGTGTGCGAATATAAAGAAATGGAAGAAAATTGACATAACTGCAGTAATCTGTTTGAGTCTTCAACTATCTAAACCAAAAGCAAAGAGTGCACAACTATTTTTTCCTAATTATTTTGTCAGCTGGATGGTTGTTATATTGTAGTTTGTAGTTAATCTTGTATTTCAGTCTTACTGCACGCATATGTGTTCCTTTGAATACAAAGGGCCCTCTTCTCTTCTCTGTTGAATTAGTTGGCGGTCCTATTGACAGCAAAATAGCATGTTCAAATTACAAAGGGGGCGGGAGGACCGAACACTTCAACTACATTTAGGGTCTCCACACTTTCCTTTTCTCTAAAGGTACTGGAGAAAAGAATGTGGGGGTGGGGGGAGGCCCCTTTATTCCCCCCTCATTCCTCCTATAAAAGCACTGGTAGGAAAATGGGCATCTCAGACCAAGAATTCACAGAAGTCGGGAGAGCTTGCAGATGTCTTAATGGACTGTGGGATTCTTTGTGAAGCCAATGCCCATCACAAACTCAAATTTTATCCAGTAGGGTTGTGTTCTGAATAGCAGCTTCCTCCAGTGCTGAGAATGCAATCTGGCGCTGAACTGGAAGTAAAGACACCAATGAGAACTTGCTCCTTGTGCTTGTGTGGACAAAAAGGACCAAAACCATGTACAGGATTGGCTCAGTGATGCATGTAGAACAGTGTTTTCCAAACTTGGGTCTCCAGCTGTTTTTGGACTACAGCTCCCATCCCTAGCTAGCAAGACCAATTGTCAGGGATGATGGGAATTGTAGTCCAAAAACAGCTGGAGACCCAAGTTTGGGAAACACTGATGTAGAACATGAGAGAGGTAAAGGTCCACATCCCAGCAGGAGGAGGAAACGGAGGTGCAACCAATCCTCGGAACACCTATCACTGCTGTGGCATCTTCTCCTCTTCTGCACAGTCGCAACCTGCTTACTTGTCCTCTCTAAGCAAGTGAGCACTGGCCTGAAGGAGGCCAAGCAGTATCTTCCACTTGCTTTGAGCCCATTCCCAGGGCACCTGTGTGGATTGGGCCTAAGGAGACAGGGCAATAGAATGGGCAACAGTGACAGCAGCAAGGATGAAGAGGAGAGCCCACTCAAGGAGGGAGAACTTGCTGAGGGGCCTACCAGAACATGGAGTAGGGACTGACAGCTTTAGGTGGGGGATTGGTGTGAAAATTCTTGGCATCCCCTGTAGAGCTCAGATGACTGGGCTCAGTACATCCCAATGTGGTTACACTAAATTGGTACATTTCTCTTCCTGCCTCCTGCTTCTAGAAGAGCCTGGGACATGGTGTTGTAATGATGGGCTAGCTATTTGATTGGCCACTTGAAATGGGTGTAGGTTGACCTGTTTCTAAGCACCATGTACTCACACAACAATGGAAATAAACAGTCCAATTGAGAGATCGTATCTTCTTTGCTACCCAGTACTTACAAAAATAAATAAATACATCAAGGTCACATGAAATCAGGGGAAGGGTTAAAATAATGGTGGCCTTTTCGGGAGGGCTGTCTGAGACGGCGCAGTCAGTAGAGCATGAGACTCTTAATCTCAAGGTCATGAGCTCAAGCCCCAAGTTGGGCAAAAGATGTCTGCATTGCAGAAGATTGGACTAGATCAGGCTTCCTCAACCTTGGCCCTCCAGATGTTTTTGGCCTACAACTCCTATGATCCCTAGCTAGCAGGACCAGTGGTCAGGGATGATGGGAATTGTAGTCTCCAAATATCTGGAGGTCTGAGGTTGAGGAAGCCTGGACTAGATGACTCTCGTGGTCCCTTCCAACTCTACGGTCATAATGATTCTATAATCTATAACTCCATGCTTGGGGCCAAACTAAGTTTAAACATGCAAGTCAGCATGGAGACCATACCTCTCTCTCTCTCTCTCTCTCTCTCTCTCTCTCTCTGTGTGTGTGTGTGTTTAAAAAATCATATTAAAGATTTCCCTCTTAGAAAGCATTTGTCCAATGTTTGGGTTTTGTTTTGTTTTTTGCTTTCTTCAATGCTTTCCCCCGGTGAAATCCATTCTTTACCAATAAATTGCAGCAAACATCCATCGACAGAAAAACCTGATTAACTTTTTCTCCAATTCAGCTGTTAATCATGGGATTCCCCGGGGGAAAGTAGCTGGACAAGTGTGGATAAGCCCCTTGTCTCACACAGCTCTGTTCCTTCCATTGGAAGGAATGGATCAGTCTTCACATGCAAGGGATCTGAGTATACTTCTGATGGTAGAGAGATCTCTAGATTATGATGAATGATTCACTCTACGTCTCCATTAAATCACCACTGAATAATAGACACTATTACTATTATTATTATTTCCCCCTCAGTACATTGGAAATTTAAATTTAATCACCAGGCAATATAACCAGTTGCAGAGGACAATTCTGCCTGAGGAAGCAGAGCTCATAGCACACGAGATTGGGAGAATCGACCAACAGTTAAAGCCTGCTTTCGACACACTGACCTGGCAAAATGAGAGACTGTGGGACTATATCGAAGAAACCAGGGAACTCGTTGAAAACGTAGGCAGCAGGCTCCAGAAAGCCAAGGAGAATGTGGGGTTGATCCAGAACCTGCTGCATAGACTGAGTGAAACTTCGTTCCTTGTGCGGAAAACTGGTGTCACTTGTCCACTGCTGTGCCTTGATAACAATGAAAGAATGTGCCAGCTATATGGATCAGTGCAAGAGATGAGCACCAGGATCCACCAATTGGTTCAGGTAATATGTAATTTATTTCCCCCCCCCCCACCCTCCAGAAAATTCCCAGAAAATTTTATTTATATTGTGGAAAACAATTAGACCACCTTGTTTTTAACTTTGATTGATAATTTTAATGTCTATTTTATTTAAACTGCTTAGAGGTGTTTTTATGATTAAGTGATATACAAATTCTGTTAAACATAAATAAATGAACTCTCTGGAGGGCCACAGGTTTCCCATTCCTGCCCTAGACTGAAGTATGCAGATCAGAAAGTTGGTTTACTTAGCATGGTGTGAGGGGTGTTAAAATCCTGCCAGGAAGTTCGTTGTGTGTCTTTGGAGAAGTCACAGTTTCTCAGCCTAGCCTAGCTTGCAGGGCTGCTTAAATGAGTTTAAATGAAGGTATTACAACAGTCTGAGTGGACATATAGTTGTAAACATCTCTGTGATCCTCATATAAATGGTGGTATAGAATTTTAATTAATAAATAAATTATATATAAAATAAAATAAGTATATCGGATTCCCATTCCTTTCCCCTCTTTCTCATCTGGTTTACCCTCCTGTGATCACATATTAGGGCTTTCATGTTAGCAGCGATGGCCAAACTTGGCCCTCCAGCTGTTTTGGAACTACAATTCCCATCATCCCTGACCACTGGTCCTGTTAGCTAGGGATGATGGGAGTTGTTGTCCCAAAACAGCTGGAGGGCCAGGTTTGGTCATCACTGATGTTAGGATGAGATGTGCTCACCAAATCACAGAGACAGAGGCGCTGCTAGAAACAAGGAAAATGAGAGATGTACAGCTTGCATAGCCTCTGTAGCTCTCAGACTTCCTGCGTTGGTGTTGTCCTTTATTTTAGAGCATTGTTCAATGGACACTTGAGTGATCAGGCGGGCAATTATGTTGTAAATAGCGGGGACCTTTTCCTCCTTGAAAGAAAGAAGAAAAGGAAACGGCAAAAAGAGTTGTCTTTCACTTTTGAAGAAGTAAATTAATTGGAATAGGGGAAATTCTGTGTTGGGGAGTTCAATTTTAAATTCTGCTGCTCATTTTCGGGCAAATTGCTTTCTCCAGGAGAATCAGAACTTGCTTCAGGCAGATCCTCTTTCTGATGAATGGAAAGCCTACATTGAATACATAGACCACATGATTTCAGATGGACTGTTTCAAGCTATCAAGTGTTCTCTTCAGTATCTGGTTGAAAACACCGAGACAACCTCAAAACCTGCTCCCTTATTTGAAGCGCAGCTCATCCTTAACGACAACGAAATGACTTTTAAGCCTTCTTTGGAGCACACTGTCGACGGCAATTTTTCTGACATCGTGGAGGGCCTAATCCAGAACATTTACCTGATTGCATCAAATATAAACAGAGTTGCCAAACATCTTGGACATCACACTTATCAGGTATAATCACCAATGTATCTACTATCTTTTTCTTTAACCACTGAATATTTTAAACAGCCATTTCAACTAAGGTTATATTGTCCATCCAATTGACTGAATGATAGTCTTTGGCTTTGTTCTACCTTTGATGTTCTACCTATGATGCTATGGTTTGGCCAATATGACACCGCTGGCATCCATTACAAATAAAACAAAATGGTAAACTCTGTTTTGGGAGACACCCAGCAAAGTGGGTTGTACTAATGGTAATGTGTGTTTGAATCAAACATGATGTGACTATAAGCAAGATTTTGAAAAAAATGTGCTTGCAGCCAACCTCATCTCTTTGCTCACAAAAAGCAGCTGGGACCACATCTCAGGGCAATGGGTTTTAACCCTTTTCTACCACCCTTTTCTCGCTGAAAATTGCTCCTCCCCTTGAAGTAGCTTCAGGTGGGGGAAAAGTTAAAGTCCCCCTGCTATATGGTTCCAGTCTGAATTGGGGATCCCCCACAACTTCTTTTTGTAAACAAAGAGGCATGGACATGCACAAATATGCGATTCAAAACCATGCCTAAAATTGTCTAGTTTTATTATTTGGGGTAGGGGTGGGAACCTAGACAACAATACCTAAAGGCTCTCAGTGGCCTCTGATAACAGGGCCCAAAAGGCTGAGGGTAGCAGTTCAGCAACAACTCAGATCTGGAGGACACCGTGTTGGCTACCCCTGGTCTAAATGATGATTTAGACAAGTTATCCAACAACAGCTAAAGGACATATAGTTTGGAGGCATGTAGGCTCTTTTGCTGGTTATGCTGAACACATGTAGGAGGTAAGGCCAAAGTCAAATGGGAACAATTCCATTTCCTTACCTATGCATGCTCATAATAGCTGAAGAAGTTTGGAATATTTTTCAGACTTAAAAAGTGTGTGTGTGTGTGTGTGTGTGTGTAATTGTGAACACATCCAGACACACTAATTAGTCTTGCATTTATTGAAAGCCTTCCACTCACATCTCATTGGTATATACCTTAGGGGCAGGGCATCATTTTCTCTCCATCGGATTTTAGCTCTCTTTTTTTTTGCCACTTAGAAACAGCTTGCCATGGCAACAGCATTTTGGATTATGTGAGTAGTCACATCTGAAATTGCACGCCAAAGGATTCTTGGGGCTGAGAGCCTAGACTGGAATCTTAAAAGAGAATTGCAGTGTGGCCTCTGACACTTGTTTCGTAATGTAATTATTTGTGCGCAATCCTATGTGTGTCCCCTCAGAAGTAAGCCCCATTGAGTTAAGTGGGACTTATTTCTGGGTGAGTATAGGAATGCAGCCTAAGGCATATTTCAGCTTAGTGTAAAGTAAAAGGCAAAGGTAAATGACCCCTGGACGGTTAAGTCCAGTCAAAGTCGAGTGGGGTGTGGCACTCATCTTGCTTTCAGGCTGAGGGAGCCAGTGTTTGTCCATAGACAGCTTTCTGGGTCATGTGGCCAGCATGACTAAAGCACTTCTGGCACAACAGGACACTGTGATGGAAGCCAGAGTATGTGTTTGTAAACCATGAGATTAGTTTACAGGGGTACCTCGGGTTACATACACTTCAGGTTACATATGCTTCAGGTTACACACTCCGCTAACCCAGAAATAGTGCTTCAGGTTAAGAACTTTGCTTCAGGATAAGAACAGAAATCGTGCTCCAGCAGCGCGGTGGCAGCCGGAGGCCCCATTAGCTAAAGTGGTGCTTCAGGTTAAGAACAGTTTCAGGTTAAGAACGGACCTCCGGAACGAATTAAGTACTTAACCCGAGGTACCACTGTATATACGTGCAGTTGTCCTGGGGCCTTGCTGCAGTCTCTCTCTCTCTCTCTCTCTCTCTCTCTCTCTCTCTCTCAAAAAGCATTGAACCAACTCTCTCTGGTTTTATTTTCACATTTAGGATGATGTGGACCAGATGGATACACTGGATAAAATGCACCGGGAAATCATGGCCAGGGTGCACTCGGTCATTGTTAATGTTCAGGAATATCAAAGCTACTTTAGGAAATACAGCCACTTATGGATGGATGATAAAGCCAAATTTATGAAGCAGTTCCTTGTCTATGGACGATTTCTCCGTACTGAAGAGCTGGAATTATATGCAGACTATGAACTTCAGAAATGCTCCCCACAGTTAAATCACTTTAAACAACAGGTACTTTGTCATTTTTAAAGGTCTTTTCATCTGCCTCTGTTAGTTGTGTTCCATTAAGCTATTTACACGATTTTGCTCTTCTAATTAAAACACCAGAATTTTAATCACATCTTGTTCTTTAAGATCAGCATTTATGAAGCCCTGCATGAAGAAGTAAGCAAGTTTGAAAACCAGAAGATTTTTAATGGCTGGTTTCAGGTGGATATTAAGCCTTTTAAGATAACTGTGATGAATGTTATTAAAAAATGGAGCTGGATGTTTCAGGAGCATCTGCTCAACTACGTAGCCCAAAGGTAAGCCATCTTTGATGTCTTTTAAAAAGGCTTTTGAATTCTACATCTTTTGAAACGGGGGTGGAACGGTGCTCGTTTCGTGAAATATTGAGTAGGGGAGAAACAAGGCCATGGAGCATCACCAAAGCCAAACAAAAACCACCATAAAGAGTTTGATCCCAGCAAAGCAGAATCGCAGATGATCTTGTACAAAGGACTTGCTCTGCTGAATGGTCCTTAAATACGTCCTTTTGTGGGTTAATTGCATTGAAGAAGAAGCAGGGGTCTGCTGCTGGCACCAGCCTTGACGTTGTGCAGCTTCCCTGGCCACACCTCTGATGTGGAGTGTGGATGTCTGCAGGAGGCAAGGCTATATACACACAGACTTCTGTATGAGCCAGAACCCCAATTATGTAGGTGTGCAGAGGTCCCCAGGGCCACCCCAATAACTCACACATCACACCAAATTTTTTGTTTAAGGTTTTTGGCATAATTTTGGCCACAACTTTATTAAAATACAAACATGTGAGTGGTTGCTTAGGCATTGGTTGCGACTATCTGCCCCCACAGTGGGGGCCAGACTGACATTCCGCACGCCTGTGAAAGTCAGAAAAGGGGAATACACTTGGGGGTAGCGACGGAGCAGGGAACCTGCCCTCAGCCCTCCCCAAATGCAGCCAGGAGCTCTTGCAGTGGCCCAAGCCCCCTTGACAGGGTGGACAAGCAATAGTTAGCCCCCGATTCCTTTAACGGAATCCCTTGCAGCAGCAGCATTAGAGGGGCAGGCACAGCCAATCCATGCCCCTGAACCAACCAAACCATAAACCAATGCCTAACCACAACCTTACAAGTTGGGACGATTTGCTACGCAGTAGGCAAAAACCAAATGGCCCCAGCCAATCGGCCAGATGGACAAAATTCCTACCGGGCCCCTGCCCCAAGAGCAGACGACCCCATGACAGGCATAGCAAGGTCAAAGCGAACAACCCTAAATATAGGGGGGGGGGGGACGACGGGCACGGGCGATGCACGGGCGAAAAGAAGAAGCCCTAGCCTCGTGCAAGGAGTTTCAGCAGTCTGGCTGTCAATCAACAAATTGCAACATTAACTTCTTCCCAACAAGGGAAGCCCAATCGCATCAGTGGCCAACGATCAATTAGCCCGCCCCACAACTTTGGAGTGTCCTGGCGGCCCCCACCGCAACACGTGCTCTTTATGAAGGAGAACACGCTTTGTGGAAGGCTGCATGTCAGTGGACAGCCCAGTGCACTAAGCCAATGAACATGCAGATGGAAGCTTCTCACTGGGGAACCTTAAGACCAGGAGCCAAAGGTGGCACCTCTAGAGACTCTTTCCAGGCCTATACTCCACACACACCCCATGCCACAAAGTTCTTGCCCAGGTAACACCTCTTGCCAGCCCCGCTCTGTTCCTTCTTTGAGTATTTTTGCTTGGCTTGCATGTACTCTAGAGTTGTGATAATGCTTCTTATTGGCCTGGAGGATGGGGGACGCATGTGGAGGGGTGTAGAACGGCTGAATGGATGTGTGCACATGTGTCTGGAAAGGTCCTTAAAGTATAACGAAGTTCTGTGAAAGCAGCAAACTCAGTACACGTTAGTTGCAGACATCATAACCTTGTTCTAGCATTACAGAATTAGCCAAGTTCATCCATGAAACGGAAAAAGGGTTAGCTAAGAAAGTGAATGAAGGAGATTATGCGCTTCTGGTTGAAATAATGGGACACCTCATGGCTATCCGCGACCGACAATCCATTGAAGATATTTTCAAGCCTCTAAAATCGACGGCTGAATTGCTGCGAAGCTGTGGGCAACAGCTACCAGAGCAGATTTACACAGAACTTGAGGTAAAAATTCAACTGCTGTTGTTTCTGCTGAGTTTTAATAATAATAATAATAATAATAATAATAATAATAATAATAATTTATTATTTATTATTTATACTCCGCCCATCTGGCTGAGTTTCCCCAGCCACTCTGGGCGGCTTCCAATCGAGTGTTAAAAACAATACAGCATTAAATATTAAAAACTTCCCTAAACAGGGCTGCCTTCAGATGTCTTTTAAAGATAAGATAGCTGCTTATTTCCTTCACATCTGAAGGGAGGGCATTCCACAGGGCGGGCGACACTACCGAGAAGGCCCTCTGTCTGGTTCCCTGTAACCTGACTTCTCACAATGAGGGAACCGCCAGAAGGCCCTTGGCGCTGGATCTGAGTGTCTGGGCTGAACGATGGGGGTGGAGAATAATAATAATAACAACAACAACAACAACAACAACAAATTAAATTTGTATACCACCCTATACCCACAGGTCTCAGGGCATTTACAAGATAAAACCACAATATAAAACCTCAAAATACATAATATTTAGAAACTGATAATAAAAATAAGTTTCATAACGTTTGCTGCTTACAGAGGTCTTCTCAGCATGTTAGGTCCCAGTGAGATCAGAGGCAAGAAGTGAACTTAAGGAGAGCCCTGCTGGGTTGGACCAAATGCTCACCTGGTCCCAGCAATCTGTTCTCCCAGTGACCAACTAGATGCCCACAAGCAGAGAATGAACAAAAATAGGCCCCCTCTTTTTCACGATACCCAGGAACTGGTATTCTGAGGCATTCCCCCTCTGATACTTGGAGGCGTCACAAAGCCATGCTCATGACTAATGGGCTCTAATAGTCACATCTTCCATGAATTTGTCTAATCCCCATGTAAGGCCATCCAAGTTGGAAGACCTTCACTGCATCTTTCATTGCGTGAATAAGTGCTTCCTCTTATTCTCCCTGAATCTGCAAACACATCAGCAGAGGAAGAAGGGAGAGGCAGTGGGGAAGTTGGCGCAGTGTGGACGTGGGGAAAGGAGCATTTGTCTTTGCTGTGCTGATCTCCACGTTGCCTGCCTGCCCTTGGTAACCAACAGCAATGCGTAGCATTCAGAAGCCAGGTATGCAATGCTACCCTGCCTGTGCAGCCCTGCCAACCACTAACATCTAATACTTGTTGTTGTTGTTGTTTAGTTGTTTAGTCGTGTCCGACTCTTCGTGAACCCATGGACCAGAGCACACCAGGCCCTCCTGTCTTCCACTGCCTCCCGCAGTTTGGCCAAACACATGCTGGTAGCTTCGAGAACACTATCCAACCATCCCGTCCTCTGTCGTCCCCTTCTCCTTGTGCCCTCCATCTTTCCCAACATCAGGGTCTTTTCCAGGGAGTCTTCTCTTCTCATGAGTGTCCTTCCAGTGAGCAGTCAGGGCTGATTTCCTTCAGAATGGATAGGTTTGATCTTCTTGCAGTCCATGGGACTCTCAAGAGTCTCCTCCAGCACCATAATTCAAAAGCATCAATTCTGAGGTGATCAGCCTTCTTTATGGTCCAGCTCTCACTTCCATACATCACGACTGGGAAAACCATAGCTTTAACTATATGGACCTTTGTTGGCAAGGTGATGTCTCTGCTTTTTAAGATGCTGTCTAGGTTTGTCATTGCTTTTCTCCCAAGAAGCAGGCGTCTCTTAATTTTGTGGCTGCTGTCACCATCTGCAGTGATCATGGAGCCCAAGAAAGTAAAATCTCTCACTGCCTCCATTTCTTCCCCTTCTATTTGCCAGGAGGTGATGGGACCAGTGGCCATGATCTTCGTTTTTTGATGTTGAGCTTCAGACCATATTTTGCGCTCTCCTCTTTCACCCTCATTAAAAGGTTCTTTAATTCCTCCTCACTTTCTGCCATCAAGGTTGTGTCATCTGCATATCTGAGGTTGTTGATATTTCTTCCGGCAATCTTAATTCCGGCTAGGGATTCATCCAGCCCAGCCTTTCGCTTACATCTAATACTATCTACTGTTATATATAACATTGGCTACTGCCCTATGTTTAGAACCAACCCTGGAAAGCAGCCCTGAGTCTGTTCTGAAACCAGGGCCATCTCACAAGGTGAGTCATTGCTGAAAACACAGGTTCTTATAGGATGCAGAAATTGTCATCCATTCACTAGGCCTGAGAATTTAATATACATAAGCAATCTACTGACAATGCATCCATAAATGAGGGCACAAAGACATTTCTGCCTATAAATTGCACCTTAAAGACAATATTTCCATAGTAAAAAAGCAACAACATGTTTTCAATGAAGTACTTAAAATAAATGAGAATTTAGAACAGAAAAAATAAGCCAATCAAGCTGACACGCTTCCAAGTTTCATACCAAGCATGAAATATTTTCATTTCTTGGGAAATGACACAACGCAAAAAAAGAAGTCCAGCAGATTTATGCATAGAACTAGATATTTATGAAAAGGTGGGCTCAGTAATACTGCAACAGTTTTGGTTTTTTTACTAACCTTTCCTTTGGAATTAAAGTTTTAGAACAAAGTTGATGCCAATATCTTATTTGATACAGTGGTACCTCGGGTTAAGAACTTAATTCGTTCTGGAGGTCCGTTCTTAACCTGAAACTGTTCTTAACCTGAGGTACTACTTTAGTTAATGGGGCCTCCCGTTGCCTCCATGGCACGATTTCTGTTCTCATCCTGAAGCAAAGTTCTTAACCCGAGGTACTACTTCTGGCTGAGCCGAGTTTGTAACCTGAAGCATCTGTAACCCGAGGTACCACTGTATTTTATTTTTTATTGCTTCTCCTTAACTTCATCTATCTATTTACCTCCCTTTTAAAAAATCTCTCCTAGGGGTTTTATCTGTTTACAGATTTCGTTTCTCAGACTTCTAGTACCTAACACTCCAATTCATCTTTGGTATAACATTCCCAGTATTTCCGCATTTTACCTCTGGTTCTAAACCTGTAAGAAGTGTGACTTTGCACTCATCCCCACTCCCCTTTATCCCATGATGACTTCCATTTGTACTAGATTCAGGTAGGTAGCCGTGTTGGTCTGACGCAGTCGAAACAAATAAAAAATTAAAAAATTGTCCAGTAGCACCTCAGAGACCAACTAAGTTTGGTCTGGGTATAAGCTTTTATTTTCAAATGAATTTTTATTATTTTCTTCATATAATCCTTTCCCCAACATTCCTTATTATCACAATATAATCCCTTTGACTCTACCGAGTCTTGACTTCCCTCCCTCCCTGCAGCTGGTATATACATCACATATTTATTGCATATATTACTATCATAACTCTACTATTTTACATTGAAGGTGTTATTCCAGTCCTGCTAGTGTCTTTAAACTTTTGTGCTTCTCCTTTAAATATTCAATGAATTTACTCCAATTGTTGTTGTATCTCTGGTCCTCTTGGTCCCGGATCCTTCCTGTCAATTTGGCAAGTTCTGCAAAATCTGTCATCTTCACCTGCCACTCCTGGATGGTTGGCAAATCTTGTGTTTTCCATTTTTGGGCCAGTAGAGTTCTTGCGGCGGCTGTGGCATACATAAACAAATTCTGATCTTTTATTTTAATCTCTATTCCCACTAGACCTAGCAAAAATGTCTCTGGTCTTTTGGGGAAAGTGTACTTGAATATCTTTTTAAGTTCATTGTAAATTAATTCCCAGAATCTCTTAACCTTGTCACAGGACCACCACATATGAAAATAATCCCCATCTACTTCCTTAGATTTCCAGCATTTTCTGTCTCTCTTTCTATACAGTTTAGCCAATTTTATTGGCGTCAAATGCCATCTATACATCATTTTTAGTACATTCTCCTTCAAAGCCATACATCCTGTAAATCTCATGGTCTGGGTATAAGCTTTTGTGTGCATGCACAATTCTTCAGATACACCGTATTCAGTTCTGCGGGGACTTGGAAGCATTTTTCCGCCATCTATGCCTGTGGGAGTACTTTCAACACACACAAGAACAAGACAAAGAAGAACAAACAGCATCTTCACAACACAACATCTCTCCACCTACTGGGGAACAGCTACCACCCACCCAACCCACCAATGAACAGAACATTGACCACCAACTGCCATAAAAAAAAAGTTACCAAAAAAGAGAATCCACAATACCACACTAGATCTTTACATCAATTGCTTCCGCCGCAGAAGGTGACTTCTGTTTCAGTGTATCTGAAGAAGTGTGCATGCACACGAAAGCTTATACCTAGAACAAACTTAGTTTCTAAGGGGCTACTGGACAATTTTTTAATTTTTAGTTTATTTCCATTTGTACTGTGATTTCTAGGCATTTCTGAGAGGCTTTTCTTTTGTCCTGCCACTTTCCCCAGGAAAACCCACTGTTTACTGCTGAATTAGAATAAACGTCAATCTGCAGAAAACCCAGTAGATGTTTGCTCCAATTTAGCAGTAAAGCACAGGTTTCCTGGGGAAAGAGGCAGGACAATAGAAAAACCTCTCAGACCTATGCCTAGAAATGATGGGACAAATGGGAGTCTGGCTCTTGCTAGTCCTCCTTGATCAGTTGGTTGCTCTTGATACCACTGACCATGGTATCCTCTTGGTGTGGCTATTAGGAATTTGGGGTACTTTGGTTCTACTCTTGCCTCTAAGGACCATTAGCAGGTGTACCATTTTGTGGAGATGTCTCCTCAACCCCATGGCATTTGCGTTATTGGTTCCTTCCATCTTTCCCCATACATTTATATGAAGCTATTGAGAGATATTATATGGATATTTGGAGCCTGGTGTCACAAATCTGTGAATAACACCCAGCTCCATTTTTTCATACAAGGGAAGCACTGCTACATAGGTAAGGGAAATGATTCTCCTTTTCTGATGGCCTGGGTTTCAGAACTGGTTCAGTGTTGTTGTATGTGGTTTGTTCTAAATACATATCTAAACTTCCAGGCTGGGAAAGAGTCAAAGTTCAGTAGTATAGCTTCTGCTTTGGCCTTCCTGAAGGTCTCCTAAGTTGGAGGGAAATCTTCTGAAATGGAGAGCTAGTACAGAAAAGTCCCACTTCAGGCGGTTACCATAAATATGGATGGTGACTGGAATACCAGTGTGGGTGACGGTGGAACCAGTGCGTTGTCCACCTGTTTGTTTGTTTGTTTGTTTATACCCCACCCATCTGACTGGGTTGGCCCAGCCACTCTGGGCGGCTTCCAGCATATATAAAAACATAGTAAAACCTTAAACCTTATAAAAGCAAGATGCATACCGTATTTTTTGCTCTCTAAGACGCACCAGACCACAAGACGCACAAAGTTTTTGGAGGAGGAAAACAAGAAAAAAAATATTCTGAATCTCAGAACCCAGAACAGCAAGAGGGATCGCTGTGCAGTGAAAGCAGCAATCCCTCTTGCTGTTCTGGCTTCTGGGATAGCTGCGCAGCCTGCATTCGCTCCATAAGACGCACACACATTTCCCCTTACTTTTTAGGAGGGAAAAAGTGAGTCTTATAGAGCAAAAAATACGGTAAATTAAGCTTACTGAGATGCAGACTGTTGAACCTAAACATTTTTATAAAAATGCGAAAAATATATTTTATGAATTACTATGAGCAATGAGTCTACAATTGCAGAGGATAATGAGGTGGAGAGTGAAAGGTGTAAATGTACCAGGGTAGGGGGAAAAAGAAAGTGAAAATAAGACATGTGTACAACCCTTTGTGAAAGGAAGGTTTGCTGACTTGATGTGCCAACGAACAAACAATATCGGTTTGTGCGTTGTTAGGAATTACCTGAAAAGTGGAAGAATCTTAAAAAGATTGCCTTCACTGTGAAGCATGAAGTGGCTCCTCTACAGTCCAATGAAGTGTCTGTTATCAGAAGAAAATGTGTACTTTTTGAGGTGAGATCAGTTCTGTGCTGTGAACCGGATGATTTTTCGTTTTTTGTTCCGATAACAAGCTGGCGGCAAGCTTCACTGAACTGAGAAATTGTAAACTCTTAGAAAAGGCTGTCTAAAGATAACAATTCAATGTTTCTGGTAATATATTCCGGATGAATCTGATAATTTAAAGCCCACTTCACCTAAAAGTGGGAATGATGCTTGCGTCCTCTTTATCTTCAATTATGTCTAATCTGTTTCTACTTCAAACATGGTGCCTGCCACTGTTGTCAGATCAAATGTAGATTTTAAATGTTTTATGCTTATCCACCGGGAATGTTTTAAATGTATGTGCGCTGTGATTTGTGTCGGGGTTGTGCAGGCTGTATTAAATAAAGTTTTAAGCAAATTCAAGGGGACTTAAATGAAATGATTCAGGGTTCATGGGATGGAACGTACTTAATGGATAGCAGCCAAGGAAAAGTTACGGTATCATCTCAATGGATCACCTGCTTGACCTTTCAAGAACTCAACTTTTGTGTTTGTGTGTGTACTATGTCTTTCAGGTTAAACAGCAAGAGTTCAGAAACAGATTTAAAAATGAAGCCATCTTTAGCTTTGATGCTGGGAATCCATATGCATGCATGGACAAGGTAATGTTTTTTTCTGGATTAGACACTTCAGTCACACTTAAAAGAAGCTAGAAACGGTTACATTTTTCTGGCATTTTTATTGGCCCTGTTCCTGTGTCATTAACGCACAAATATTTGACAGACAAATGTTTTCCTGGCATGGAGAAAAGTAGTGAGTGATGCGTATCTTATCTGATTCTCTGCATTAGGCTGCTGTCAAAGGCAGCAGGACCAAGTTCTAAGTGGCAACTCTCTATATATCTAAGATATATACAGTGGTACCGCAGGTTAAGTACTTAATTCGTTCCGGAGGTCTGTTCTTAACCTGAAACTGTTCTTAACCTGAAGCACCACTTTAGCTAATGGGGCCTCCTGCTGCCGCCGCGCCGCCGGAGCGCAATTTCTGTTCTCATCCTGAAGCAAAGTTCTTAACCTGAAGGACTATTTCTGGGTTAGCGGAGTGTGTAACCTGAAGCGTATGTAACCTGAAGTGTAAGTAACCTGAGGTACCACTGTACGTATGTATATCTAAGAGAGTTCCAACAACCTGAAGCTAAATTTCTCGAACTTTTCCACAACTGTCTTGGTGCCTGCCACATAAAATTTGTATGATCCGTTTAAGACTAGCCTCAGTGAAAGGAATTATGATATTTTCCCAGATGTAACTTGGGGTTTTCCATAGTCCCATTTTACTCAGGACTTACTAGAACCCAGCTTAGGAGACCTTACTTCAATCAAGAGGAAAGAAGGCAGTATCAAAATGTTTCTTTTTTCCTTTTTTAAAGGCAAAACCCCAAATAGGTGTTCAGAAAGCAGACATTTATTGTAGTATGTTACTTGTGCAACATGTTTTGACTAATTTCTTTCACTACAATTTAATCTCAAGCAGTTTTTAAAATGTTCCAGATTATAGAGGGGGGCTTCAAGGTCAAAAGGGAGGGCATGGTTCAAGAGCAAGGATGGAGAGCCTGTGGTCCAGCAGGTGTCATTGGACTCCAATTCCCATCAGCTAAAGCCAACATGGCCAATAGTCAAGGATGATGGGAACTGTAGTCCAACAACATTTTCAGGGCCCCAGGTTTCCCATCCTTGTTTAAAAAAGTAACAGTGTTAGCCTCTCTCTCCAAACATAACTGGGAGGAGCTTCAATATTTTCTGAATTGGGCCTTGACCTTGTTGTGTAACCTTGGATGCAACAGTTTAGCACACCCATCAATTACCGTATTTTTTGCTCTATAAGACTCACTTTTTCCCTCCTAAAAAGTAAGGGGAAATGTCTGTGCGTCTTATGGAGCGAATGCAGGCTGCGCAGCTATCCCAGAAGCCAGAACAACAAGAGGGATTGCTGCTTTCACTGCACAGCGATCCCTCTTGCTGTTCTGGCTTCTGAGATTCAGAATATTTTTTCCCTTGTTCTCCTCCTCCAAAAACTAGGTGCGTCTTGTGGTCTGGTGCATCTTATACAGCGAAAAATATGGGCATCTTGCATACTTCGATTGATGGCAAACAAAACTGACTCCATTTATTTATGTATTAAAGCATTTATAGCTTTCTCTGCATGAGTCCTGATAATCAGGGTGGCATACAACCAAACTTCTATGCAAAGGACACTAGACCCAGCTCATCAAGATGAACACAAATACTCACAGCAAGAGTATTTGTAAGAAAACAACAGGACAGGCTAAACAGTCACCCACACAAAAAGCAAGTCTAAAACCATTTAAGATTTCTGAACAAATTAATAACTTTTAAGTTGACTTGGCACCGAAACAGTAGCAATGTCAGTGCCTCTTGTAAGAAGAGGGAAATTCACATTGTGCAAACGCTCAGATTATTTCCCTGGATAGAATTCCTGTGGAAGAATTGCTCTTCTTCAGATCTAGTGTAATCTTTTACTTCTCTAGTATTTACTCCTAAAAAATTAGCAATGTGTTTCCCCAATACTTATCAAAATCAAAGAACATCAGAAGCAAAGTCTTCATTAGAGACATCCATATATCCAGGTTCTTGTGAACATGTAAGCAAAAACCTGGTACTTTTTCTTGATAATATGTTTCAAAATGGTGTCCTTGCAGACTCATAAAGACATTGCAAAACTAGAGACAGAAATGAAACTGCTGCAGGAAACTGCAAAGCTTTTTGAAGTGAGTGTGCCAGAATACAAGCAGCTGAAGCAGTGTCGTACTGACGCCATCTTGCTTAAATCAGTCTGGGATATGGTGGTGTTTGTCCAGGTAAGGACTCGCTTTCACCATTTGCATTAAAGGGATGTTATTTCAGAGAGGACAGAATGAAGTGGTACAAGATTACTTTGTGATGTGGTGGGTCCTGTGTTGATTGTGTCTGTGACCTGCTAGGTCGTGGAAACAGTAACAAGTTTATGGAGATAAGGAATGAAGCAAAATAGTAAAAGGAGATTACTAAGAACCCAAAACTCAAGATGATATCGTGCATTCAAGCTCGTTTGTCCAGCCAGCAATTGAGAAACTAAATCAGCCTCTTGTCAGCTCCTTCACAGGCACACCAGATCACAATCCAAATTCACCTACTCCATCAATGACCATTTATCCCTTTATAATTGTTGGTGTTTTTCGAGTCTGTTGATGAGGCAAGTCTGTTTCCAGACAGTCAATAAGCAATTTGAACACTTCACCTGTTCAGGCTTACTGTGGCTTTGGGCTGATCTGCCTCCCTCCTTCTCTCTGGTGCCCTGATGCTCTCCTTCCTGTCCCCTTGCTTTGCTCAAACAAACCAAAGTTGGTGTCCAAAACAGAAACCGAAAGCCATTTCATACTGTGGTTTCTAACGATGGCTTGCTCAAACCAGGAAGCGGAGAACACTAGAAGGAGGGAGAGATGAGCACATGTCAGAAGTCCACTCACAATCTATGGTTTAGCCATTGCTTCTGAACCTGTTGTGAGCCTGTTTGTTGGAGTTTGTAAAAGTTCTTCCCGTGTCTAAAGAACAAAGACTTTCCTTAGATATCACACTTCAAAAATAAGAACAGGGATAGAGCCAATCAGGCTTGATAATGGTTCCCCCATCAGGTGGCATATCAAATTTATTAAATAAATAAACAAATTGCTCATTCTCAAGAGAATTTAGAATTGAAATATTTTATTGTCACTTGTACAACTTGTATACAGTGAGATTACATGAGCACCTCCCACTCAGCTCTCTTCGTCTTATTTCCCCTTGTTTACTGACGCACACCCACCAAACCCGAAAGTCAGTTGCCCTGTTGTTATCTTTTCATTCAGCAGCCTAACAGCCCATGGATAGAAGCTGTTCTTTACCCTGTTGGTGCAACTAATCATGCTTCTATATCTTCTGCCTGAGGGCAGGAGATCAAGAAAGTGCCAGCCAGGGTGTGAATCATCCCTGAGAATTTTCCTCACTCTCCTGAGACAACATTCTTCCACTATTTCATCCAGCGGATTCACGGGACAGCCCATAATATCTTGTGCTGTATTCACCACCCTCTGTAGGCACTTCCTATCAGTTGATGTCAAACCAGCGTACCACACCGTGATGCAGTATGAAAGGACACTTTCTATTGTGGACCGGTAGAAGGAGATCATCAAATGTTGATTGACATTGTTCTTTCGCAATACTCTGAGGAGATGGAGTCTCTGTTGGGCTTTCTTAACCACCTGGGTTGTATTGATTTTCCAAGTAAGGTCTTCACTGAGATAAACTCCTAGGAATTTAAAGGAAGAGACTCTCTCCACACAGCCCACCCCGATGTACAGTGGGGGTGATGTTGGCACACTTACTGACCCATCCATAGATCAAAACAGATTCATATTTGTGTTTGTTTTCTGTGGGCACACAAAACTATTTTTTACTGAATCATGTGACTGCTTCATCTAGCCCACTTTTGTCTCTTCTGACATACAGCAGTTCTTAAACAGTCTCAGGTAGCGTGCTTCATCAGCCCTATTGAGTTTGCTTTAATCAAGAGTTTTGAGGATTGAATATGGAACCTTCTGCTATTCCCCATCACTACAAAAAACAAAACAAAACTAGGGAGGTGTGGAAGTTTGCTACCATAGATCCCAGAAAATGATGACAAAGCTGAAAGCATTGAAATTACTTGTTGTATCCCTCATCTGACAAAATAAAAGAGAATTTCCTGATGGGGATTGTTGTGGTTTGAATGAGCTTGAAATAGGCTCCTCTGATGGGAGAAAAATATGTCCTTGAAAATTAATTCCATTCTATTTCTGCTTTGTGCCATGTGGCAAGTGCATGTATGACAATGCTAAATTATTTATGAACATGTGCCTAAAATGAATAAAACACACAGGAACAATGCTAAGAAAAACCAGATGCTAGAGATGCACATCAATATTCTATTTGATGATCTTCTGTCTCTAATGATCCTAGGATTTCCATTTTGTGTCATTTCCAAGCCTGTTTACATAAAAAAAACCAACCACGAATGGAAATAACGGGTGTCAGTGCTAAACCTGGAAAAAAGAAACTCAGAGAAAATGTTCCTTCCCTTTCCCTATACAGCATTCCATATAAATGCATAACCTGAGATGGAAGCAAATGGTTCCTTTCTACAATAGAAGAGTCCTTCCATCAGAGGAAAGGAACCATTTAATTCGGTACAATGTGTTTCCTTAGTCCGCTGATGGAGTCCATTTTTGCTTTAAAAGGGGGGGGGGGAGAGAAAAGAAGCATTAAAAAATGTGTATTGTTTCATCATTTGTCCTTCCATCTTTGGTAATTTTTATTTTATGAGCGCATAAGACTATAAGATGCTGAGTCTGACAGTTTCTTAAAGGTAAAGGGACCCCTGACCCTTAGGTCCAGTCATGGACGACTCTGGGGTTGCAGCGCTCATCTCGCTTTACTGGCAGAGGGAACCAGCGTACATATAATGATCTGAATGAAAACTTGGAAACCCAGACATTTCAATGAGCATGATTACATTTTTTATTTTTTGGCAATTTGTCATTCCTGTCAGTCAATGTAAAAGTGAAAATGATGAAGCTGTTGCTTGAGCAGTCCACCACTACAAGGGCCCATATGTTCCTGTACATCTGTTGCTGCTACTATTTCTATAGAATCAGTTTATAGGGGGTTGCTAAGTTGACAACTGAGTCAAGGAAGGCTTGAGCCAGCGTATCAACTCTACATGCCATCTGTGTAGTCCATGATGAAAAACGAACTAAAAAACAGTTTGTATGAAAGATATAATTTGGCGTTGGCACTAATGTGTTCCTCTGTTCACAAAAACGCAGAAATGTCCACCAATTTTCACCTTCATTTGTAGCCCCTTCACCTCAATCAATCTCTACCATTGCCAATGAGTAGACTTTCACAGGGTGCTGTGATCTGCAGAAGGAAAGGGAGATGTGAAAGCTCACTTTGGTAAAGATTAACTCTGTTCCATTTATAGAAAGAAAGTTTGGGTTGGATCTTAAGATCTCTCTTCTAGGATAACGTAAGGGAGTCATTTAGGGAGGGGGCAGGTAGTTTCAAACCACATACATGTGAGTTTTCAGAGCTCTGGTTAAATATGAAATGTAGTCATAACAAAACTTAAAATATACTGGTTATGTTTTTTGTTTGGTTTTGTTTTGCAACTGAGGCTGCATTCCGGAACCCACTCAAGTCCCATCTAAGCCCATAGATGGGACCAGGGTGGCGCTGTGGGATAAACCACAGAGCCAAGGACTTGCCGATCAGAAGGTTGGCGGCTCGCATTCCCATGACGGGGTGAGCTCCTGTTGCTCGGTCCCTGCTCCTGCCAACCTAGCAGTTTGAAATCATGTCAAAGTGCAAGTAGATAAATAGGTACCATTCCGGCGGGAAGGTAAACGGCGTTTCCGTGTGCTGCTCTGGTTCGCCAGAAGCGGCTTAGTCATGCTGGCCACATGACCCGGAAGCTGTACGCCCGCTCCCTCAGCCAAAAAGCGAGATGAGCGCCGTAACCCCAGAGTCGGTCACGACTGGACCTAATGGTCAGGGGTCCCTTTACCTTTACCTTAAGCCCATCTAAGCCCCATTTAAGCCATCTTGACTGGTGAGAAAACACTGCACTGTTAATCTCAGGTATATCTTAATGTTTGAATGTTGCCTCGCTACTGAAACTCGAAATGGCACATTGATCTTAACATTTAATGAACATCAAGGAAACGAACAGACAGAATTTCAACAATTCTTTTTGATTATACATTTTCCTTTTCTTAACCAAGTATGACTGATGACAGCAAGTCGGACAAATGAATTTGGAGTAGGGGAAGAGAGGCTTTCTAGCAAATGATTAAAACATCAACCTCCTCTCTCCAGGTTTTGATGAGAGGGCTTTCTGTTGAACGCAAGAGAATTTCTGTGGGGAAGTAATGCCTTTGGAATATGAATCTTCTGGACAATGTTTTCTCTCCCTTAAAAAGCTAGCAAGATTTTCTAGTGCACAGAATCAAGAATACATGTCTCCTTAGATTAGATTTCAGCCTCAGTAGGTTTCAGATTTTGAAAATCATTTTGTATGCATTGTACATTATACATATTTATACACAGAACCTACAGGTGAGTTTGAAAGCTCTCTTTGCATCCTAAGATGCTGCAAAAAATAAAGGTTATGGGATTCTTCTTTCCTCCTGTCTACAGATGAGCATTAAAGACTGGATGAAAACTCCATGGAAACAAATAAATGTTGAACAAATGGATGTGGACCTTAGAAGATTTTCAAAGGTGATAAATACTCCAAATTACTATATTGTATTTACATGCACTGTACTTAACTGAACTGGCAAACCAATCCTTTTCCATACAGTAGAGTATACAGTAACTTTTGGTTCTCGAACTGAAGTGGTGCCCAGTGCCTGAGAAGCACTGCAGAGAAAAGGCATGAGAACTCTCAGCTAGACTTACTTACACTGGTTTAACAGTAATTCCTTCCCCCTCAGAGAACCCCAGGGGCTGACTTCTGTCAAGGCTAGCAAGCTGTAACAGAGAATTCACAAGCACCCCTACCATGCTACGATTTCAACATTTCTTTGGCGGAAGCCAAGAAAGTTGAAAGTGGTTTGTAGAGTTGCTTTATAGGTTTGCAGAGTAGATAATAGCTTTCTTTTCCTTTTGTCTTGAGCTATGGGGTGCTTCCAGACAGGCATTGATTGTGGGATCAGTGCTCCTCATGCATGCAAGGAGCCCACACTCATTTGCTATGTGTGCATCATGCCATTGGCATCAAAATGCTAGCCACCATTCTCCACTCTCTTTGAATCCCAATTTATCCTTTCTAGGGAAAATCTGGTATTATTATTATTATTATTATTATTATCAACAACAACAACAACAACAACCTCAAATTAAGCCTTGATTGGAAGCCCCTTCTTTGGGATCACTGCATTAAACACTGAGAAGTATTTAAATTGTATGCACTTATAAAATTTGCCTGTTAAATGAATTGATCATATTTTATTTTGTCTGATTATCTATCTATCTGACAAAATGTTATCATCTATCTATCTGTCTGTCTGTCATCTATATCTCTATCTATCTATCTATCTATCATCTATCTCTATCTAGCTATCATCTATCTATCTATCTATCTATCTATCTATCATCTATCATCTATCTATCTATGGCTTTGTAAATGAATGCATATGGCCTCACACACTGATACAGCTCTTTTACATACAGCCTATGAAGATACAAGTTATGTGTGTGCAAGCTTTGCCCCTGCACAGAACTGTCTCTGCATTTTTGCTGGGTAGAGATTGCAGGACCAACGGCTATGTGTGTTCATTTTGTCTGCATGCAGGCTCTCTGTGGAAAAGCTGGACAATCTGTGAATGATGAGGGGACAGGAGCAATGGACACAATCTCAGCCATAGATGCCTGTCTGGGGGCCAAGGCTCTTTGGGCCCTCTCAGTGTTTATTTTTAGGGAGTCAGGGCCCCTCATTGTTTGAGGCCAAATGCAGAACTGGATGTGAAGTGATGGCACCTCTGATCTCAGCCCCCAATGCACTGAGCACCCCCTGTTTGGTCAATTGAACAAATCTCTAGTAGGAAGCATCCAGTTGCAAAGGAACTTCATTGTGCAATACATGCCTCCCCACAAAGTGTTACATTTGGACGATATCTGGCCTACTGAAAGCTTAATCCAGGCATAGGCAAACTCGGTTCGCCAGATGTTTTCGGACTACAACTCCCATCATCCCTAGCTAACAGGACCAGTGGTAAAGCGATGATGGGAATTGTAGTCTCAAAACATCTGGAGGGCCGAGTTTGCCTATGCATTTAGTTTCTGAAAGCAACTTTGTGTTTTACATCTGTCTCCCATTGCTTGTTTGCTTTTCACGGTTTCTGTACCACACAGGACATGAAGACTTTGGATAAAGGAATACGTGCTTGGCATGTATACGTGGGATTAGAGTCAACAGTTAAGAATTTGTTAACCTCCTTGAGAGCAGTGAATGAACTTCAGAACCCTGCCGTTCGGAAAAGACACTGGCAACAACTTATGGCTGCGACAGGGGTATAGCTTTTTGGCTTCGTACACTGGAACTGTGTGCACACAAATGCCATGTCTTTTCCTGAGCTGCAAATGACTTTTCTTTTCAATTTCGTTTCCCAGGTCTGCTTTGTCATGAACGAAGACACTACACTAGGGGACCTTTTAGCTCTCCAGCTCCACAGGGTAGAAGATGAAGTGAAACATATTGTGGATAAAGCTGTGAAAGAAATGGCAATAGAAAAAGTAGGCCACAGTTAATGTATTATAAGTAACAGCTGCTTTCGTAGGAAATAGTCAACCGTCCTAATGACACTGAAGTCAGGGGCGTGATGTGCATATAGTGTTAACAGAACCAGGGCTGCACTCGTGGAACCGATTTGTTTTCTTTTTCCATAGGCACTCATGGAAATCAACCAGACATGGGGTGTTATGGATTTCTCCTATGAAGAACATCACAGCACAGGCACACCATTGTTGAAATCCGATGAAAACCTTATAGAAACACTAGAAGACAACCAGGTGATGGCTTGTTCTGAATGTTTTCTCCAAGGCATTATGTAGCACGCCTGCCAACTATTTAGAGTCATTAATCCAACTCTCTGAGCATTTTGGAGGCCCATGCAGAACTTTGTGTGTGTGGCCTTTTCAATTCTAGCCCTTATTTTCCAGAAGCAGTCGATGTATTGTGTCGAACGCAAAGTACATAACCCGTTATTGTTCCAAACAATAGGCATGAGCAAGAGATGAGTGTTGCAGTGAGCTGCTCCCTCCAGCATCTCAGGGAAGACTTCGAAGTTCTGTGGGTGAACCACATTAGCGTGATTGTAAGTCGTTGGATGGGATCCCGTGAGAGTTCATTTAAACAGAAACAATGCCTTCTAATATTTCCATGCACTTTTTAAGAATACATACAAAACAACGCAAATAGTTCTTTTTATATTAGATATTAAATTGTTTTAACCCACATCACAACCCTCCTGATTTTCCAGAGTTTTTAATTTTTGTCAAGTCAAAACAAATTTTAAAAATGCAGTGGATCTTTATGAATGCATATTATCTGCAAGAGATCATAGTGCTACACTTGGCACCACACATGCTACAGCAGGGGTCAGCAAACTTTTTCAGCAGGGGGCCGGTTCACTGTCCCTCAGACCTTGTGGGGGGCCGGACTATATTGGGGGGGGGAATGAACGAATTCCTATGCCCCACAAATAACCCAGAATTGCATTTTAAATAAAAACACACATTCTACTCATGTAAAAACACCAGGCAGGCCCCACAAATAACCCAGAGATGCATTTTAAATAAAAGGGCACATTCTACTCATGTAAAAATACACTGATTCCCGGACCGTCCGCAGGCCAGATTTAGAAGGCGATTGGGCCGGATCCGGCCCCCGGGCCTTAGTTTGCCTACCCATGTCCTACATGAATGATTGGTTCTTGTTCTCTGGTTCTATCGGGTCCACCACACTTTTCAACATCTTTTTGATGGCATTTCTTTTGGGAGGTACTAAACATGAAATTGATCTCAGGAGTTTAAAATCTGTTTATATATCCTGCCTTTTCAAAATCTTGAGTCAAATTTAAAAACAATTAAAAAACGCAATGAAACGCAATCAAAAGTGCTATTCAGAGGGAGAAAGGGGGTAGGGAAAGCTTTTAAAATAAACAAACAAACAAACAAAATATTCTAGTCTAATTGGTACACTTAGACAATCTGTGATGACAACATTTATAGGTAAACAGAAACTGGCAATAATTTGTACACATTCCAGTTTGGTTGGTCTGTACCCAGAACTATTACTTATGCTTCAGGTGTTCGTCCTGCGGCAACTTAGAGGAGGGCTTTCTCTGTGATGTCCCCTGATCTCTGAAATAAACTCTCCGTTCAGATATGGCAGGCACATACTGTGGTGATTTTCCACTGGCTGTGAAAAAAACCAATTTGCTCAAGCTTTCCATTTCTTTTGAATCATTAGAATCAGTGCTTTCCCCCTTAAAAAATGTTTAGAGGTACTCTCATTGTCCTATTCATATTGAAATACTGCCCCTCAACGATTCACAAAATGTTTAGGGGTATGCGTACCCCTGCTTCCCCCCAGAAAATAATGCACTGATTAGAATCAATGGCAGTTTATAGGTACTGCAGTTCTTAGGGCTATTAAAAAAAGCACAACCACAGTGTGTTCTCATTGAACTGATTGATGCAAATTGCATTCTGGACCCATTCACAAGAATGACTTTTATGAGGCTGTCACTGAGGTAGCTGCAAAAAAATGATGCCATGGGTTGAGAAAACTGGCAGTAATTAAATGCTGAGTCACTACTTTACTGTGTCAAGTTATTGACAGGTTGACTTCAGTAAACTAAGCACACACTAGTTAAGTGGAGTGCTTGCAAATGCTTCAGGAAAAAAGAAATTCTGATGTTCAGGCATGACTGCTGATGCTTACAAAAAAGAATCCTTAGAAAAAATATAAGGGGAGACACTTCTCCCCCCCCCAAAAAAAATAACCTAATGAGTGACCATAAAATTCTGGCTGACTTGGGGAAAAGGAATGATAAACCATGTGGGAGGGGAAATAGAATACAGTGGTACCTTAGCTGTCGAACTTAATCCATTCTGGGAGTCCGTTCGACTCCCGAAATGGTTTGAAAACCAAGGGGCGGCTTCTGATTGGCTGCAGGAGCTTCCTGCACTCAATCAGAAGCTGTGGAATCTGTGCTGGATGTTCGACTTCCAAAAAATGTTCACAAACTGGAACTCTCACTTCCGGGTTTGTGGCGTTCGTGAACCAAGCCATTCGACAATCAAGGTACCACTGTAGAATATTGTGGAGATGGGTATGGCTGAATGGGAATACTTCGCACTACAGTAATGGTTGCAGGTTCCACTTTTCTTCATAATCATAGTAGTTAAAATAAGCATGTAAGTACTGAAGAGCTCAGAGGAGTCCGTCTTTCCTATTATGCCCTCCTGGCACTCAGTTCAGCACCAGAACAGGCTGGAGGGTCCGGGGTGGAGGGTTTGGTGTATAAAAATTCTCTCTCTCTGTCTCCAGGCTCCTGGTCTGTTTATGTGCTGATCTGGACTGTCTGTGTTAGCAGAATGTGCTGGCGATTCTTCTCACTCAACTGCTCATCAGTCTCCCAGTCTGAGCTGATTGAAGTGGTATCGTTGCTGAGGAGTCCCAGGGCGATTGTCTTGGGGGAATCTCAGGGTTTATGCTGAGACCACTTGGATATGGGGTGTTTGGCTGCCATGACTAGCATAGGACTACCCCAATATATCACCAGCCCAAGACAAGTAGCAGGTCTAAAGTGGGGTTTTTGCAACTCCTCCTTTGTCATAGTCAGATGACTTCCTGCTGAGTTTTTGACTTGTGTCAGTTTGTTCCTTCTGCAGGGCGAGGGATCTGTTAAGACAGGCCATCCCTACAGAGGCTGGTGGATTATAAAGAGCTTTGTGAGATTCCTGTGCTGGCATGGTTGTGAAATGTAGGGTGATCTGGGAAATTGTTAATTGTTCCTTGGCGTTTTCCCCTGCTAGGCAGAGCCAATACAATTCTTTGGTGCAGGGCAAGTTGAGGACAACGAAAGGAGTTGAGAGGCAACTAGAATACAAGTGGAGGAAAACTCATTTTCAAGCCTTGTTCCACAGCAGTTATGGTGCTGAAGTATCAATTCTTTTCCACTAGCCACCATTGCATCCTCTCAGTATTTCCCAGTGGACCTTTCCTAAGTGGTTTGAGGCCTCTTAAGCTCTGGCCCTTTGGATGGTGTAGCAGAGCCCTCAGTGGCATGTTATGACACATGTAAGAGTCATTTTGAGGGTACAATTGTTTGCATCCACCACAACTTAGATTCCACAGTTGTTGCAGTTCATCTGTGGAGATGGCCATTATGCTGTCTGGTCCCATATTGTTGGATGAATTTCAGTAATTTGGACTCTGGCAGATGGACTTGGGGTTCGGTCATGATCGTGTGACAATGTTTTTGCTTGTCATTCTAGCAGGAAGAGGATGACTTGCAGACTTAGGGAACTGGGCCTAGTTACCCATGGAGGACACTGATTTTCTAAATCCATTTCAGTTGGAGTTCAGGCCTGGTTTTGTCACTAAAACCATCTTGGTTGTCCTCTGGGAAGAGTGGCAAGAGGAATGTAACCCAAATGATGCTCATTGTTTAAATTAGGGATGGGAGGAAATAATGTTTCAATGCAAAATTTCCTGAATCGGTAAGTGAACTGAATCACAGCTAACATTCCAAAGGTTCACCTTTCTGAATTTTGTCCTGTAGTTCTCCCACCAGAAAGTGAATATTATCTACAAAACTACAGTTTATTAGCAAAAAATATTTGTGGGCGTGTGTATTATTAGACAAAATTGCGCACAAAATACATACATTGGGAGAAATGCGCATTAAAATCTATATGAATTTTCATGTGGACTTCTTAAATGTGGAAATGGGGCAAATAGTAAACTTTGAAAAATGAGAAGCAGAGAGAAAACAAAACTGACAGACTCATTCACTCCTAGTCTTAACCTTGGATGTACATTGGTCATTTATAACATTAGAAATGTGTTATTAAAATGTGACACCAGAGGGCGCTGTAGAGCAGCGAGCCCTCAACAGAGGAAAATTGCATTGAGAGTTATATAATGTTACATTTAATAACATTTTTACAGATCAATGTAGATCCTGCCCTTGTTTATATTTGATATATATTATAGAACCTAGTTAAATCATTTTAAGAGGCAACTAATAAATATAAATTGCAAATTAATAAATACCGTACATGGCTGTATTCAAATATTGTTGCAGGTGCTGCTTCAGAACATCCTGATGAGTAAATATGTGGAATATTTCCTGGTGGAGGTCAGTAGCTGGCAAAAGATCTTAATGGTAGCAGACATGGTAATTGCACTGTGGCTGGAAGTGCAGCAAACCTGGGCTCATCTCCAGAGTATTTTCACCAATTCTGAGGATATACGGAAGCAGCTTTCAGAAGATGCTAAAAGATTTGAGGGGATTGATAAGGATTTCAAGGTATGAACAAGCATCTCAATCTTTTCTTCTCCATAAACTATGTGAGAGAGAAAAGAATGAAGACTTATCTCAAATTCAAACCTTAAAGTCCTCGCAGTTGGTTTGTTCTGCAGTTTGTAATTCATCTCTTCTGGCATGCACATATACTTTAGTCCAGTGTTCCCCAACCTTGGGCCTCCAGCTGTTTTTGGACTACAATTCCCATCATCCTTGACCACTGGCCTTGCTAGCGAGGGATGATGGGAGTTGTAGTCCAAAAACAGCTGGAGGCCCAAGGTTGGGGAACACTGCTTTAGTCCAATTAAGCTCTAATTAACAGGGGAACCTCTGCTTCTTAATGGTGGTGTAGGAGGGTATTCGCCAGGCAAAGTGCTTTTGCACTCAGCGCCTCCCTGGCCCCCGCATTCCATGCCAGAGCGAGAACCAGGTAATGAGACAGACTGCGAGTGAAGCCTGTTCCGCCCCCCCCCCGGGGAATTTGCAATAATGATTTACCCTCTATCATCCTTGTTTTTCCATCGCCTACACTCTCCCGCTGCCATGGGGGCTGCTGCCATTAAGGCAGACTGGAACCAGAAGCCTGCAATTTTTATCTCCCTTAAACTCTATAGCTGCTGAATTTTTAGAGGCTATTGAATTGTCACTCATCTGGTCACATTTGGTCATCAAGAGTCACTTTCAAGCAGTTGTGCAGAAATACTTTTGTATAATGGACAGAACTAGCTTTTGTTTCAAGTTTTTAATGTGACACGTTTCTTACATAAATACAAATTCCAAGGGGTAGTCATGTTGATCTGGTGACAGCTTAAAGACTGTCTTCAAAGCTGTGTTACTATTATAATAATAAACTGTGAGGAGAACCTGAGCTTACAGGGTTAAACAGCTCAGAGTGTACGCTCTGCCTACTGTTGGGAGGGAACTTCTACGTCAGTTCCGAGAGACTAAAGTCTTTGTTCTGTCTCTCTACTTTCGCTTTTGAGGAGAAAGAACGTGTTTTCGCGATGCTGTTCGCTGTGATAGATAATGGATAGCCTGCTGTAAATAAAACTGCTTTTAGCTGCTAAGATCCTGTGTGGACTTTATTTAAGCACACTGAAGAATGCACTGGAGTTTTTGCAGTTTCCTCTTGCCGCTGTTGATCTCTGCTATGCTTTGCTCAGAAGCATCGGAATGCGGACTTTTGGAATGCAGAGCTGCGATGGGAAGTGTGCCGGACCTCAGGCTTATCTGAGCAATAAATCAATATTATCTAACATAAACTACTGTATATGAAGTTGAATGCTGAATATGCATCTCTTTACCCTGGCCTCTCTGGGACGCGGGTGGCGCTGTGGGTTAAACCACAGAGCCTAGGACTTGCCGATCAGAAGATTGGCAGTTCGAATCCCCGCGATGGGGTGAGCTCCCGTTGCTCGGTCCCTGCTCCTCCCAACCTAGCAGTTCAAAAGCACGTCAAAGTTCAAGTAGATAAATAGGCACCGCTCCGGCGGGAAGGTAAACGGCATTTCCGTGCGCTGCTCTGGTTCGCCAGAAGCAGCTTAGTCATACTGGCCACATGACCTGGAAGCTGTACGCCGGCTCCCTCGGCCATTAAAGCGAGATGAGCGCCGCAACCCCAGAGTCGGTCACGACTGGACCTAATGGTCAGGGGTCCCTTTACCTTTACCCTGGCCTCTCACACTTGAGATGTGTGTGTTTTGTACCCACTCTAGTCCCATGATGGTAATTTGTTTTAATTACTTTAAAATTCTGAATTATTATTATTTTTTTTGTATCCCACCTTGGAACCAATTACTACTACTACTATTACTAAATCAAATCAAATACCTTTATTGGCATCACTTACTACTACTATTATTCAACCTCTTTGCCCAGATCCTTTCTCACAATTAACCACATAAAGCGGGTAATTCTAACAGACATTTTTTTTCAGACTAAATATGACTTAGCCAGATTGTCTTAAATTCACATTCATGGCTGAGCAGAGATTTTTACCCTCTCCCCTATGCAAATGCAACACTCCGCTTGAAATGCCCTGTTGACTCTCAAAAAGAAGCTCCATCCCACTTTGAAATATTATTTTCATTTCCTTCTGCTTTTCCTCCCTCTTGGTTGTTCAGGAACTTATGGCTGAGGTGGTGAAGGCAAAAAAAGTCATAGAAGTAACAAACCAGATGGGATTACTTGGAAAACTGGAAGTTCTTCAACAAAGGTTTGACTTAAATGGATCTAAGGCTTACTTATGGAAGTATACATCTGAACAGGGTTCTAAAAGCCCTTTTTCTGGGAAGGAGGGGAGAATATTTGTTGCTATAATTGAAAATCAAAACCCTTGCTGATCTACTGCAAACCACTCAGTGATCTGCCAGCAATTTATCTTCTGCAAGATAGATTATGGGTACAGTTATACCTCGGGTTGAAGTAGCTTCAAGTTAAGTATTTTGAGTTGCGCACCGCTGCAACCGGGAAGTAATGGAGCATGTTACTTTCGGGTTTCGCCGCTCGCGCATGAACAGATGCTCAAAATGACGTCACGCACATGCACAGAAGCAGCGAAACGCGACCCGCAGACGTGCAGTCGCATCTTATGTTTACTTCAGGATGCGAATGGGGCTCTGGAACAGATCCCGTTCGCATCCAGAGGTACCACTGTATTTGACTCCAGTGACTACCTCACTGGCAATTCTAATTTATGTTAGAAATCATTTTCTTTCTTTCTTTTACATTTGTGGACTTTGTTTTTCAGGCTCACACTTTGTGAGAAATCCTTAGCAGATTACTTAGATGCCAAGAGACTCACCTTTCCAAGATTCTATTTTGTCTCTGCAGTGGATTTGTTAGAAATCATCTCTAAAGGAACGCATCCCAAGCAGGTATTTTTCTTTTTCTCCCACTGACATTGTTTGCTTTGCTAATTCTTGATGGCAGCAAACTGAAGCCATAACATTATTAACTTTGTAACCCTGGTCAACAGATTACAAGGCACTTGGTGAAGCTCTTTGACAATGTGGCCGACCTTAAATTTGAAGAGGACACAAACACTGAAATACAAATGGCCATAGGGATGTACAGCAGAGAAGGAGAGTTTGTGGTCTTCTCGGAGCCCTGTTTCTGCAAGGGGCAGGTAAATCCAGAGGCAGAGAGCAAGCCAGGAGAAGGGTATCATATCTGGATCTGGAGTTGAGAACAATTAGCTTAGCAAAGTCCACAGCAAGTCAGTGCAAATCAAGTATTTTATTTTGTTTTGTTTTGTTTTATTTATGTATTTTATTTTATTTTTAAAATAAAATAAAATAAAAGGAAGGTCAGAAGCAGTTGGGAAGCGTAGCCAATATGTTTTTAATACATGGTTGGAAGAAAAATTAGTAAGGAAAGATAATAAGAATATATAGATGATTTGAGAAGGTTGTAGAATGCAAAGATTATTGTAAATTGTATAATGTGGAGGAAATCGAGTGGGGGCAGAGGGAAGAGGGAGGAAGGAGAAAAGAATAATATGATAGATTGAGGAAATAGAAATGTAAATGTATGGGGGGATGGGGAGGAAATGGTGTTGGCTTTGGTACATCGGTATTGTAAAGTAATATGTGAAAACTAATTAAAATATATATATATATGTTTTTAATACAGTGGTACCTCGGGTTACATATGCTTCAGGTTACAGATGCTTCAGGTTACAGACTCCGCTAACGCAGAAATAGTACCTTGGGTTAAGAACTTTGCTTCAGGATGAGAACAGAAATTGCACGGCGGCAGTGGGAGGCCCCATTAGCTAAAGTGGTGCTTCAGGTTAAGAACAGTTTCAGGTTAAGAACGGACCTCCGGAACGAATTAAGTACTTAACCCAAGGTACCACAGTACTGTGTTGATCAGTCTGCCAGCAGCCTCTTCCTGCATCTCTTTAAGGGCTTTTGGAAGTCTAGGTCCAAGGAAAGCAGGGGAACTTGCAATCTCACTCAGCCTTTGGCATTCCAAAAAACAGGACCTTGTGTGAACTGTCATTGATAGGCACCACCTAAAAGCACAGAGTCCTAGAACCTCAGAATTGGAGAGGAGCTCCCCCTATTGTCAAGCACAGGGGGAGTGAATGGGGGGGCATGCAGGAATTACTGAGGCTAAGGACATATCTGAATGAATGATTTCCCTTCTATTCCTTTGGCTGTGTACGTTGTATGAAAAAGGCACAAAACATAGCTGTCAACCGTCCCTTATTTGGTGGGAAACTCCCTTATCCCAGCGTCGTTTCCCACTTCTGTCCCTGATTGATGATGTCCCATAAATTTCCCGGGTTTCAAAGGAAGCAGCTCCTCTCCCTCCCTCCCTCCCTCCCTGCCGGCCAGGGAGGAGGGAGGCTCCAACTGTGTTGCTTGGCTGCGTTGCTCATCCAATAAGGAGTCTAAGAACGAGTGGGGGGTGGAGCTTGCATGCCTTGTGCCAATCAAATCGGCTGCATTGCCTGGGGACTCGCCTTTGCTCAGCGCTTCCCAGCAGAGAGGTGACAGTGGTTTTCCCTGCTGCATCCCCTTTGCCGGGTTGCTGCGCTGTGGGAACCACCGCTTGAGGCTTCGTTTGGCTGCTGGTTGACTAAAATCCCTTATTTTGGCTGCTGATCCCTTATTTTCGAGGCTGCTGGACCCTTATTTTCAAATCTGTAAGTTGACAGCTATGGCACGAAAGCACGTTAAAAAGAAGTGGGCTTTTCTACTGCTTGACTCCATAATATCAGTGTACCTGTCTACATGCTTCAGGCAGAATGCTGGTTAAGCTCCTTAGAGGAGGCCATGCACAGGACAGTCAAGCAGAAGATAATGGAAGCTGTGGCAGCCTACGAGGATAAGTCCCGAGACCAGTGGCTGTTTGACTTCCCGGCCCAAGTGGCGTTAACCAGCAGTCAAATCTGGTGGGCAGCTGATGTCAGAATGGCTTTTGACCGGCTCGAGGAAGGCTTTGAAACGGCCTTGAAAGATTACAATCGCAAACAGGCAAGTGCAATAGCCCTCGAAAGGGGAGCATGTGTAACGTGCCACAAAACCCACAGCTTGCAACACAAATGTCCCAGCATCAGCCCCAGAAATAGCCTTTGCTGCTGACAGTTTATTGTTGTTGTTGTTTAGTTGTTTAGTCGTGTCCGACTCTTCGTGACCCCATGGACCAGAGCACGCCAGGCACTCCTGTCTTCCACTGCCTCCCGCAGTTTGGTCAAACTCATGCTGGTAGCTTCAAGAACACTGTCCAACCATCTCGTCCTCTGTCATCCCCTTCTCCTTGTGCCCTCCATCTTTCCCAACATTAGGGTCTTTTCCAGGGAGTCTTCTCTTCTCATGAGGTGGCCAAAGTATTGGAGCCTCAGCTTTAGGATCTGTCCTTCCAGTGAGCACTCAGGGCTGATTTCCTTCAGAATGAATAGGTTTAATCTTCTTGCAGTCCATGGGACTCTCAAGAGTTTCCTCCAGCACCTATTATTATTATTATTATTATTATTATTATTATTAATATTTATGGCACACAGACACAAAAATGAATATGGCAGTGCACGCATAAAAACAATACTACAAGGGCATCAATACAAACATTAGAAAAAACTGGTTGGTAAAAATTTCGTGTCCCAAAGGCTTGTCTGAACTCAGTACAGTTTGTAAAAAACTCTAAAAGAAAGCATGTCAGTATTCTGTTGGCAGCAAGCTCCACAGGGGATGGCCTGCCACACTAGTTATGAGGGACCTCTGAATTTGCGAAATATTCAGCAGTATTCAAGTTCCTTTCAACAAATACATGAATAAAAGTGGGCTCCATCAAAAGATCTCAGTGGCTGGAGGTGGAGCAGATCCCAGGTGTCCTTTCCAAGTGGGAGTTCACATCCACTTATGGCTTCTCCTCCTCACTATCTGATAAACCGCACAAACACAGAAGGGGAAGAAGAAGGCATAAAACACAGCCTCCCTGCTCTGTGGGGCTGCATAGAGCAGGGGTCGGCAAATTTTTCAGCAGGGGGCCGGTCCACTGTCCCTCAGACCATGTGGGGGGCTGGACTATATTTTTTGGGGGGAAATGAATGAATTCCTATGCACACTATGCACACCAGGAGGGCCCCACAAATAACGCACAGGTGCATTTTAAAAGGACACGTTCCATGCAAGAGCACCAGGCAGGCCAGACAGTATCGTGGATGATAAAAATTTGAAAAAATTCTTACCTGCACTGATGATAGTCATTGTTTGGATGGGGGGGTCCTTTCCTGGGTTTGGTGCTTCGTTGTGACCTCCTGGGCCTCCTGCTGCCGGACCTCTTCCACGCTTTGGGGGTGTGATGGGGGCCCTCTCGCTGGCAGCGGAGGCTGAATCACCGCCGCGCTGGCGGCGAGGTGAGCTCCGGACTGTAGGAGGGTCTCCAGAGGCCAGATCGCCGCCACGCAGCCAGCGGGGAGAGCTCCTGCCTGTTCTCCCCGCCCTCTCTCTTTTCTGTCCCCCCATAAATCTCTCACCTCCTCCCCTGCCCCGGATGGTGCCTCTTTTCCCACCAGCGGCATCTCCATCTCCTCCTTTTCCTCCTTCTACACCTCCTGAAGGAGGACTTTGTGTGAGAACGAGCAGCAGATTCTCTCTCTCTTGTCTTTTTCCCCAGGAAGCTCAGACAGTGGCCGGGCCGGGTTAACGACCCTTGCGGGCCTCATTCAGCCTGTGGACCATAGTTTGCTGACCCCTGGCCTAGAGCATACACAGCCCTTCTTACAACAAGGGTTCCAGAGTCACCCGGGGAGCGAGAGGGAGCCTTTTGCCTAGTCGCCAAGGATATGCAACAACGGCAGATACACCCTGATAGTAGCCATTGTCTAGTGCTCTGCAATGGGCATGGGACTAGGAAGCAGGAGAGGGGAGTTTAAGCCTTACCAGAGGGATAAGAGAGATGGTTCCACTCACCTTTCCCATGCCTGCAAAGGAGAGAGACTTCCTGGACTCGAAGCCACAGTGCAGACCACCTAACCACCACCACCAGAGCCGCTCGTAGTAGCAGACAGTCATCAGACACATTCGTTCACCTTTAAATGCAAACTGAATCTAATTTCTCCCTTTTTCCTAGACAGTAGTGGCATTCCACTGACATGATAGGCTTCTGCCCAATTCTACAGCACCTCAACCTTCAGATCTTAAGCATATGATTGTACTCCTAATGCAGCAGAATAAAGGAACACAATCCTCTCCCCCTCTCTTAATTTTGATAAAGGAGTTTAAATAACAAAGCACAGTTTGGCTAATACGGATTGTTTTTCTAAAATGCCGTATGATACGTGCTATATTTCAACCTCTTAATAATTCCATCACACTGAACACGAAAGCAAATGCAGTACAAATGAGTCTGCCCACCAGTATTTAATTCATATTGGAATAAAAGTAATGGCTACTAGCTGAAAAGTGTATCTTTGTTATTAAGGAAGCAAATTACAATTACGAGAAAACAATACCACTATTAGTTTGCAAAAGTTATTTGCGTTGATTAAAAGCACCAATAAGTATGCCTTGCTACCAGAACTGCTCCATTTAGCACTTGACATATAATAGGTTTTTTTCCCTTCACAGTGTAATATCTCCATTGAAATATAATTATTTTGCAGATTGCTCAACTGAACGCCCTTATAAACATGCTGTTAGGGGAACTCACCCCTGGAGATCGTCAGAAGATCATGACAATATGCACAATTGATGTACATGCTAGAGATGTTGTAGCCAAGCTTATAGCACAGAAGGTAATTTGTTGCAGAGCAATTACCCTAATGCATTTTTAAAAGCATAAGATAAAGAATAATTTCATTTGTTGAAAAGATTTCGGGTTGCTTATGTATAATGATGACAGAATATTTTGATCCAGTCAATTTCTGTCCTTTTTCTTTCGATTCAGGACTGAAGATAATTGCATTTACCAGTTGAAAAAATGCTATTTAAATATATATAGATATGTGTGTGTTTGTCCAAATGTTTAAAGTGTCTTATTAAAAATGTATGCTATAAAGTGACAGCAGGTTCTCAGCGATCTGTCCCAGACCTGTTAAATGTTACCATGAAAATGTGCATTTATTCCAGCTGGCTTTGCGATTTAAATTGTATAAAATACTATGATTGGATATTAATTTGGCAGAGTACTTTCTCTTCTCTTCTTTTAGTGCATTGTTGGCTGCCCACCCCCCACCCGGCAAGACGTCAATGATAACTTAAAAGCTCCTTCTAGGCCTCACTCAAAATGTGTGTATGCTCTGTGTACCAACAGCTTAGTGGTAAAGCTCATGTCTTGCACGCAGAAGGCAATTACAGCTTTGGGTTTTCTTTTTTAGGGAGGTGGGTGAGCAAGATGCTCTCAGTAGGCTGCACTTAGGAATGGCTCTCTTACTAGGCAGAGTGATGCAGCAGATGCTGAGAGAAGTAGAGACCGGACGGAGGGGCATGTACCATGCAGCTTCTTATAAGGACTGGGTGGCACTGTGGTCTAAACCACTGAGCCTCTTGAACTTGCTGATCGGAAGGTCGGCAGTTTGATGGAGTGAGCTACCATTGCTCTGTACCAGCTTCTGCCAACCTAGCAGTTCAAAAGCATGCCAGTGCAAGTACAGTGGTACCTTGGGTTACATACGCTTCATGTTACATACGCTTCAGGTTACAGACTCCGCTAGCCCTGAAATAATACCTTGGGTTAAGAACTTTGCTTCAGGATGAGAACAGAAATCGCGCGGCAGCAGCGGGAGGCCCCATTAGCTAAAGTGGTGCTTCAGGTTAAGAACAGTTTCAGGTTAAGAACGGACCTCTGGAACGAATTAAGTACTTAACCCGAGGTACCACTGTAGATAAATAGGTAGTGCTGCGGTGGGAAGGTAAACAGCATTTCCATGCGCTCTGGCACTTGTCATGATGTTCTGTTGTGCCAGAAGCAGTTTAGTCATGGTGGCCACATGACCCAGAAAGCTGTCTGTGGACAAACACCGGCTCCCTCAGCCTGAAGCGAGATGAGCGCCGCACCCCATAGTTGCCTTTGACTGGTTTAACCATCCAGGGGTCCTTTACCTTTATTACCTTCCATTCAGCCTTCTGTGGGCCTCCTAAGCTAGCCTGCCATCCTCAAGTGTGATGGAGGACTCTGCCCTATTGCCAGTGTTGAAGTAAGATTCTACTGTCAGTCTAGTCAGCTACTGTATATGGAATGGAGGTGGAATCATATTGCCCTTCTCCCCAGGGAACAAACGTCTTGCCAGCGCCCTTCCCCATCTCCCTTGGTTCCCTTCTGTAACTACTTTCCACTATCCCTCTGACCCAATCTGCAACACTTCCCAGAGGGAGAAAGGAAGGGAAGTAGCAGCTTCCCTTCCTCTTCCATGCTCTTTTCACTGCTTAGGTAGGTGAAGAGGCAACAATAGCAGAGGGGAAGCAGGACTCAGGCTCTGGAGGTCAGCAAAGGAACCCCTTCTGTGGTGTGTGACTTGGCAGTGCCAAATCTTCATGATGGACCTGTCAGAACCAAACCCCACCCCTTCCAGCTGAATCCCTTGAATCTCCAGTTTCAAAGATATTTTCTGCTAGTCAAAGTAGTTAGTACTAGATTTGACAGTCCAGTCATTTGGCTCAGCATAAAGCCGATTCATACGGCCAGGTTTGGTTCCTGATTTTCAATACTGTGAAGCTAAGTGGTACCTTGGTTGTCGGACTTAATCCGTTCTAGGAGTCTGTTCGACTCCCAGAACCATTCGAAAACCAAGGCACAGCTCCCAATTGGCTGCAGGAGCTTCCTGCACCCAATTGGAAGCCACGGAAGCCACGTCGGATGTCCGGCTTCCGAAAAATATTCGCAAACTGGAGCATTCGCTTCTGGGTTTGGGAGCAGATTTGTTCAGGAGCCAAGCCGTTCAAGAACCAAGGTACCACTGTATCTTTGAAAGACATGGGAGAATCAAGGAACGTGGTGGCTAATTACACATCACCAAAAAAGAGGAAATGATACACTGTAAAAGAGAGCAAAAGACCAGATAGGTTTGCATAAAAGCTGCGTATGATAATTTATACATGCAAATTTCAAAAAAACAACAACCAATAATTTAAATATAAATACAGTAGATCTCACTCTAATGGGGATGCCTGAGACCAGGTGAGCTATGTTCCTGCTCAGTCTGTTGGTGGGCAACTTCAAATCTGCTTCTCTCCCATCATTTTGTTTATCTTTAAACCAGGTAGCCTTCAAATAGAAGGTACCTTCAAATAACGTCCTCTATGAAGTAGGACACATGACCATCCTACTCAAGAACCTGCATTGTTAGTTGCCCAACACGATGTCTCAATTTAATACATTGGCATAGAGATGGAGGGGTTGAATGTTTGGAAGGCTTCCCAACCTATGGTGCGACTTCATAAGCGGCGTATCGATTCATCAGCTGGTCTATGTCAAAACTGCAAAGGGAGAATCAGATAGCAGAAAGGGCCATAGCCCAGTGGTGGAGGCGAGCATCTGCTTTGGTCCCAAATTCAATCCATGGCATCTCCCAAGAGGACTGAGGAAGACCCTGGAGTGCCATTGCCAGTCAGGACTGAGCTAGATGGACCAATGTTTCTGACTTGGGATATGGCAGCACCCTATGCTCCTAACCCAGTTCTCCATGGAGGGTGTATTTGCGTGGAATGTTAAACCTGCCATAGAGTTTGTTAGTACAAACTGGGTCCCCACACTCTTCTCCATTTTCACAGGGCTTGAACAGGGCTCTAGTGCAGTGTTTCTCAACCTGTGGGTGCCCAGATGTTGTTGGACTACAATTCCCATCATCCCTGACCACTGGTCATGCTGGCTAGGAATGATGGGAGTTGTAGTCCAACAACATCTGGGGACCCACAGGTTGAGAAACACGGCTCTAGTGGTTTAGGCTACTGCAATGCGATGTGCTAAGCATTTGAGCTCTTGTTGAGGGCAATATATATTCTGTGTAGCTTGTCTTTAAGGAAGGAATATAAGAAATGGAGAAAAGTAGCTGAGCTTTGTCAATGGCTTGCCCTTTGCAGAACCAACTGATGGTTTCAAGAGGTAAATTGAATAGCTGTGCCCAATAAACGTATGCAAAGAGTGTTTTGTTTTATTCTGCTTGGTGGCTGGGTCCTACTTAAGCTTCAAGTGTGAGACCAAGGAGCTTAGAGGCCCCTTTATCTCTACATTAAACTATAGGCCACCGGGCTCCACGCAGGGAACTCTGTGGGGGCAGTAGGATCCCTTTGCCCCTTGCTCTTATATAGCAGCCCTGCACTTGATAAGCTGCTTTTGAAATTCAGGGGAGTTTCAAAAGCGGATTATGTTCAGCCAGCGCAAGAAGCAACTGCGGCCAGAAAGGCTGCAGTCCAGACCACCCTTTTCTCTCCTTACTCTTTGGGCTGTTTCCGAAACATCTATTAACCTGTTGCTCTCTTCCTCTTTACATTTCAGGTTTCCAACGGACAGGCGTTTACTTGGCTATCGCAGTTGCGCCACAGGTGGGACGAAGAGCAGAGCAAGTGCTTCGTCAACATTTGTGACGCTCAGTTTCAGTACTTTTACGAATACCTTGGAAACAGCCCCAGGCTTGTAATTACGCCACTGACCGACAGGTGAGGACAGTACTGGAACTGGTTGAAGGGAGGCAGTTGTAAGAGAGGTAGGTGGTAGGCCTTCATGTTCCATCCTCTTAGAGGTTCTTCGCAATCTCATGATTTGCCAGTGAACATATAAGAATAAAATATCGAAAGGTCCAGGACTGTGACGAACAGTGTGGATATTCAGAGAGGAGGGCAATGTTTGCAATTCCCTTCTTAAAACAGACCAGGGATGGAGAGCCTGTGGCACTTCAGATGGTGTTGGACTCCAATTCCCCCCAGACTCCTTCCCAGCCTGCATGGCCAAAGGTGAGTTGGGAGTCCAATGACATCTAGAGAGCTTCCCCGTCTCTGAATTCAGGAGGTTTCCTTGTCTTTTCTTAATGTTGATCATTGGGTCTGAAGAAGCAGTGCTGAATTGGTCCACAATAGCTGTGTATTTCATTTAAAAAAGGAAAAAGAACATCCCTTTATTATTTTAGCATGGAATGAATGCTTTTTGTCCAGGACAATGGTCCCTTAGACTTGTTATCTGGCACTCTGTTTAAAAAGAAAGAAAGCGCCTGTGCAGAACTCTTTTAAACAGTTGCTGAATAAAAATCGCTTTCCACTGAACATAATCATCTTGTTGTGGTGCAATGCATAATAACAGTTGCAGGGAGAAAATCTGCAGCAATTTTGAATATTCTTTCCGCCGAAATTGTTTATCCACATTGCCAGAGCCTTTAAGGAAGTACTGATGTTTTCTGCATTGTTGGGAGCAGCTGTCTCTGTCTCCTCCTGTGGCTGTCTGCCTGCTAACTAGGCAGATGGCAGACAGTAGCTGAGGTGTGTCTGCTATATACAGGACTAACTTTCCTGGCTAGCAGAAAGCACAGCTGCCATGCTATTATGATGGTGATGATGATCCTTCTGTATTTTGAGACATGGGAAGCCTTGTGTGGAGCCATGTACTTTGAAGGGGTGATTAGGGTTTCTTTTTCAATGCACCGAGTAAGCACTTAAATAATCAAGCTGCCAAGTGGCATGAAAATATGGAAAATTCCTATTAATTTACCATTTTGTGTAAGGATCAGGCAAGGAAATAAGCTTCTAAGAAGTGAATGAGATTTGTTTGCCACAGGCATCGGCATCTTTTGTACTCGGGATACACATATGCACAGAAACACAAAGCAGAGCACAGCCTAGGTGCTCTAAACAGGCATGGTTGGCCCGCCTAGCGTCAAAAATCATATTTCTTTTCTGGCGTCTTTTCTGCAGAAGATGAAGGGAGGCCGGGAATAGTGAGATCAGGGCATAAAGATTAGCTCCAGGAAAGATTTTTTAAAAAATAAAAAAGTCAAGACAGGAGAAAGTTTTGACAACATCTCCAAAAGACAGGATATTTTCCAAAGCTGTGTTATCTGATGCATGACACCAATAAGAAAAAGCTGATTCTCACAACCTTCATAAGGATCATTTTACATGGGGGATAGCTTACACTTTGTTGTTGTTTAGTCGTTTAGTCGTGTCCGACTCTTCGTGACCCCATGGACCAGAGCACGCCAGGCACTCCTGTCTTCCACTGCCTCCCGCAGTTTGGTCAAACTTTGTCTTTACCAGGCTTGTAAAAGCCTCATCGTGATGCATGCCTCCGACATACCATGTAGTATGTGGCACTTGTTTTTCTGCCTGGCATTGAGAATTTCCATGCCATTTTGCTACCTACATTTTGCTGATCTGGAAATGTTCCAGGAAGAATGGCATATTGAGCCATTGTGGTGGTGTGTGAAAGGGAGACGATACAGATAAAGATAATGGCTTTGGATGCTAAGTTGCCATGAGTGGAGCTCTGCTCATGAGATGCTCCAGAAGGAAGGAAGGGGTGGGAGGCAGGCAGGTAATTTCTGCCAGTTTCTCCAGCAGCCCTCTCTTGTCTCCTGAAAATCTGCTCCACTGGAAGAATGTGGGAGGTGGTGAGAAAATTAGAGAAAAATTGAGCCAGCAGTGAATGGAATGTGTGTTTCCTTTGTGATCTTTATGAAGGTTGTGGAAGGGCAACATAGGGTCTAAGCCACAGAATAGACCAATCTTTGATAGGGTTGCATATGGGAACAAGATTTTATGGGTACTTTGGGTACCTGTTTTGATAACAGTTGGATGGTGCTGAAGCTTAGTGAAGATGATGTCCACACCTGTTTTCTAGGTGTTGATTTATTAGGAGACTCAGATCCTGTCATAATTATCTAAACCAGACACAACCATAGATGGCTAGATTTCAGGCCATGAAAATGAAAATCTTGTGTGTGGTTTCTAAAGACAAGTAAACTGCTGGAACTGAGAATAAGATCAAGAGGACTGCGAGGCATTTTTTATTTTATATTTTTGCTGTCCAGACTTTCCTAATTCTTTTTTTCTGCCTTCATTTAAAAGAAGGTAGGATTTCTGAAAAATATAATAAAGGGCAGGTTGTGTTGATGAAGTGAAGATCAAGCTACCACAAAGATAATCACTGATTAAATGTTTTCCCTTCATTTGCTCTGTCTCCAAGCAAACCCATTTTCCATGTCAGGAAACGATCCCCATTAGTGCTCAAGTTTGAATGTATTGTTCCATAATCATTTTCAGATTACTCTTCCCTTCAGACTTGGCTGAGTGAATATACAGGACTGAGCTCTTAATAAATAAGCATCTCAATGGCCATTATAGGCTTTGAAATACCAAACGCAAGAACATGTGGCATGATTCACCGAGTCTTAAATGGATCTCTACAGGTGTTGTTTGTTGTTGTTTAGTCGTTTAGTCGTGTCTGACTCATCATGACCCCATGGACCAGAGCACGCCAGGCACTTCTGTCTTCCACTGCCTCCCACAGTTTGGTCAAACTCATGCTGGTAGCTTTGAGAACACTGTCCAACCATCTCGTCCTCTGTCGTCCCCTTCTCCTTGTGCCCTCAATCTTTCCCAACATCAGGGTCTTTTCCAGGGAGACTTCTCGATCTGTCCTTCCAGTCAGCACTCAGGGCTGATTTCCTTCAGAATGGATAGGTTTGATCTTCTTGCAGTCCATGGGACTCTCAAGAATCTCCTCCAACACCGTAATTCAAAAGCATCAATTCTTTAGCAGTCAGCCTTCTTTATGGTCCAGCTCTCACTTCCATACATCACTACTGGGAAAAACATAGCTTTAACTATACTCTCTACAGGTAGATGCTTAAAAAAACCACACAACTACAGAAATTTCAAATTGAACTGTGGTCTTGGATTATTGTGGCCAAGCGTCCATTTAACAGAAGCACCTCTTTCAGTCACCTAAAGGAATTTGCCATGGTGTTGACTTAGAAGTAGATAAAGTTGCTATCCTGACCTCAATGCAATCAGTGGCCACATCCAAGGGCCAAGCTTTTCTCCTTCAGATTATAACTGTTTTAACTGGACTGTCTTAGTAGAAATTCATTCATCAGCAAGCTTTTAATTTTCATAGGCTGTTTATTTAGGCTAACCCAGTTCACCAAATGCTCTCGGACACAAAGGAATTAGTTGGAGATAATGTTAAGAACAACATCTGTGTTGTTCACGTATGCTGGGGAATATTATCTCCCTGCTAAGCTAGATGTTTCTGATTTCTGTGCTTTGTACAAGTTTCACAGAGCTCTTATTTTGACAGGTAACAGGAGACAAAGCAACAGGAAAGTACTCTCTTAACTACCAGCATTTAGTGTGGTGAATTTTCTACCTACTCCATGGCCCTTCTCATACTACTCCTGACTATAGGCAGAAAAGTTACATTTCCATAATTGCTAGAAAAACTCTCTTGTTCTCTGCAGTAAAAATGCATAAAATAGATAATGTCCCATGCTTCTTTCAAAGTTGTGCATTGGGAGAAACTTTTTCCCATTCTTTATAATATGTTAAGGCATTTCCTATGGCCTCTAAGAGAAAGGTATCAGGGTGTGTGGGTTTTAAACAATGAAGTTATCCACCTAGCTGTAACTGAATCCCTCACCTATCCTTCCCCGTCTGTGTGTGTGTGTGTGAAACTTTAAAAGTTTTGAAAAGAACAATAACATTCTTGTACATGACAGAAACAGCTGGTTAAAAAAAAGATAGGAAAGGCCGGCCACTTAGATTTCACCAGATGGGCAGAGAATGACATGATCAATTAGATCTTAGTAAAGGCATAGGATCAATGTGCTGGAGGAGGGCATGCAAGAACAAACAAAGGAGGGCACCTTGTGGAGTTTAAGGAAAAAAAGTAGAGCATTGTGATCAGGAAAGGACAAAGGAAATAGCCCACTCCTTCAGAAGCCAATGGAGGCAGACCTACTTGCAAAGTACAAGGAGAACAGGTATACAGTAATAATAAGAAGTACTGTAGGGTTAGAGGATCATGTGGAGATGGTCACAGAAAAAAGCAAAAGTATGGTAGCGCTACGGGGAAAGGTTTTATGGAAGTCAAAGATATCAGAGAGCACACAAAAGACAATCACAAAGGTGAAGGAGATGAAGATCAAGGGCGGAGAAGAAGACTAATGAGGAAGAAGAGGATTCAGAGAAAGCTGGAGGACCTGGTGGGGTCTTCTAGAATGAGAGATGAAAGACCACAGGGCGGTAAATAGGAGAAGATATTTCTTCAAGCTAGCGAACAATGTCAGTGGCAGGAATCCTAGAAAGCTGTCTCAACCGAGGCTGAATAAATGGTGGAAGGGGAAAGGCCAAGACGGGGCCTTGGGAAGAGTAAATGTCACCAAAAGTTCATACACGACACTTTTAGTTTGGAAAGAGGAATCAAGGCGGAAACATTAGGGGGGGAAAGCTTGACAAACTTATCGGTAAATGTTTAGCAGTGTAGTACTGCACAGTGAGTAGAATTAATGCTACTGGGACTTGCTTAGGCCAATGGCTTCCTCCTACGGATGAAGAGTTTGAGGAGAAATTGTTGTAAATAATGATATTGTTTTGTGCCCTTCTACCCATGCTTATCCTGCTGGATTCCAACTAGAGATTGAGGCTAGCACTAATCAACATGGAAATCTGCACAGATAAAGTTATTTTTTATATGGTTAGTTTTGCTGTTGTGGATTAGTGAGTCAACAGATGATTTCTGTGCCAGTTTTAAAACTTTTCTATTCCACGAAGTCTATGCAGGCAATTAAGAATATACCCTTCCACAGTTGTTAATTGATGTCTGCTTTTATCGTTTATTTTATTATTTTTATTTATGGTTTTATGGTTTTATTGCTATAAACCGCTTTGATTTTTTTAAATCACATGGCAGTATGCAAATCTCTTTTTAAATAAATAAATACAGTGGTACCTCGGGTTAAGTACTTAATTTGTTCCGGAGGTCCATTCTTAACCTGAAACTGTTCTTAACCTGAAGACCACTTTAGCTAATGGGGCCTCCTGCTGCCGCCGTGCCTCCACCGCCCAATTTCTGTTCTCATCCTGAAGCAAAGTTCTTAACCCGAGGTACTATTTCTGGGTTAGCGGAGTCTGTAACCAGAAGCGTATGTAACCTGAAGCATATGTAACCCGAGGTACCTCTGTACATAAATCACCTTGGGGGGAAATATAATAAAATTGTTCTATTGCTTTATACCTTGTATGAGTTTCTACACAATTAATAGAAGTCCCTTTGGTGATCAACTCTGTCTGGTGGAACTGAACATACTTGGTGGGAGAGTTCCATAGAAAACCCTAGCAATATGTTGCTCCTTCTGGGCCCCTGGCCAGCTGTTTGGGCTAGCTATGATAAACATGGATTTCACCACAATCACCTTTTGGATTATGTGTGTGAGGCACTCTGAGTTGGCTTATCTGACACTGAAAAATCCCTCCATCTAGAAGCACAGTGAATATTAGTAAAACAAGGAATAGTAATAATAAATTGGGAGGTGCACATATAGTAATTTGCTAGCGATAAAACAGTCTACTAGTTGTTCCCTGACTGTCCCATCCTTTCAAGGTGCTACTGTTGTTTCTGGATCTGGGCTTTTATCATTTGCAGCTGCTGCTACACAGTGACCTCTCCATTTGCTTCTTGGTGTTACCTCTGATTGGAATGCACTCTTATATTACTGTCCATAATAACTATGAAGATGTCAATTTAAAATACCCAGTATTGTGATTCTTTTCCACCTGAGACCTTACCAACAAGGGCCTTAGTGATAACACAACAACTCTAGGCTTGTGAGGAGGACCAGGTGAAAGTTGGCATAGGGTAATGTGAGGAGATAATACAGTGGTACCTCGGTTTAAGAACAGCCCTGTTTACGAACTATTTGGTTTACGAACTCTGCAAAACTGGAAGTAGTGTCCCGGTTTGCGAACTTTACATCGGTCTAAGAACAGAAGCCGAATGGTGGAAGTTTCCTGCTTGGCAGGGGGTTGGACTCGATGGCCCTTGTGGTCTCTTCCAACTCTATGATTCTATGATTCTATGATTCTAAGGGCACCGGCGGCAGGAGGCCTCATTAGGGAAAGCATGCCTCGGTTTAAGAACGGTTTCAGTTTAAGAACGTAAGCGCAGAATAGATTAAGTTCTTAAACTGAGGTACCACTGTACTGGGATCTAGGTTAGCGGATACTAATGAGAGTGGGTTGGAAGAGCCTCAGTTTCTCAAGATGTGACTAAATGGGCTACTGGATTTCAAAATTCGCATAACATACAAATAAGTGCTGATTGTACAAATGAATTGACAGACTTCATTTATTCCATGTTTACCAGGTGACTTATACTACATGCTAAGCGCTGCAAGTTGTAGAGAAAGAGGAACAGAGACGTTTAACGTACTAAACATGTGGAGTCTAGTAGACTCCTGCCTTCCCTTGCATTGGCTTCCTGGAGGAGTGGTGGTAGTAAGGTCCTCAGGGTCCTCATAGGTTGAGCTAAACTGTTAGGTTTTGAAGAGTAATGTCAGTTCAGAAGTCCAGTCCAATCCAAAGTGAGTCATCACTGAACAGAACCCTGGAGAGCTCCCTGTAGCCAGGGTTGGCAAGAATGATACAATATGGTAGTTACTTTACTATGGCCTAATAATATTCAGGCACTCTTTATTCCTGCTCATCTGCATTGTTGGCTAGATTTTAATGTGATTCTTCTGCAGCCTTTTCTGATGTACAGAAATATGACTGGGCTCAGACGGCACTTTATTTGATCTCCACGACATTCGCTTAGTTGTTCATTGCATTTTATGTGATCTTTCACACAGCATAAAAACCACTTCTAGAAATCTATTGGAATCTAGAAAGAGATTAGTGCTCCTTTCCATGTTAATTGTTTCCAGTGGGGGGAAAAGAAACTTTGTTTGCAATTTCCCCAACTCGGTAAATCCTGGGAGTTTTGAATTGAAGAAATTGGTGGCAATATACCAGCATATAGTTCTTTCCTGCAATTTAAAATGTATTGTGACATGGCAGTATACCGGTATATTGATTAAAAGGCCCACAGCGATGCAGTATACCTGAAGGAGCGTCTCCATCCCCATCGTTCTGCCCGGACTCTGAGGTCCAGCACCGAGGGCCTTCTGGCGGTTTCCTCACTGAGAGAAGCGAAGCTACAGGGAACCAGGCAGAGGGCCTTCTCAGTAGTGGCACCCGCCCTGTGGAACGCCCTCCCATCAGATGTCAAAGAGATAAACAACTACCTGACATTTAGAAGACATCTGAAGGCAGCCCTGTTCAGGGAAGTTTTTAATGTGTGACATTTTAATGTATTTTTAATCTTTGTTGGAGCTGCCCAGAGTGGCTGGGGAAACTCAGCCAGATGGGCGGGGTACAAATAATAAACTACTACTACTACTACTACTACTACTACTACTGTTATAAAAAGGAACATTAAAAATCAGGTTAGAAGTGCTAGCATTATAGCCAGTAAAACAAATGCAAGAAACCCCATGTCAGAATGCAACTTATGCTTCTGTTTCTACAGATGCTATATTACACTGACACAGTCTCTTCACTTGAACATGAGTGGCGCACTGTCAGGCCCTGCAGGAACAGGAAAAACAGAAACCACCAAGGACTTAGGCCGTTCTCTTGGGATGATGGTCTATGTTTTCAACTGCTCTGAACAAATGGATTATAAGGTACTGGTTTTTGTTTAAAATATTTACTGCCTAAAAAATTATTCTTGTCAAGAGCAGATTAACAAACTGGATGATGACTAGCATCTGTAAATAGTCTTGGAATGACGAAATATGACATGTGCAAATAAAAAGTGTTAATATTTATTAATGCATTTATTTTGCGTGTGTGAGGGAAGGTTTCAATGAGTTGTATCTAATGCTAGTTCTAGTTAGAGTAGACCCATTGAAAATAACTGACCTAAGTTAGTTGTGTGTTTTACAGTGGTACCTCCAGTTACGAACTTAATTCATTCCGGAGGTCCGTTCTTAACCTGAAACTGTTCTTAACTAGAGGCGTGCTTTTGCTAATGGAGCCTCTTGCTGCTGCTGCGCCGCCGGCACATGATTTCCATTCTCATCCTGGGGCAAAGTTCTCAGCTTGAGGTAACTCTTCCAGGTTAGCGGAGTGTGTAACCTGAAGCGTTTGTAACCTGAGGCATTTGTAATTCGAGGTACCACTGTAATTTCAATTGGTCTACTTTGAGTTGGACTATCAATGGATGCAACCCAGAGAGTGCTAAGAAGAAGAAAAAAGCAAAAATATAATTATGAATTCTTCAAGTCAAGGGCTACTGTTATGAACACCTTTAATTAAGGATTAAAAAGACACTCAGATCAAATGGTCACCCGTTTACATGGTGATATGATGGATGAGCACCTCTTATCAATACAATTTGCTTGCAGGCATGGAAGGGACTGTCACATGTATAGTTGACACAGTTGACATTTCAGATAACTGGCTAATTCTTCCATTATTATTATTTTTTACTGAGGTTAACTACATCAGAAGATAAGATTCAACTGCACATGTGTGCTGTCCTATCTTGTGTTCCAAAGGGCAGCACTGCATATAGGACATGCAAGAAGTTCAGCCTTGGGTTTATGTGCCAGGGTTTTTTTTAAGGTGTGCATATTTGGCTGCCATGGGGGCTGTCCAGTAGCCTGCCATCCCAGAACGAGGCATTAATAATAAAATACACGCTATTCTAATATTACAACATTTGTGAGGTCCGGATTTTAACTGCTAGTGCACCGTTCTAATAAATGAAACATGCTCTCTGCTATAGCTGTGTGAAATGATGCCATAATAACTTTTGCTGGAATAACATTAACCAGAATAATATCATGAACCATATTCAAATTTGTGGAGTAATGGTGTTATAAGTATTCTGATAGCTCAAGTAGCATTCATTGAAATAGTGCTTTAAAAAAATTAAATTGGTGCAGCATCATACATGTGCGAAATAACTCAGTGAAGCAACCCAGCACATAGGACTGATGTGCAGATACATACATTAAAGTGATTTGAATGTGATGATAATAGAGATCATATGAGTATGAAAATTAAATAGGTAGACCCCTGGTCTTGTTAATTGAATTCTGTTAATTAATTCCAAAAATTTACAAAGCATGAAAACATTTGCATCTAGCTTTGTTAATAGAGTGGTAAATAGTAATGGAGAATTGAGGGAAATCATTTTCCTTCCATGAGCCTTGAGAAACTGAGATGGGCAGCGGTACCTGTGCTTGGAGAGATTTTCTGGCCTGTAGATCAGCCCACAGATAACCAAGAGCCTAATAGATGTTACTGCAAATTGTCATCTTTGGAGTCCAGTCCTTATTGAAAACAGGGTTGGGAAACTTTTGGAGTAGTTTTGTGAATCCACCACCAATGGTAGCCTCCATTGAGCAGAGTTCTGGTCAGAAAACCTTCAGAAAGCAGAAGGGGCCAGCGGCAGGGAGAAGCAATTTCATCGTATTTCTCCATCACCCTTCAGCATCTGAAAATCTGCTGTGGTGGTTTGAGGGAGACACCTGGAAGCAGTGGAGGGCTGCTGGGTTAATGCGTGGCTGGTGATGGAAATCACTTCCTCCCTCCCTCCCTTTTGCAAGTTTGTCTTCTTCTTTGGTGATCACTTGTAGCCCAGTAAGATTGTCTTCTATAAACATGGTTTTAACAGTGAGTCCATAAGTGACTGTGGAGGCCAATTCTGGATCCACACGTCCACAGTGGGGACATTGGTTTGCAGGTGGGAGTTGATCATGATGTGGATTTGCCAAGCATGCCTTCCTCTTAGCACGTTTCTCCCTTGCGTCCTGAGTTTGAGTATCTTCAAAGTCCATGACACTTTTGGTAAAGGCTGTTCTCCAATTAGTGCACTTGCAGGCAAGTGTTTCCCAATTGTTGGTGTTTATACTACATTTTTAAAGATTTGCCTTGAGACAGTCTTTAAACCTCTTTTGTTGACCACCAGCATTACGCTTTCCATTTTTAAGTTTGGAATAGAGTAGTTGCTTTGGAAGATGATAATCAGGCATCCGCACAACATGACCAGTCCGACAAAGCTTGTATCCTTCCACTTGATCAAAAGCCTTCTGTAGGTAGAATTAGCCCTTCCATTCACAGATGCCTACATTTGGATCCGAACCAACACGCTGGAATATGCACTAGCTAGAGGCCTCACCCAAAGTAAGCTCACTGTTAGTGTGAAGAAGACAAGTCTTCCATTAGAGTTCATTCCAGCTCATCTTGGACTTGCACAGACAATAAAGAACAAAGCACCTGTGCAGGCTTTCACACTAGAGAGTATCCTGCTCTGTGTTGTGCCTTTCTTCAGTTAAGTGCCTGTGCCCTCTCCCTCAGTGGCAAGCTCCCTTCACCGCACAGCACATTTGTATAGGCTTGGGTGTGGTGTTTATTCAGTAAAGAGAACATACAGTGGTACCTTGATTCCCAAACTTAATCCATTCCGGAAGTCCGTTCCAAAACCAAAGCTTTATAAAACCAAGGCGTGCTTTCCCATAGAAAGTAATCCAAAATGGATCAATCCGTTCCAGACTTTTAAAAACAACCCCTAAAACAGCAATTTAACATGAATTTTACTATCTAAAGAGACCATTGATCCATAAAATGAAAGCAATAAGCAAAGTGCTGTACTATAAAATAAGACAGTATTGTAGATGATAAAAATTAAAATAATTTTTTTTCTTGCTTGCATTGACGATAGTCATTGTTTGGATGGGGGGGGGGGCTTTTATCCATTTCTGCAGTCACACAATCAATCAATCTATCAGTAGCTGAACTGGGTTCCACACAGTCACAAAAGCAAGTCACAAAAACAAGGTCACAAGTCAGTCGCATAAAATGAAGAACAAGTCACAGTCAAAAAAACGAAAAGGCCACACAAACAAAAACACAAAAAAGGGCAAAAACAATAGCTCTGTGTTGTGTGGGTGCTTGGGACTCAACAGCTGACAGACTCAACAGGAAGCCTCTGATCAGCAGCGGGGGACTCAATTTACAAATGGAACACACTCAACAGGAAGTGGAACATGTTCCGCTTCCAAGGCAAAGTTCACAAACCGGAACACCTACTTCCGGGTTTGCAGTGTTCTGTTTCCAAGTTGTTTATAAACTAAGCTGTCTAAAATCAATGTATCACTGTATTAGAAAAGCTGGCCCCCTGCAGATCAGTGGCTCAAGTGGACTTGCATATATATATATACACACACACACACACACACACACACACACAAAATATGTGATACAACATTGAGAATTCAGCCAGGAACATTTGTTATGAAAGGATAGTATGTTGTTAGATGTAGCCCTGTCTTTTACTTTTCCAAATTCCTTAATTCAGAATGCATCTGCTGGTGAACTCATCTATTACTGGCAGTGGCATGAAAGCTGCTTCCAACAGAATCCAGAAACACCCGTTTGTTTATAAGACACACCTCAGCACAAAGTTCCAGGGCAGCTTACAGTTAAAAACTTTTGGGTGCAGGAAGAATGTGGGAAGGGACCTATATATCTGTATTGTTTTTCTTTACCAAATTCATTAATTCAAAGCTAGTGTGACTGTAGTTATGTGGTGAGGAGCTATTCACAACACACAGTTCCTGCATCTGGGCATTTTCATTACAGAAAGGAAGGAAGGTGAAGAGAGATGGCTAATTTTGAATTCATTTCTTTTTAGTCAGCATTGTTGATTAGATTATGTATATCAAGTGATGGTGTTCCTTTTATATCATTCTTTTACAAGGCTACATCCTTAGGAAAATGTAAAATGCTGCCTTGGGATTTCCAGTGAAAGAACGAACCTCGCCTTTAGCCTTTTGTTTATTTATTTGTGGCATTTATAGCTTGCCCTTCACGAAAGATTTTTAAAATAATGAACAAAGGCAGTTGTTTTTAAGCTTGCTTCGGCATCAAAAACTCTCTTCAGTAATTTTGGCTTAGCTTTCAGCCACTGATTTTTATTTTTATTTCCCCCCTCCTGTCTGCCATCTCTTCATTATTAGTCAATTGGAAATATCTACAAAGGTTTGTGCCAAACTGGCGTGTGGGGGTGTTTTGATGAGTTCAACCGCATTTCTGTGGAGGTGCTGTCTGTCGTTGCTGTTCAGGTTAAGACTATTCAGGATGCCATCCGTCACAAGAAGAAAAGGTAGGCTGAGAATAAGACTCCCCCTTTCCCCACTCCCAATATTTAATTATTTATTTTCCACCCATTATTAACGTATGAGGCTTGTAACAGTGTCACTCACACACTTCCGCAGATTCAATTTTTTAGGTGAGAATATTGAATTGAAAGCAACCGTGGGGATCTTCATAACTCTAAATCCAGGTTATGCAGGAAGAACAGAACTTCCAGAAAACCTTAAAGCTCTTTTCCGGTAAGTATATAATGACCTAGGAATATGCATTGTGTTGGGTACAAAAAAGGAACCTCAGAACAAAGTTTGCTGCTAATGCGCTTGCATAACCATTGTGCAATAAGGTCTGTTCTTGGACAAGACATTCCACAACCTCTTTACACAATCTAGGCTGTGATGTTTTGGAATCTGGTCCAGTGGACAAACCAGCTTCTGGTTTAGTGGCTCCTGGCCACCAGGATCAGGGTCATGACCCCGGTCTGGATCCTCAGCTGGTGACTCTACGGCCTCTGACTGGCTGTTCTGGTCAGGGCTAGACTATGGGGTCATGACAAAGCCCTTCTATCAGCACAGGTTACTTGCTTTGTGCAGAAAAGGAATGCTGAATCCAACTCATTTATTTTACATCTTTTATTTCTGATGTTTAAAATTTGTTTTTAAATGAATCAGTCCGTTTCTGGTCCATGTTTTACATGTGTTCTTCTATATGCTAAGAGGAAGGCACGTTTGGCAAACCCTCACCGTGATCAACTCCCACCCGGAAACCTATGTCCCCACTGTGGAAGGACATGCGGATCCAGAATTGGCCTCCACAGTCATTTATGGACTCACTGTTAGGACCGTGTTCATGGAAAACAATCTTACTTGGTTACGAATAATTGCCAAAGAAGAAGATCCATTCAATTTTATTTCCATTTCATTCCATAAACTTTTATCTTAAAAATCCATATAAAAATGCATGTTCAGTAGATGTAAGGAATAGGTTTGTGTCTGCAGGAGACTGGCTGAGGTAGAGAAGCAAAAGAATGGATTCCCCCACTGGATCCCATCCTGGAAGATCCAAGGTTTGGACTGTGCAGTAATTTGTGACCTGTATTGTAAATTTTCCACAGTTTAATGCATTATATTAATTTTCACAGGCCCTGTGCAATGGTGATTCCAGACTTCGAACTTATTTGTGAAATAATGCTGGTGGCGGAAGGATTTGTGGATGCCCGATTGCTTTCTAGAAAGTTCATTTGCCTCTACAAACTTTGCCATGAACTTCTTTCAAAACAGGTAGCTGAAGTTCAGTCTGAATTTGCTAGTAACTGAATACCTTTATATATAAAACAAATACCTTATGGATTTATTTAAACCATTTAGATCTATCTAAACCATTAAACTACAACACAGTTTAAAACAACAATGTCTGAAAAAGTAATACGTTAGGGTTGTATCCAGCTAAATTTTACTCAAGAGTAGACACATGAAATTAATGGCCATAGCTAATTTAGGACGAGATGGACGAGATGGTTGGACAGTGTTGGGACGCGGGTGGCCCTGTGGGTTAAACCACAGAGCCTAGAACTTGCCAATCAGAAGGTCAGCAGTTTGAATCCCCGCGACGGGGTAAGCTCCCGTTGCTCGGTCCCTGCTCCTGCCAACATAGCAGTTCGAAAGCACGTCCAAGTGAAAGTAGCTAAATAGGTACCTCTCCGACGGGAAGGTAAGCAGCATTTCTGTGCGCTGCTCTGGTTCGCCAGAAGTGTCTTAGTCATGCTGGCCACATGACCCGGAAGCTATACGCCGGCCCCCTTGGCCAATAAAGCAAGATGAGCACCATAACCCCAGAGTCGGTCATGACTGGACCTAATGGTCAGGGGTCCCTTTACCTTTACCTTTGCCTTTATCTTTACCTTTAATTTAGGATGAGATGGTTGGACAGTGTTCTCGAAGCTACTAACATGAGTTTGACCAAACTGCGGGAGGCAGTGGAAGACAGGAGTGCCTGGCGTGCTCTGGTTCATGGGGTCATGAAGAGTCGGACACGACTAAACAACAACAACAACAATTTAGGTTTATTAATTTCAATGGGTCCACTCAGAGTAAAAGTCAGTTGAATACAACCCTCAAATTATACTAAGAATACATGGTAGACAAAGGCTTACATCCAACAAAGTTACATAGCTTCAACAAGGACTTCCACTAGTGAAATGGAACTTCAGCTGCTCCTTTCAGGCCCACCAACATTTGTTCTGGTTTTCCACCCAAACCTCTGGAGCAGATTTGGGGGTAAGGTGAGGGAGGGGAAATTCTACGGCAAAGATGGATGTCTATGTACAAACAGGAGGATTTTGCAGATGACACCGAACTGGGAGGGGTAAGTAATGCCACAGAATACAGAACTGGGGTTCAAGATGACCTTAACCTTAACTAGGCCAAAACTAACAAAATTGATTTCAGTAAATGTAAGGTTCTGCACTTAGGCACTTAAGAACCAGCTGCACAAATCTAAGATGGGAGACACCTGGCTTGCCAGTAGTCCATTTGAAAAAGGATCTAGGGGTCTTAATCAGAACTGTGAAATGGGAAATGCTAATTCTACAGTTCTTTAGGTAGCTGGAAAAGCAATGAATATCATTTATTAATTTAGATTATTAGTTGTTATTATTGGCAATGTATTAAAAGACAGACCCATAATTCTCACACATTTGTGAAAGTCAGTCTCAAGTAATTCAGCTTAGCATTACCTAAAATTTGAATAAGCTTTGCCCAGGAACTGGGGGCCACACCAAAATAAAATAAAATTGAAGGACAGCAAGTTATTTCTTTATTTTTACATTTGTGTTGCACTTTTTCACCCTTGAAGGGAACCTCAAGGTTTCTTACACAACAAAACATTAAAGCATAATAGCAACCCTTGACTGTGCATTTAAGGATCATTCTTTGAATATCCATTAAGAAAAACAACAGCTCTTAAAATACATTAGGTGCTTCCTAATTTAATTAAGTCCATTAATTACACATTCCACACTTCTCAGTGTAACTAAAAATTAATTCATTTCTGTGAAAGATGGGCAGGATTTCACTAGCCTACTTCAGACTTAACATGACTACATGGGCAGCTCCAAAAACAGGGCATCAGTGGGCCAGGGAAAACATTCTCTCCAACATTTCAGGAGGGAAAATCAGGACAATGGAAGAAAAGGGTTTGTAAGTATTTTTAAACCAGGGGATTGTAGTCCAATGCCAAAAATATCTTCTACATCAGAATGTGATTATTTATAAATTACAGTTTCTGCCCACACACGTTGAGTTGTCTAATTTTTGACTAACCATTGAGAACTGCATCAGACATGCTTAATCATGCCTCTTTTGTATTTTTACACTTTGCTCGTGCAACACGCCTCCATGGTGAATCTGTGGAAATGTTAAGCTAACAATAGCATCTGGGGAACGGGCAGGGTTTTCACTTTTACTTTTTTACACATTAGTTGTCTTAGCACTCTAAAATGATTATGTGGCAATGCATAAAAGATCATCGTAATCCTTAGTATAGTTGTACCAAGAACTTTGCTTTCATTATTTAATTAAGCAATAGGACACGATGCTGATTGGCTAATTAAGTCTCTTACTGGATCATTCTAGGAAGCATAGGAGCCAACTCCTAGGGGCTGACCCATAAAATATTTGAGGGGGCTGCCCCCCCCAAGTTGATGGGCATTAGCAATTAAATGGTATGCGTGCACCACATCATGTGATTGGTTATATGGGGCGGGGCTTACCTAGGCCACCCAATTTTATTCAAGTTGGCACCCCTGCTAGGAAGCATGAAGACTAGGTCTGAGTGATAGGTAAAGGTAAAGGTAAAGGGACCCCTGACCATTAGGTCTAGTCGTGGCCGACTCTGGGGTTGTGGCGCTCATGTCACTTTATTGGCCGAGAGAGCTGGTGTACAGCTTCTGGGTCATGTGGCCAGCATGACTAAGCCACTTCTGGCGAACCAGAGCAGCGCACGGAAACGTTTACCTTCCTGCCGGAGCGGTACCTATTTATCCACTTGTGCTTTGACGTGCTTTCGAACTGCAAGGTTGGCAGGAGCAGGGACCGAACAATGGGAGCTCACCCCGTTGCGGGGATTAGAACCACCAACCTTCTGATCAGCAAGTCCTAGGCTCTGTGGTTTAACCCACAGGGCCACCCACGTCCCCGGTCTGAGTGATACTAACTATTAAATTAGAGTGCATTTATAGAATGGTTGGCCCGCATATATATTCCCGTAAACTAAGCTTATGGTATCCGTAGAATAAGGGTTATCAGTGAGCATGAGGAAGCCTTTATTCTAAGGCTGCAATCCTGCATACACTTGCCTGGTAGTAGATCTCACTGAATGGAATGGGACCTATTTCTGCGTAGACTTGTGCTGTGAAACATTCAAAGATGGTTTCATAGATGATGGGTACTGATTATGTTACCCAAATGAAAAGTCTTGGGCCTACCTACAGTATGCTACAAACTTACATTGATCTCGTCTCACTTTAACAGTTATGTTATATAATTTCAGTTGTGTGAGGATGCTGAGAATTCTGCTTTAAAGACCCCTACCCCATCTCTCTGAACTATGATGAGTACCCTGGGAAGAGAAGATGAGCGTTTAAACACCCATTGAAGACAGCGCTGTGGACTGTTCCCTTAAATAGAATGCACTTAATTGACTTGTTTATGCCCTCTTGGAATCTTAAAAATTGTTCCCTGGTGAACTGTAGTTTACTGATCAAATCCCAGGATTCTTTGTGTGTGTGTGCGCTTTAAAGGTCTGGTGTATGAGGTCAAAGAAGCTATGCAAACTGTAGGAAAAAGAGACATTTACTGATGGTTTTTTTCTCGTCTGTAGGATCATTATGACTGGGGTCTTAGAGCTATAAAATCCGTTTTAGTTGTGGCTGGATCACTGAAACGAGAAGACCAAAGCAAACCTGAAGACCAGGTTACCCTTTGCCTTATTTTCATCTTGATTCACTTGATAAGGTTTAAGAAAGATTAATTCTCCAAGAACTGTTGATTTCATCAGTTACTGAGTCATTTTAATCAAATTTAATATAATCTCATATTTTAGTATAATCTCATGGGGGGGTGTCTCTCCCCCCCCCCCGCATTTTGCCCAGTGGCACCTGCCCTGTGGAACGCCCTACCATCTGATATCAAAGAAATAAACAACTATCTGACTTTTAGAAGACTTCTGAAGGCAGCCCTGTTTAGGGAAGCTTTTAATGTTTGATGAATTATTGTATTTTAATATTCTGCAGGAAGCCGCCCAGAGTGGCTGGGGAACAAATAAATTATTATTATTATTATTATTATTATTATTATTATTGTTATTATTATGTGACCCATGAGAGCAGCGTTTTGGGTTAAACCACAGAGCCTAGGACTTGCCGATTAGAAGGTTGGCGGTTTGAATCCCTGCAATGGGGTGAGCTCCCGTTGTTTGGTCCCTGCTCCTGCCAACCTAGCAGTTCGAAAGCACGTCAAAGTGCAAGTAGATAAATAGGTACCGCTCCAGCGGGAAGGTAAATGGCGTTTCTGTACACTGCTCTGGTTTGCCAGAAGTGGCTTAGTCATGCTGGCCACATGACCTGGAAGCTGTATGCCGGCTCCCTCGGCCAATAAAGCGAGACGAGCGCCGCCATTTAGCAGGGACCGAGCAACGGGAGCTCATCCTGTCGCAGGGATTCGAACCGCCGACCTTCTGATCAGCAAATCCTAGGCTCTCTGGTTTAACTCACAGCGCCACCCACGTCCCTTGGGCTGTTGCTTAACTGGTGTCTAAATGGATGAAATATACCTGTGTATGTTAATGCAATGTTGTGGTTATTACACAAGGCAGAGAATTTGGCAGACATCCCCACGATGTACCTAACCCATGTCACAAGAATGCTGGCTTTAGCACACCATTTTCTCAATCACAACACTAAATAATTGCTCCGTGATTGATGGTGGGGAGGGGGAAATGTTGTAGCACTGAATTTACAGGATCCAGTCTTATGTCACCGCAGGTAGCAGATTGAGTTTAACAAGCCATATGGGTTGTAATTGTTTAAGTATGATTAATTCATAATGTTTGTTAATTTTATGCCTTATATTATGGTTTGTTATTATTTCATTTAATTATAGTGTCATGTTGGTTTTTCTGAAGGTTTTGATGAGAGCCCTCAGGGATTTTAATCTTCCGAAGGTAGTCACTAACGATGCCCCTATATTCCTGGGCCTGATCAACGACTTGTTTCCATTGCTGGAAGTTCCACGGAAAAGGGATCTGAAGTTGGAACAGCTGGTGCGCCAGTCCATTGCAGAACTCCATCTGCAGCCCGAGGAAAACTTTATCCTGAAGGTGGAAATAATGGCTTTCTGCTTAGCTTGTTGAACATTCTAAATGGGGTGATTGAATGCTATAATGATCACTGTTGTTTGATGCCTGTAGGTTCCAACATCTGGCTGCGACTATTACAAGGTTCAGCAGTAAGCGAAAGCACTGGGCTTCCTGTTTCCTTGTTAGAAGCGGCCACAATGTTTTTAATGTCTCCATTTCAATATCAGGAAATAATTCCAGTTTGTGGGAATTAAACCACACTAATAATCCCACGGTGTGTAATGCTCTGCCCATCTTAGCACCCATGTCTAGCTTTCGATGCCCTGGATTTTATTTAAACTTAGCTTAAAGGGTTTTTTAAAATAAAAAACAAAAGACATTTTAGTCTCTCTTTAGCCTCTGCTAGACATGAATCCCGATCATCAATACACACACAAGTTAACATTAGCTCTAAATCGGCTTTTGTCCTAAGTAAAGTTCAAGATGGAATGAGTAAGGAGACTGGCTTTTCTACCCTTGGGAGGTGAGGAAGGACTGGTCAGGTTCCCGGGGTTACAGAGGAGGGAGGAACAAGTACGCATTCATTACTCCTGCTCTCATCATTACCTGCCCTTTGAGCAAATGATACACTTGAGTCACCAGAGTGAGTGCCCTATTCCATCCCCTTATCACTGTGCTATAATTTGATTTTAAGGAAGCCTGTTTTACTTAAACCTCACTGAAGCAAAGCAAATATTGTTCTTTTTGTCCTTTTTAATAGCTTAGAAATATCGATAGACACCTAGCGTGAGATTTTTTGGGGGTCACCCTTTCTTCTGTTTGCTTATATCAGATAATCGTTCACGATAAGTATTATGGACTGTGGTTACAACTTTCCACATATGGCTGCAGTCCTAACTGCACTTAAAGGTAAAGGTAAAGGGACCCCTGACAGTTAAATCCAGTCGCAAACAACTCTGGGGTTTCGGCGCTCATCTTGCTTTACAGGCTGAGGGAGCCGGTGTTTGCCCGCTTCTGCAGACAGTTTTTCCAGGTCATGTGGCCAGCATGACTAAGCCGCTTCTAGCGAAGCCAGAGCAGCGCACAGAAATGCTGTTTACCTTCCCGCCGGAGCGGTACCTATTTATCTACATGCACTGCATGCTTTTGAACTGCTAGGTAGGCAGGAGCAGGGACCGAGCAACGGGAGCTCACTTACCTGGGAGTAAAAAGTAAAAAGGTAAAGGACCCCTGGACGCTTAAGTCCAGTCAAAGGCGACTATGAGGTTGTGGCGCTCATCTCGCTTTTTAGGCCGAGGGAGCCGGCGTTTGTCCACAGACAGCTTTCCAGGTCATGTGGCCAGCAGGACTAAACTGCTTCTGACACAATGAGACGCTGTGATGGGTCCCAGTGCACACGTCAACACCGTTTACCTTCCCGCTGTAGCGGTACCTATTTATCCACTTGCACTGGTGTGCTTTCGAACGGCTTGAGTGGCAGGAGTTGGGACAGAGCAATGGGAGCTCACCCTGTCGCGGGGAATCGAACCGCCGACTTGCCAATCAGCAAGTCCAAGAGGTTCAGTGGTTTAGACCACAGCGCCACCCGCATCCCTCATACCTGGGAGCATGCCCCATTGAATTCAGTAGGATGCGGTTTTGAGTAGGCATAGTTAGGATAGTGCTGCGTGCTACTGAGGAAGGTTAATGACAAATCTGTGTGCACTCTTACCTGCTTTTCAGTTTAAAATAAATTTTATTTTATTATTTGTTTGTTCAAAAGATCTCAGGGCGGTAAAGGTAAAGGGACCCCTGACCATTAGGTCCAGTCATAACCAACTCTGGGGTTGAGGTGTTCATCTCGCTTTATTGGCTGAGGGAGCCAGTGGCCAGCATGACTAAGCTGCTTCTGGCGAACCAGAGCGGCTCACAGAAACGCCGTTTACCTTCCCGCCGGAGCGGTTCCTAATTATCTACTTGTACTTTGACGTGCTTTCGAACTGCTAGGTTGGCAGGAGCAGGGACCGAGCAATGGGAGCTCACCCCGTTGCGGGGATTCGAACCGCTGACCTTCTGATTGGCAAGTCCTAGGCTCTGTGGTTTAACCCACAGCGCCACCCGCGTACCCTCTCAGGACAGTACACATAATTAAATACAGGATAAAAACAAGCAAATAAGTAAAACGAAACAGCAACACATTAATTCCCCCCTCCCCACAGACCCATTTCCCAAATTGGTGGCATTGTTGTCCTTTCCATGGCCACACTGAGGACCTCTATGGTGGCAGAGGTCCTCTCCCTGCCCCCCCACTGCTGGTGGATGGGCCCTGCCTCTGTATTCTAACAGCCTCCAGCAGCACAAAACAGAGTGCTAGGGTTACTCCCTAAGACATCAAAACAAACTCAGCCTACATAAAAGTGTTCTGGACACCGAATTGAAATAAAACAAAATATCTGGGTAAATTTGAGGCATCGTGGTCTGGCATTTAAAAGCTATGCCACCTCCAGATTAATCTCCTGGGGGAGAGGGCATTCCATAAGCAAGACGCCACCAATTAGTATCTGCAGCCCAGATGCAGTAGCAGCAAAATTAGCAATAAATCACGACCCTTTATGACTCCCAAGTTCCCTAAAATAGATTTTCAGAGTTTACCCTTTTAGTCCCTTGTGTCTTCGGCAGGTGCTTGGTGGGAGGAAAGCATGAGCAAGTGACCTCTGAAGAGCTGTGTTTAAATTTAGTTTTGTTTTACTGTAATAGGGAATGAAAAATAACAGTTGGTTAGAGCATGGTGCTGATCACCCCAAGGTTGCAGGTTTGATCCCTGTAAGGGACAGCTGCATATTCCTGCATTGCAGGGGGGTTGGACTAGAAGATCCTCAGGGTCCCTTCCAAATCTGTGATTCTATGATATTAATGACATTCCTTTCCTTCTAACAATCTCTTGTTTATTACGCTGCAAGTGAACTCAAACTACCAAACGACCTTCAATACTCTCAGCGAGGCTGCAGCCCTGTATCCATGTACTCCACAGAACTCAGTAGGACTTATATTTTGAGTAGACATGTGGGTGGCGCTGTGGGTTAAACCACAGAGCCTAGGGCTTGCCGATCGGAAGGTCGGCGGTTCGAATCCCTGCGACGGGGTGAGCTCCCGTTGCTTGGTCCCTGCTCCTGCCAACCTAGCAGTTCAAAAGCACGTCAAAGTGCAAGTAGATAAATAGGTACCACTCCGGCAGGAAGGTAAATGACGTTTCCGTGTGCTCCTCTGGTTCGCCAGAAGCGGCTCAGTCATGCTGGCCACATGACCTGGAAACTGTACGCCGGCTTCCTCGGCCAATAAAGCGAGATGAGCGCCTCAGCCCCAGAGTCGGTCACAACTGGACCTAATGGTCAGGGGTCCCTTTACCTTTACCTTTACATGCTGAGACAATATAGTGAAACCTATGTTGCACATTTAATTTTTATGTTGTGAACCGCCCTGTGATCTTTGGTGGTATAGAAATTTAATTAATAATTATAATAATAATTTAACTAATATGTCAGATGGTTTGGGCTTGTAGATCAAAGTTGGGCTGGCTTGGTGAGGAACCTGTGGCTCTCCAGATGTTTTTGGACTACAACTCCCATCATCCCTAGCTAGCAGGACCAGTGGTCAGGGATGATGGGAACTGTAGTCCAAAAAATGCTGGAGACCCAAGTTTGTAGAAGACCCTGATGTAGAAGGTCACAGGTTAACCACCCAACATAACCCCTTATACCACTTGTGTCTAATCTCAATGTAATATTTCGCAACACAGCATAATCCATATGCCTTCCCTGCTGCAGAAGTATCAAAACCTAATGGAATGGTCCTATTGTTCATTGTTCATCTAAAACCAGAGACAATGTAGTTCTGGACAATGTAGTGTTGATGCTGCTATTGACTCCATTCTTTCAGCCCTTAGTAGTAAAATCACACAGAGCATGTCCAACACACCCAGCGAAAATCTGACTTGTGTCTTTCTGAATACGTTCCACAACTGCGGCAGAACAGAGTAAAAGAGGGGCAATTTTTTTAAGGAATGAGAGAATAAAATAGGACTGATGTTTATTGAAATGGGAAAGAAAAATGTTCTCCGATTCTTCTCCTTCATTCTTATAGTTTTCTTAATACATAGCTATGCCTGTAAAATATGTTCGCCATTATATCAATTCCAAACCCCACCCCTAATTTTCTTGAACGGCTTTTTAGGTTATGCAGTTAGAAGAACTACTGGCTGTCAGGCATTCGGTCTTTGTGGTTGGAAATGCTGGAACAGGGAAAAGCCAGGTAAAATGAAGAATACACCCATTTCTCCAACAAACAAATAGCAATAAGGAGAGCATGAATCGGTAATGCAGGTTACAAGATGTTTGCCGCTTTGATGAAACTTCTGTGTTCAATAGTCTCGGTGAAATTGATATTCTGGTGTCAGTGGGGCATGTCAACTTCATCAGTTTTCGTTCCCCCCAAATCCGGTTACATATTTATATCCCGGATGTATATATGCATTTCCTCGCATATGTAGGAGCAGAGCACATAAAACTGAAGTCCTATGTCAGGGTTGAGGAAAGCTGAAGAACTATCACTAGTGCTGCAAGGAAGGAAACCTATGGATAGGTATACTGAGGACATGCACACTTAAGGAAGTGGGCCTAAGATGTAAAGTGTGAATGTGCGAAACACATATATTGCACACATACAACTAGCGGCGGGGGGTGTGTGTGTGTGTGTGTGTGTGTGTGTGTGTGTGGTAATGACTGACTGCAGTTACCTGTTAGATATATATTCAGGTTAACTTCTCTGTTGCACGTGGAACAGCAAATAATTCTGAAGGATGTCTTTTAACTGATGCTACTGCTTGATTGTGAAACTGGCATGATAAAATGTTCTTACTTTAGATATTAAAGACACTACACGCGACTTACTCAAATATGAAGCTGAGGCCAGCATGGAATGATATCAACCCCAAAGCTGTCACAACGGATGAACTTTTTGGGTTTCTTCACCCTTCAACAAGGGAGTGGAAAGATGGTATTTCCAATCATGATACGCTTAATAAAATTGCACATCTTAACATATACAAACACATACAAGTTTGTTGTTGTTTAAAAAACTAATTTTTGTTTTCATCGTTTTGAAGGCTTGTTTTCTTCCATGATGAGAGAACTGTCTAGCATCACGCATGATGGCCCCAAATGGATTGTCCTGGATGGTGACATTGATCCTATGTGGATTGAGTCACTCAACACTGTCATGGATGACAATAAGGTGTGTATCACATTCTTTAACATGGCTGTGATGAGCAGGTGAGATACTCTTCTGGTCCATTTGCTAAATATGTACAGTGTTTCCTGCAGTGCTGGATTTACGTGAGGTGGCCAAAGTATTGGAGCCTCAGCTTCAGGATCTGTCCTTCCAGTGAGCACTCAGGGTTGATTTCCTTCAGAATGGAGAGGTTTGATCTTCTTGCAGTCCATGGGACTCTCAAGAGTCTCCTCCAGCACCATAATTCAAAAGCATCAATTCTTCAGCGATCAGCCTTCTTTATGGTCCAGCTCTCACTTCCATACATCACTACTGGGAAAACCATAGATTTTACTATACGGACCTTTGTTGGCAAGGTGATGTCTCTACTTTTTAAGCATCCATCTTAGATTCCTGTAAAGCAGGAGTGGGGAACCTCAGGCTTGGTTGGATGGGGGGGTGACACAGATACAGTCCTCCAAACATTTTTATCTGGCCTTTGAAATCCTTCACTGGCCTTCTACACACCTCAAGTGTTTTTGCCTGGCTAGAATGTGTCCTTGAACTCTCATGATGCTTCTTCCTTAAAGAGTGAAAAGCATCAGACATGAGACTGCCTTAGAAGACTGTTGAAGGACTGCTTTTGCCTGTGTGACCCTGGAGGTAATCTTTGAGTGCCTCTCACCCCAAGCCCCTGAAGATAGGTTGTACAGTAGTGTTAAAGGATAAAGGGCCTGGTTTTGCTATGGAACCCCATTTATGGGACACCCTCACAGGAAACATTCACCTGATTTAGGTGTCAAATCTGTGTTATTTTCCCAGTCCTAGCTGGCCATGTCACTGTTCTCCTGTCAATGCCTCTTAATCTAGAGCTTATTGTTTGGGGTTTTTTTGCATCTGTGGGTGAGAATTGTTAATTTTATTATATTTGCAAGCCACTTCAGACACTGCAAGTGGAAAGATAGACTGTAATCATCCACACTTACTATCTCTACTCAACAAGGTTTTGCTAGTTTTTGAATTGACATAAGACCTGCAAAGACTGTTTCTTAAAGGAGACAAAAGTGTGAAGAATAAGCACACTACGGGCAATGATGCCTCTATTGTATCAAAACTCGGTGGAGAAAAACCTAAAATCTGTTTCTGGCCTTATTATACCAACACTTACAACCGTTTCCTATAGATGACATTGACCAAGGCTCCTGCTTATAGTAGACAGTGCTAATAGAACACCAGAGAAATAACTTTTTCATTGATAGACCCAGTACGGATGTGCTGTGCTATAATTCGAGGTTTAAAGATACCAATAGCATCCAAAATAGAATTATGTATTTTGGAATAAAGAGTAGATCTAAACCCACATGACCTAGACTTACCCCCAACACCCATTTAGTGTAAAAGAGAGGGAGAGAGAGAGAATGTCTCCTTAACTAAAATGAGTAAAAGTGGAAAGTTCATGGTTCAACCTTGGAAGTGGGAGGAGCAGAAAGCTGAATCATTTTGTATTATTTTTTTTTAGTATGTATTAATCTCCATTGATTAAAATGTCACCTTTATTCACCACAGCGTCCTGGCCTTTCTTTATGATGGATACAACAGCAGGAGAGCAAACTGTTGGAATTGAGATACTTTGTGCAAATTGAAAAGAGATATATATTTTTTTTTTGCCCTAATTTCACACAATGCTGGAAACCTCCTTTAAATCACATTTTCCTAACCAGCTCCTAGAATAGCTCTTGTTGTTAGATTCTAAGGACTCTATTGTAGCTTTTAAGCTAAAGTACTCAGTAGGGGATGTGTAGCGTTGCACCGCCCCTTAGGAACACCAGAAGAATAGCACCTGATGGCAAGTACAATCATAGAAGATAAAAATGGATCACACTGAAACAGGTTATCCAGGCCCACTGTGGGCCATTGCTCTATTGTAGCACACGGGATCTACAACATATCTTCTATGGCCTATTTCCCCCAAGTTCTCCAGTTTGCCATAAAACATTCCTCATTCTCGCAGCCAAAATCTTTCCAGTTCTCGCGATTTTATCGTTACTCTTGAAATACTTGATTTTTTTTCTGATAACTTTGTGTTTGGAATCATGTGTTTGGATTTCTTTCCTTGCGAAGGATTGGAAAAAAACAGTTTGATTTCTCTCTTTGATTATAGTTAAAAGATGTAGTAGATGAAACTTGATTTCTCTTTAGCTCAATTCCGATATATTGCCAAGGCATGATATTGGTGTTACAGTAAGACCAAACCCCCCCCCCTTCCCCGTGCATTCTCTCCTTCCTTCCTCCCCTGATACTTCCTATTTCACAGCAAACATATTTTGCCACTTTTTTTCTTCTAAAGGAGGCAAATTATGTTTTGCATAAACCAGTTTTCCTTTAAGATGGAATTGGAAATCACAAGCAAACATGGCATCCAGTTATGCTTTGCAGACAAACCATGGTTTCCCCATTGCAGACTTGGGAAACTGTGGTTTCCCTTGTAAAAGGAAGGGTAGGATGATAACAGAGCACATGTGGAGAGATGAGAGAACAGAAGCCTCATGCACTGATTCAAGCAATACCACACTGTGGTTTAGCATTATATCTGAACAGCTATCTCTTAGAGCCTTTCTGCTAGCAACTGGCAACAACACCTTTTAATTTATTTCTTTTCCACCACTTTAGCCTTAAAATAATTGTGTGAAATACAAAAGCTCAGTTTACTTATGCATTTGCAGCAGTACATTGATTTAGTGAAATATACCATTTTCATCTTTACTTTATTTAATTTACTTTATTTAATATTTACTTTACTTTACTTAATTCAAGGGACCAAAGAACAACATCTTGAAGAAAAAAATAGCCATTTTTTCCGTTATTGCATGAACTTTTGTTTAATGTGCATTGAAACCACACCATTGCTGGTCTATTCAATTTTAAGAGATTTAATTCATATTTTCTTCATAAATTGTAGGTTTGATTTCATGATGATTTACTATTGTTATCCCTTTTGTTTTGCTGTTTTTCAACTCACCCCTAACATAATTTTTCCCCCATAAATCAAGATATTATATTGATTTTATTCCCATTGACAATAAAGAATCTCTTTGTGTAAGGCCAGCAAAACAAAATTGCAGAGAAGAGTCACTTTTTTATCCATTATTATTATTGCTGGGTAAGTGGATAGGGTACCAGTTGGCTTTTCAATGAAATGACGATTAACATGGCTTTATAAAAACATCGAAGAAATTAAGGACAGTCCAATGGGAAAGTCTCCTGCACATGTTTAATTGAAGCAGCACAGTATTACTTTCATTAATTTCAATGTGTCGTATGCAAGAGATCTTCTCATTGGATAGTGTTTGAGTTCATTCTTCTGCTGTTTTCCTGAATGCCACAGCAGATATCCATAAAGATATAAGGGATACTATTTAAACTGACAAATAACACTCATTGGAAAATAAAATCATATTCCTGTGTATTAGCTATAGCTGAACATGTGCTCTGTGATTCTTACTTTAAAAAAAAAAAAAAACACAGAACCTTAATTACTTAATTTGAAATGAATTTGTAATGATTCTGTGCTTAGGTTCTGACTTTAGCCAGTAACGAACGAATTTCATTAACACCTTCCATGCGGCTGGTGTTTGAAATAAGCCACCTCCGGGCAGCAACTCCAGCCACTGTGTCGAGAGCTGGCATCCTCTATGTGAATACGCAGGACCTAGGCTGGAGTCCGTGAGTACCTCCCTTGCTTTTTGTACTTTTAATGTGCCCTTTGCAATATTACCCATTTTGTGCTCTTTCATTAGCCAACTTGAAGAAAGGCAGGATACACATTTAACAAGCAAGCACATAAGGAATGGCAGTTCAGTGCACCTTCAGCCAGCAACTCTGGGGCCAGTAAGAATATATGAAGATCCCTGCTGTCCTATGCTGTCCAAAATGCCTATGGCCATGCTTGTTCCTATGGTAGTGATGATCTCATTTGCTGCTGCACTATACTGTATTCTTAACTCAGCAAACAGCTTGCTGAATGCTCTGTTCATGTAGCTGCCATCTGCTCAGCTGTATACTCTATGGTATTGAGTGGACAGCTGTTTCCTCAGAGATTAAGCTGATCAGTGCTGTACAAGGGAACTTGTCATTGGAGCCACAATGCACTGGTGTTGCTACTAGAGCTGTAGTATAGCCCATGTGAGCCATGGGGACATCCTCCAATATGGGAAAGGGAATATTTCAGTGGTAGAGCACCTGCATTGAAGGCAAAAGGTCCCAGGTTCAGTCCCTAGCCCAGTGTTCCGCAAACTTGTGTCTCCAGCTCTTTTTGGACTACAGTTTCCATTGTTTTTGACCACTGGTCCTGCTAGCCAGGGATGATGGGAGTTGTGGTCCAAAAACAGCTGGAAACCCAAGTTTGGGAAACACTGCCCTAGCGTATCTAGACAGGACTGGGGAAGAATTCTATCTGAAAATCTGGAGGACTGGTGCCAGACCTTTAGTGTGAAGAAGGCAACTTTCTAGGGAGACACAGGGTATGAGAACATAGGGGAAATGTCCAGAACAGGGGTTGCTGACTCAGTGCCTGCAGGTGGAAATGTACCCACTGGTCCACAAAGTTTGATGACCCGCACTGAGAGGAAATGTGTCTGGGGTAGTCAAGGGGTAACCCCAGATCCTATAGGTAAACAGTGGGGAAGAGGGATGAAATAATAATGCCAGGTGTTGGGAGAATTGAAGAAAGCTCAGACAGAAAAGCTTTATTGGTGTGGAGGTGACGGCATGCGAGTGGCAATTTTTCTTCTTCTCTAAATTACATTTGTTATTTCCCTCAACATCCATGGAAATGTCATATGCTTCTAAAACAGCATTTCCCAGTCTCATTCCTTTCAGACACTATGGCCAATGGCCAAGGATGAGGGGTGTTGCAATCCAAAACATCTGAAAGATGACAGGTTGAGGGAGAGTGTGTCTTAGGGGTAAAAAAAAAAGGCATTTAAAGCCCTAAATTTTAACTGACAGAAGAACACACCCCTGGAACAGAATCAAGCAGCCTTCTCTAATCAGGAGCCCTCCAAATGGTTTGGACTTTGACTCTCATCACCCCTGGTCACTGGTCATAGTGGTTGGAGCTACTGGGAGATGTAGTCCAAAATATGTGGAGGGCACTGGTTTGGGAAGGCAAAAGAAGCAGTAACTTAGTCACAGTTGTACTACAAGGCCAAATCGGTTGGAAACGGATCACCAACAACAAGGTAATTCGGAGAGGCATTTCAGCAAGTAAAATAAGGCTGAACCAAGCTAAGGACATACAGTAAAAGCACTAGGCAGCTCCGCAAACAATCCTCTACTCTTCTCATAAACCCGCTTTCAAACATAGTAAACAAAAGCAATTGATTAAGGGGAGGAGAAGCACCTTAAAATACGTTTGTTTTCACAGATATGTGACTAGCTGGATTGAAACTCGCAAAGCACAGACAGAAAGGGCAAATCTAACCATCCTTTTTGACAAATATGTTCCTTACTGCTTGGAGCAAGTCCGCTGCAACTTAAAAACCATCACCCCCGTTCCAGAGAACAGCATGGTTCAGGTAACAACAACTGCAGCAGGATCTTCAGACTGCCACTCTTCCTGAGATGTGATTGTGAGAGTGTTCAAGTATGCAGACCTAGTGTGAAGGAACTTCATTATAATCACAGCATGGTTTAACATTTTGTGTTTTGTGATTCAAGTGACAAAGCAGACACAGATTGTGTAACTGCTTCCTCCTGAATTAGGGCTGATGCCATCCTCTACAGTAATCTCATTTAAAGTCAAAAAGACTACTCTTAAGACTCTTATAGAGTCAAGTTATTGTTCATACAAGTAGTATATATAAAAAAGAAATATGGGAACGCTTTGGAGGTGAGGTCGGTGTTCCTTCATTTTCTAAAACGGACTCCATAATTACAATGAAGTTATTTGGCTGTTGATAAAATTGAGCTCAACAATTTAGGAGTGTTAACTGCTATACAGAATTCTGGACAGACCGTTGCTTGATCTGAAGTTACTTTAGCAAGCAAATGAAATTCCAACAGACATTATATGGGACAAGCCCTTACTTTCCTTAAGTTATGTTATTTTTAAAATGCCATATGCATTTCTGAATGAATGCAGAAGTTATGCACTTGAATAATGCTTTTATATGAAGCTTTTGAGTGTGTGTGTGTTTTTTAAAAAAAAGCTTTCTGGATCACATTATTTTTCTATGAGGAAAAAACAAAAGCCAGAAATGAAAACAGTTTTTTTGTGCCTAACACACAAGGCAGAAAAACTCAAACTAGAGAACTTAGATGTGGGTCTTTTGAACAGCACAGTTGCATTGCATTTGGGTATTATTTTTTGAGTCATTCGCACACATCTGCACTCCAAAAGTGGTAAAGAGTGTGTGGTTGGGGTTGCTCCCACAATGACTTTTAAAAACATACTTATTTAATAAAGTTTGCTTGCATAGATTCTGCACCAGAAGGAGGACTACTACAGCAGTGCTCATTGCAAAAACCTCTCTCTCTCTCTCTCTCTCTCTCTCTCTGTGTGTGTGTGTGTGTGTGTGTGCATCTGCCTCTGCACACATGCAAAGGTGGAACAGGGCAAGATTCTGGAAATCCTGGGAGTAGGGGGAAGAAAAGGAGTGAATTTTGTGCTCATCTGTAGGAGCTGAACTGGGAAGCAAATAGGACTATGTGACACCATTCTCCCAGTGCAGTTCATGTTTCCCTCTTATACTGGAATTGAGCCAATATCTGCAGCTGTCACAAAGCTCAGTAACTCTATATGTTCCCAACCTATATATTGCAGAGAACACTCTTCCACCTTGTAAACCCAGTCCCATAATCTGAACACAGTCTGATAGCGTGTTCTGCTCTTTCAGCCTAGGTATGTGTGCTTAAGAGGGTAATATCAGTTACCAATATTTTGGGTTGCCATATTTCAAAAAGTAAAAAACAGGACATCCTGAAAGTTGCTGAACTTTCTTTTAGGTAAACACCGAGATTGTTGAGCTTTGTTTAGGAAACCCCCAAAGTTGTTGAGATTTTTTTTAGACAAAACCCAAAGTTGTTGAGATTTTCTTGCAAGAATGCCAAAAAAACGTATTTTTTTGTTTGACTTGGAAATTCCTCCAGGACGTCAATTCTGCCTTTGAAATCCTGGTAATGTCTGGGACATATGCCAGCCCTACCAATATTATGCTTTCTGATAACAGGCTCATAGCTGTCAAGTGTCCCTCATTTGAAGGGACAGTCCCTTATTCCAGTGCCATGTCCCGTTGCTGTCCCTTATTGATGGATGTCTCTTAAATGTCCCTTAAATGATGTCCCTTAAATTTCAAAGGAAGCAGCTCCTCTCCCTCCCTCCCTGCCGGCCAGGGAGGAGGGAGGCTCCAACTGTGTTGCTTGGCTGTGTTGCTCACCCAATAAGAAGTCTAAGAACGACTGGGGGGTGGAGCTTGCATGCCTTGTGTGTGGCTAGTTAATGCAAGCTGAGGGGGTTTTGAATGCTGGACGCCATTTTGTTGCACGTGCTGCTGCAAACTTTGCAGTGCAAAGCCAGGCCGGGGAGCCATCTTAAGTTGAGGCTGCATAGGCCTTGTGGTGCATGTGATTCAGATTCTATTCAGTTGAACCTCTGGTTACAAAGTTGGTTGGACAGTGTTCTCAGAGCTACCAGCATGAGTTTGACTAGACTGCAGGAGGACAGGAAGACTGGAGTGCCTGGAATAGGTGAGGCTGCAGGTCCCTTATTTTGGCTGCTGGTCCCTTATTTTCAAGGCTGCTGGTCCCTTATTTTCAAATCTGTAAGTTGACAGCTATGCAGGCTTTGCATGCAGAACACATTCCCGTAGACCAGGGGCGGCTTATCTTTGATCCTCCAGGTGTTGCTGGACTACAATTCCCATCAAACCTAGCCAACATGGCCAGTGGTCAGAGATAATGGGAGTTGTAGTTCAACAGCTAAAGGACCATATCTTAGTGTGAACCCCTCTGCCTCTACCACTGCCATGTGACACCCTCCAGGAATAGTATATGACAAATTCCTTCTTCTTGCATCAGTTACCACTTTTCAGTGGCTGAATACAGTTTCCAGTCCTTCATCTCAGCTCTCAAACAGCTCTTCCTTCTGCAGTGTTTGATTCAATTGCCCATGGGCCAGAGAAGAAGTGGGGACTGAACATAGATCCACACTGCGGATTAATCTTCCCCCTCCCTCTTCAGTTTAACAATTTGTGTATGTTGCTTAGGTGTGCCTAACATATCGCAGGAGCAGCTACCCAGCAGGCTTTCCTGCCTATAATAAAGGGAACTCGCCCTCGACTCATTGCTTTGGTCTCCTGTGTGCGACTTTTTTTCTTCTATGCCAAATCTGATACCAGTCCTACTCAGAGTAGACCCACTGAAATTAATGGGCATGGTCTATTAATTTCAATGAGCCTACGCTGAGGAGAACCTAGTCAGATGCCGTCCTCTGTAATTATAAATACATCACAATGGTTATGTGATGTGTTTTAAAATATTTATTATATTGGGACAGTAGCCGCTAAAGAAGTAGAAATAAGAATATAAAGGATGTAGGGACTGTATTCAGATATCTTTATTCTCTCCTTCCTTTTTATTTATTTTCACTGAAGACTTTGTGTTCATTACTGGATTGTCTCCTGACCCCGGAGAATGCTCCCCCAGACTCTCCTCGTGAACTCTATGAAGTATATTTTGCCTTTGCAAGTATATGGGCCTTCGGTGGTGCTTTGTTCCAAGATCAGGTGAGTGGCTGGTTTTGAGGGAAGATAACAGTATTTTGGTATTCTCTTCAAGTTTGACAGCAACCATTCCTGCATCACACGGGGTTGGGCTACAAGACCCATGAGGTCTTGTGCAACTCAACAATTCTATGATTCTATCTTCCAATCAATGGCGTGCGGTGAATTTTTTTGTAGGGGAACAGGGCCAGAGGCACCAGCTTGCAAGAGTGATGGGGAAGGCGACATCACATGTGTGACCTCACAGCATCCCAACATCACGTGCATGAGCACTGTTTCTCCCTCCCTAAACCAGGCAGAAGTTTCCTGGGCTTTGGGAAGCAGGCGCCAGGCTTTAATACTTTAATACTCTAATTTACCAGGAACGTTTAGGAGACTAGCCTAGTCCCTGTAGTCCACTGACTGCACCCCACTGCTTCCAATATATTTTCAATAAGAAATGAGACAGGAAAAATAAGCCAGTAATATTTGTATCATTAACTGCAAAATTATGGCCGTGAGTGTGTGTGTTTTTTATACAGTCGTACCTCAGAAGTAGAACGCCTTGCGAGTCAAAAGTTTTGGCTCGCGAACGCCGCAAACCCGGAAGTGAGTGTTCCGGTTTGTGGACATTCTTCAGAACCCGAATGTCCGACGCGGCTTCCGATTGGTTGCAGGAGCTTCCTGCAGCCAATTAGAAGTCGCACCTTGGTTTCCGAATGTTTTGGAAGTCGAATGGACCTCCGGAACAGATTCCGTTCGACTTCCGAGGTATGACTGTATTTACATAAAGATCCAGAAGATCTCACCTTGGCCTAGTTGCTGAACAACTGTGATGTTCTCCACTTCTACCGTCTGTCACCCCAAAGTGATACATCCAAGATGCCCACCTTCAAATGTGCATTTTAGCAATTATTCTAGAAAATTAATATGCATTCACACATGATTCTGGACACACCACTCCTTTGTGTACTATAGGGGTCAGAAATCAGAATACACTGTCCATGCCAACAGATAAGGCCTGGACATATTTTTATGTAGCACAGCTGTTCTGCCTTGTTGCTAGTTATTCATGCCCTTTTCTTTGGGTTCGTTCTTGTGGCGATATGTTCTACAGTTTCCATTTCTTACATTTGACACTTGATAAACATTTTTGGCCCTGGGAAACATAATATACACCATAGGGCTTTTCTAATCTCTAGCACCTACCATCCCACAAGCCAACTATCCCACTAACTCCTGCTTCTTACAAGTTCTGAAGGGAAAGTGTCAGACAATCACAGTAATTTTCTGCCAGCAAGATCACATATCCCTTATACAACTGATCCAACAGGAAGGAACTTTTCTCAGCCTAATGATTCATGACTGTTCTCTCTACGGGGATATACAGACCCAGGAAATACTCTGAGCCTCCTGTTTCCTTTTACCACTTGCCAGGGTCTCCTACCAACATCTAGTTAATATTGGCTGTGATAGAAGACTTTTCACCCTAACAACTGATGAAGTAATAATAATAATAATAATAATAATTTTTTATTTATACCCCGCCCTCCCCAGCCAAGGCCGGGCTCAGAGCGGCTTACAAGCAATAATAAAAAAGAAGAAGAATGATTACAACTTAAAAACAAAAATAAAATACAACATTAAAATAATGGAACATTAAAATATTAAAATGTAGCCTCATTGCAGGAGGAGAAGGAAAAGTAGCTGGCAGATCACTACCCCTTTTGAGTGGATTTAGGCCACTGATTGGCTACCAAGTCTATATTTGTCAGAACAGTGAAATAAGGCAAATGTGTCTCCAGATCCTTGTTTCCCTTCCTTTCTTTAATATCTCAAGACATCTCAAGCTGCTTGGCTTGATTTCTTTAAGATGCAAGCTGAACCCTATCACACCACGGATGCATGTATTGTTAAGTGCCAGAACCTCACTTTACTGCATCTTTCTGATGTGCTATGTATGGCTTGGAAGAGGGCTTTGAATGTGACAGTATGTTAGGGTGGGCATTCCGTATTCTGCGAGTGAGGGACTTAGCATGAACCAAATGGCATTTTTGCTTCCAGAAAAACTCTGTGGCCACTACCTTTTGTTTCTCGTGTAACTCTGTGCTCTCTGGTGTCACCCGAAAGCATGCAGCAACATATGATTATAAAAGAATAAAGTGCCTTGGTATTTTCATTGTAAGAAAATAGACAGTCTAGGAAACCTCAGGGTTAAAAGGTTACTATCGAATAGTTCCTTGAGTTATTTCCCATAACTTAGATCAGTGAACATAGTTTGGGAGAAAGTCCTTCAGCTCCTGCAGTTTCTAAGCTATGAACTTAACATTCCCACTTGGTTTTTTCTTTTCTTTAAGCTTTCCTCTCTGTTTTATAACGGTAAGGAACATAATAAGCTGTCTTTTATTTAAACAGACCATTGGTTCATCTGGCTCACTCTCGTCTACGATGCTAGGCACTGACTTTCCAGATAGCAGTCTTTCCCAGTCCTGCCTGGAAAGGCCAGGGACTGATCCAACGATCTTCTACAGTACATGCAATGCATGTGTTCTGCTGTTGTTCTTGGTTGTTCTAGTGCTGCTTTAATTTTTTAAAATATTTCTTGAACGTCACCCAGAGAATGGCAGCTATTTTGGGTGCCTTCAAAACAGAACAAGCAAGCAAGCAAACCAACAAACAAACCAACAAACAAATAAAATGCTCATAGTCGGGCTAGCACACCTCTCCCCGTGTTTCATGTCTGTCTCCCCTTTGTTCTGTTTTTCAGCTAATTGATTATCGCATGGAGTTTAGTAGATGGTGGATCAAAGAAATGCGAACAATAAAATTTCCTTCCCAAGGGACGGTTTTTGATTACTTCATTGACCCGGATACGAAAAAATTTACTTTGTGGAGTGAGAAAATTCCAGGCACCGAAATAGAAGCAGATGTCCCTCTCCAGGTAGGACAATCCACTGCAATTAGTCATAAGAGAAGCAGCACATATCTGGATAATTACGGCTGGATTAGGGGGAACACAAAGTGCATAACAAGTTGGAGTTCAAGTGTTGCTAATTATCAAAGCAGTGTCTCAACACAAGGAATACTGCGCCAGTGGAAAGCGCATTGTTATTACGAAAAGGGTTTTGTTAAAGCAGATTCTGTTCATTGGGTTTCGTCTTGACGCTATAGCTGGGAAGAAGTCCCGAAGGTTCCTATTAGTATAGTAATATTTTATCCATGCAGACCTGTGTCAGGGCCTGGCAGACCCAGGAGGAGGATGAGCTCACGGGGAGCGCAGACTGGGGAGAGGACGACCCCAGGGAGGGAGCCATCGGGCTCTGGGGCCTCCACTATATTGCTGGCACCTGTCTGTCTCAGGAGACAACGGGAGAATGCACCTTCAGATATACAGTTCAGCCGTTGGAGAGTTACAGTGCCTACTATGGCTGTAGAGGATGATATGGGAGAGACATGTTTTGTTGCAGCTGGGGCAGATGAAGGCATCTAGTCTGGCTGCTACAGGTGCACCATGGCACTTCTTCTCCCTGCATTCTTCCCAGCTTAGTGGGGAGGGGAGAGAGAATTGGCCACTAGTAACCCCTTGATTTCCCTCCCAAGTTATTTCCACAGTGGGCTCGTCCCACCGCCCATGCCAGCTCCTTCCAGGAAGGAGGAGGCATGTGAGAGTGAGGCAATCTCTGTGTGCTCAGAGTGGCAAAGCAAATTCCCAGAGACAGTACCCCTATCCCTTCCATCAAGAAGGAGTGAGAAACTCAGGCAGAAGAGGGGGAAAGCAACCAGTAGGGAGTGGACGCCTGAGTGAACCTCTCTTCAATATTTAGGGGGGAGACAGAGGACTGCAAGAGGTCAATTCAACTTTCCTAAAGCCAGGGTACAGCTTAGCAGTCAATGACCTCAAGAAGCCAGTGAGGCTGGTAATTCCACAGAGGTGTTTTGTTTGAACGGTGCTAGCTGCAGTGTTGCTTTGGTGTGAGCAGAGGCAGTTCCTTGCCCCCTGTGCTGAAGTTCTAGCTCCTGCTCATCCCTATGAATTCTGTTGACACTTTTTCCGCTGCCCTTCAACTTTCTCCATGTGCAAGAGAACGGGAAAAACATACTTTTGTCATTACAAATAATAATAACAATTATTATTATTATTATTATTATTATTATTATTATTATTTATACCCCGCCCTCCCCAGCCAAGGCCGGGCTCAGAGCGGCTTACAAGCAATAAAAAACCAAGTAGAATGAATTACAACTTAAAAACAAAATTAAAATACAACATTAAAATTTTGAAACATTAAAATATTAAAATGTAGCCTCATCGCAGGAGGAGAAGGAAAGGAAAAAAGAAAGAAAGGGAGGGAATCAAGTTGGCTCCAAGCCAAAGGCCAGGCGGAACAACTCTGTCTTACAGGCCCTGCAGAAAGAAATCAGATCCTGCAGGGCCCTGGTCTCATGAGGCAGAGCGTTCCACCAGGCCAGAGCCAGTGTTGAAAAGGCCCTGGCTCTGGTTGAAGCTAATCTAACTTCCTTAGGGTCCGGCACCACTAGGGTGTTGCTATTTATGGACCTTGAGGCTCTCCGTGGGGCATACTGGGAGAAGCGGTCCCGTAGGTACGAGGGTCCTAGGCCGTGAAGGGCTTTAAAGGTCAAAACCAACACCTTAAATCTGACCCTGTACTCCACCGGGAGCCAGTGCAGCTGGAAAAGCACTGGGTGAATATGCTCCCATGGCAGAGACCCCATGAGGAGCCTCGCTGCAGCATTCTGCACCCGCTGGAGATAGCTCAGAATGCTAACCTCAGTTGCCTGGGAGTAAGCCCAAATGAATGCGGGCGGCATACACACCATGCATTTAAAGCCCATGACTCCCCCCGCCCCCAGAATCCTGGGAATTGTAGTTTGTTGAGGGTGCTGGGAATTGTAGTTCTGTGAGGGGCAAACTGCACTGCCCAAAATTTTCTTAGGAGAAGCCAAAAGCTTTAAATTGTGTAGAAATGTTCCTGAAGGCCTGCAAACACCATTGTAATAATAATAATAATAATAATAATAATAATAATAATATTTATTCCCCCCCCCATCTGGCTGCGTTTCCCCAGCCACTCTGGGCGGCTTGCAGAATATATAAATCATAATAAAGCATCAAACATTAAAAACTTCCAGATACAGGGCTGTCTTCAGATGTCTTCTAAAAGTTGTATAGTTCTTTATCTCCTTGACATCGGAAGGGAAGGAGTTCCACAGGGGGTGGGACGCCACTGCCGAGAAGGCCATCTGCCTGGAAGTCAATATAACCCCAAAATTAATTGGTAGTTGTTGCAAGAATGAACTCATATATGTTTATATTCACTTGCTTTGATATATGCTAATTGGCTCACTTTGATGATGTGCTTATCTGTGAACCCTGGGATGCTGGGTTTTTGGCACAGAAAGGGGAGCTATCTGCAAACTTTGGATAGCTGTCACCTATTATCTCACCGGTCAGGTGAATTGATGGGAAGGTCTGGCCAAACTGACGTATGCTGCTTTGTGTATTAAAAATGTATAAATGTTTGCTTGGGTGTGGACAAGTCATGATGACATCTCACTGTTCGTTCTGCATCTGCAAAGGCAGTGGGGCTCCTTAGCTTGTGCTGCAAGTACAGTTTTTCTTATAATAAAGCACCCTGGTGTATTTGACATTATTCTTGGGTATCTCTGCACCAAACCACTCCCATGAGCCTACCTTTGGGCCAGTGGATCAGGACAGTAATGCAGCCTCAGTAGGATTTATTACTTGAGTAGACATGATTAGGATTGTAAACAGTGAGGAGCAGATGGATGACTTTGAAGAAACCATTGCTCTCCCTCACCTGTTCATTCACAGAGCAGTCTATCTGCATTTCTCTTTTTATTGTTTGTTGTAAAAAAAAAAATCCATTTCTTTTACACCACTGTCTTCTTGAAAAGAAAGCAGAACAGCTTACAACAGCAAAATCAAATCATATTACAACATTAAATTTGTAGCTGCATCGAAAGCAGCAATATAAACACAATATAAGCAGGAATAGCAGCGTAAAAGAGGAGAGTAAACAGCTCTCCCCCTGCCTGCCTGCCTGCCTGCCTGCCTCTCTCTCTCTCTCTCTCTCTCTCTCTCTCACACACACACACACACACACACACACACACACACCAGAGGGGAGAAAATAGAACAGACAAAAGAGGACATGCTCCCATGCCCTTCCCAAATCTGCTCAGGAAGGTCAGGAGAACCCCAAGGTTCATCTGATAATCCCGGTCTTCTTGACCTCTAAGCTCTGTGTGGCAGATGCAGATGCCTTTGGGTTCTCTATTTTGATTTCACATTTCAGAACACAAGAAACCCACAATGTAGACTAGTGGCACCAACTTGAATAAAATATTGCGGAGGGGGCCAGGTAAGCCCTGCTCCACATAATCGATCACAAGACACCATTTGAATGACAATGCCTATCAACTTTTGGGAGCCCAAGCCCCCTCAAATATTTTATTGGGGGAGTGCATGAAGGGACATTGGCCCCTAGGAGTTGACTCCTATGACAGACATACAGTGGTACCTTGGGTTACAGACGCTTCAGGTTACAGATGCTTCAGGTTACAGACTCCACTAACCCAGAAATAGTACCTCAGGTTAAGAACTTTGCTTCAGGATGATAACAGATATTGTGCAGCGGCAGCGCAGTGGCAGCAGGAGGCCTCATTAGCTAAAGTAGTACCTCAGGTTAAGAACAGTTTCAGGTTAAGAACAGACCTCCAGAACGAATTAAGTTCTTAACCTGAGGTACCACTGTATATTTAAAACAACAGATTGGCCAAGACTTTGGAGGATTATATATACCAAAATTGGAAACCACCATAATGAATGTGGTTCTGATGCTTTTCAATTGGCAAGCGAAAAAGGGGGGAACAAAATGAAACCCTCTTGTCCCCTTTCCTCCTCTCTGTTCCTTAGTGAATGCCATCTTGCCAAATGAACTATTTAGATCAGGGTGGGGAAACTGTGGTCCTCCAGTTGTGGTTGGACTCCAACTCCCATCAACCACAGTCAGTGTAGCTAATGGACATGGATGATGGAAGTACTCTGGCAGCAGCTGAAAGGTCACAGCCTCCCTACACATTACAGAAAACCTCTTTCTCCTAAACAGCTGCCAACTGATTGAAACTAGGGGTATTAGGCAAGGACAGAATTTGCTTCCTGGTGGTTGTGGTGGGGTTTTGCTCCTAGTGAAGACAGCCAGTGGTCAACCCTCCCTCCTACCCAGAGTATCTTCTTATCTGAATTAGTTGCCGTGCATTTTTATAATTTGGCTCAAAGAAAAACGCTCAAGGTTGACGTGGCCTGGGATTGACAGAACGATGGTTCTTGGGAATCCCTGTTGTCCATTTAAATTTTAATGTTTCTATCATTTGTTCCTCTGTGCAAATTAACGGCCATGGCAGTGTGTTGGGTTTCTTTTCTGAAGTCAGGACTTTAAATTTAATTCAATCGCCTAGATTTACAGCTATTCTATATTTCACAAGGCAGAATCAATAATGTGACTGAAGTGAAGAAGATAAAAATTTATGGTATCTTGCAATTTAATGGTTGAAAAGATGCAATTGGAGAGATCATAAATTGTGAAGGAGTTTATGCTTCATTGCTCCTGATTCAGTGCTTGCTGTTAGGACTTGATTTGTGACTATTCACAAGGTGTGATTAATGGTGTGATCGATGCTTGCTTCAGTGCAGTAAAGCAGTTGTAATGCTCTTCATTAGAATAAATAAAATAAATTGACTGAAGCTTTATAAAAACTGTGTAACATTTAAAATCTAAAATGTCATTTTTTTCCCTGTTACAATTTAGGTTTCTTCAAGGCATTTTCCACTTACAACACATTATTCATTGTCATTCTTCTCCCCCCCCCTTCCCCTCTTGGATATTATAGAAATCCGTGTGGGTTTGGGTTAGCTTTATGCAAAGCTCACTGAAGAGGAAAAAAAAAAGAAAAGGAAGGGTAGGATGGAACTGACTGGAGTCTAGGAAATTGTGGTGGCTATGTTTTGCCATCTTCCCAAGGTGTGTTCTGTTCTCCAAACATTTGAAAGCTGTGAATAACTGCGGCAGGAAACGTCCTATCGTACGGATGATTCTGAAAAAAAAAGAAGACAAAATAATAGTTTCCGTTGTTCCTAAACGGAGTGGTTTTGTAATTGGCTCCAAAAAGGAGGCAGTGGAAATATATGAAACATTAAAATAGCATTTCATTATTTTGCAAAATATGGTGATGCTTTATTTTAGCCCATTAAGAAAGGGGAACTATTTTTAAAAATTGAGAACTTGGAAAAGAGGAGAGGCTTGTCTTGGTTTAGAGTTGCTTTTTTATGGATCCAGTAAATATAGACAAGGCCACCAATCAAAAGAAAGTTGGTTCCACTTAGTACCCTTTGACATTTATAAGCTCTAGTTAGCTGCAACATATTTATCCTATTGATTTCAGTGGGACCTAAGCGTAACTTTCTTCCACTGTATTGGGGCCAAGGAGTGGTGAGAGAGGCATATTTATAATATAGATCCCATGTCAGGTGAATGACAAGTGGGCAGCCTATGTGCCTGTCGTTTGGCCCTCCAGCGGTGGGGGAGATAAGGATCTGGCCTGCCAGCCAGAAAATGTTTCCCATCTCTACTTGGGAATTATAGCTGGGGTGGTGGTGAAGGAACCTCTAATAGAGGAGTCTCCTAATTGAACTACATTTCCCAGAACTCTATGGGGAAAGCTAAGCACCTTAACTTAGTATAAAACCATTTTAAGTCCATTGTGTAGTTACAAACTTTAATATTCTTCATAACTTCTTCAGAAGTGCATATATAAAAATATGTCTGAACAACAGGAAGAAAGTAAGCAGTGTTAACCTCATACCCTCTCTTCAGTAAAACCCGTCACCTATGCAAGAATTCTAGTTCTAAAGTTTTTTATCTTCAAGAAAGGTGCAGAGGAAGGTTTCAGGGGAGTTTTCCAAGAATGGTTGGCTCATCGATAGATGAGGTGAAGCCATGAAGCACACACACGCACCCCTCATTTTCTGCAGTGTTGTTCTTTTAATTTATTACCCAGCCTTCCCAAGTCCCATGGTGGATTGCTGCAATTACAACCATGTTAAAAAGCAGTCTAAAACAATCTGCAGTCACAAAGATAGGGTGGATCTTAAAAATATACATCTCAGGTGTCAAAAGCCAGGGTAAATAGGTCAGTTAGTGAATTCTCCTATCCAGTTAGTGAATGCCCTCAGGAATGAGGCACCACCAACTCCCAACGGGAAGAAGCAGTAAGCAAATGTATTGCTCTTCCTGGTTGCTTGGCTCCTGACTGCCTTTCAATCCCATTTCTCCATTCCCATCTCCTGACCACTGCCCTTCCTTGGTCCAGCCCTCACAATACAACGATGAGAAACCCTTGTGTGGCAACATAAAAGTGAAAGCGTTGTGTAAAGTTCGCAAAATTGTGATAGTTTACCGTTGCCAGCTTTCTAGATGCTCTGCCTTTGTTAAGAGCTTGTCTGTACGTTCAGAAATAACCTGTAGCATATCTATTCTTTGACTGCACCACCTCAAAACGCAAGTGGGAACAGAGAGACATAGCTGTCAACTTACAGATTTGAAAATAAGGGACCAGCAGCCTCGAAAATAAGGGATCAGCAGCCAAAATAAGGGATTTTCCGAACACAGGTATGTTCGACTTCTGAGCCGCTCCGAGCCAAAGACAGAAAGCCCAGCCAGCAGCCAAACGAAGCCTCAAGCGGTGGTTCCCACAGTGCAGCAACCTGGCAAAGGGGATGCAGCAAGGAAAACCACCGTCACCTCTCCGCTGGGAAGCGCTGAGCAAAGGCAAGTCCCCAGGCAACGTGGCCAATTTGATCAGCACAAGGCATGCAAGCTCCACCCCCAGTTCTTAGACTCCTTATTGGGTGAGCAACGCAGCCAAGCAACACAGTTGGAGCCTCCCTCCTCCCTGGCTGACAGGGAGGGAGGGAGAGGAGCTTCTTCCTTTGAAACCCAGGAAATTTAAGGGACATCATCAATCCGGGACAGAAGCGGGACACAGCGCTGGGATAAGGGACTTTCCCACCAAATAAGGGACGGTTGACAGCTATGCAGAGAGAGTATGCATGGGTGCTGCTCTACATTGAAATAGGTAAAAGTGGTGCTGTGGTCTTGCTGATCGGAAGGTTGGCAGTTATCGAATGGAGCATGAGAGAACAGGCCCGCTATTCTGCCTAAAAAAAAAATAAAAATCTGTTAGGATCTTACACCATGCCACCTCCGGGATTTCCCTGACAGATTTTTTATTAGGTGGGTTAGTGGGTGTGAGGACACCTGCAACTGGTATACGGAAGCCCTCGCTACACCCTTTTTACCAGCTATTCTGCGGCCTCTCTATCAGGATACAAGCGAAGAAGGGGGAGCGTGGCTGGTAGGGAGACAGGCATAGGGGCTAGGGAATACAATGGATTATTTTCCAGCTGTACTTTTTGCGGCTTGCTCACCAACAGAACCACTGTTGGTTCCGGCATCCTTCCTAGAGCTGCCAGACTTGTAATTTCTGGAGTTCTGAAAGAAAGGTTTGGCCCAAAAGCACCTCACATAGGAGTGAAAGCCGGAACAACGCTCGGATTCCCGAGATTAGCGGCATTAAAGGCTCCATTGTTCCAGGCTCCCAGCAAACCCCGCGGGCCACCTTTTGGGTGGGCTTTTGCGTTTTTGTGGGGTCATCCTTCTTCTCCACCTGGGGGGTGACCCATAACATCCAGGCATGAGGCTCTTTCACATCCCACCTGGAGGTGGATATTTCCGCAGCCTTTTCCCTAAATGCCTCATCATATTCTATGGCGTTGCTTCACCAGCCATTGCCTTTGCGGTTAGGATATTACATTGGTAATTAAATGAATGCCAGCCCTGGTCAAGGTAGGCTACAGCAACTACCCCAGCATAGACTGAAACCACTGCTCACCGAGGAGGTACGGTAAACATCCATTCTGACCATATATACAAGCCACTAATTATATAGAAAAGCAGGAGTCATAGAGTTGGAGAGGAGCTTATAGGCCACATTCCAAACTCCTACTTGGTGCATGAAATGTAAAGCTAAAACAATCCTCAATAGATGGTTGTCCAGTCTACTGGAAAACCTCCACCAATTCAAGGTAATAATTGGTTCTGTTGTTGAACTATTGTTGTTGTTTAGTCGTTTAGTCATGTCCGACTCTTCGTGACCCCATGGACCAGAGCATGCCAGGCACTCCTGTCTTCCACTGCCTCCCGCAGTTTGGTCAGACTCATGTTTGTAGCTTCGAGAACACTGTCCAACCATCTCGTCATCTGTCGTCCCCTTCTCCTTGTGCCCTCCATCTTTCCCAACATCAGGGTCTTTTCCAGGGAGTCTTCTCTTCTCATGAGGTGGCCAAAGTATTGGAGCCTCAGCTTCAGGATCTGTCCTTCCAGTGAGCACTCAGGGCTGATTTCCTTCAGAATGGAGAGGTTTGATCTTCTTGCAGTCCATGGGACTCTCAAGAGTCTCCTCCAGCACCATAATTCAAAAGCATCAATTCTTTGGCGATCAGCCTTCTTTATGGTCCAGCTCTCACTTCCATACATCACTACTGGGAAAACCATGGCTTTAACTATCCGGACCTTTGTTGGCAAGGTGATGTCTCTGAACTATAGGCACTATCAAAAAGTGTCTTCTAATGCTCAACCAAAATATTATGCCCATATAAAGCTGTTTGCCACAAAAATCTGTATTGCTTTTTGACTGTCAACAGTCTACCACTGGGTTTCCCAAACGGGTCTCCAGCTGTTTTTGGACTACAATTCCCATCTTCCCTGACCATTGGTCCTGCTAGCTCGGGATGATGGGAGTTGTAGTTCAGAGACAGCTGGAGACCAAATTTGGGAAACCCTGGTCTACCCACTTGGAATTTGAACTCACAAATTCATTCCCTTTTCTCTGCATTTGAATATTTTTTACTACTATTATGCCCCCCAGTGAAGTGATTCTATTCAATGTAAAGCAATATAGGCAAAGGAGACCTAGATAGTTTTTCTTCAGTGATAAGTGTTACCTGTGTAGCCTCATAATTACTTTCAGCAAATCAGCCAGCCCTGTGATACTCATCTTTCTTAGGCATATAGTTTTCCAAATTCTCAACTTAGTGATCAGCTTAGTGATATGTTGAAAAATAAAGGATATAGCACATGGTGGGCTCTGCGTGTTGGGGGGGTGAGGGGGAAGCATCCTATTCTCTGTGTCTATCCACGGGTTCCTTCTAGATCCCTCGCAGTTCATTAGGAGGTTGCTCAATTTATTAGAAACCAATCATGCATTCATACATTCTTCCATCTGAAGTGCACTTTTAAATGTTAGACTATACACTAATCAAGTTGAACATGATAATGAGAGCACGTTCACATTGTTAAGGTAAATGATCCAATGCACTCATAGTGAAGACTTATTTGAACTACAATTGGAGCTTTTCATTGCAATATTGAACATTCTGGGGAACTTGGAGTGCGTTGTTTGGTGGCTGACTTGCAAATGTCTGATTATCATTATCTTGCTGGCGGTGGGTTGGCCATTTCACTCCTGCTTTCGGTTGCTTTTCTAGGAGTCATTAGAATTTTATGGCAAATTGGGAACTGGATTCTAGATGTTATGAATATTAATGCCCTTCCTTTTCTTACAAAGGCAGACACAAATATTTATTTATTTACGGCACAATCCTATAGATCGTTGCTTAGAGCTAAATCCCATTTTCAGTGGGGCTTGCTCCTGGGAAAGTGGGTATGGTGTCACAGGCTTGTTTCTTTATTTCCATTGATTAATAATCTGCTTCACTGTATAGAGCAAAGGTAGATTGTTTACATTTTTACATCTTCGTATTTAAAGCAACAAGAACAAGATGCCTTCTTAAGAGGGAATGGGTAAAATCTCAGCTTTGCCAACTCCTAGGGGCCAAGGCTGGGCCCCCCAAAGTGGATGGGAATTGCCATTCCAGTGGACCACGTTATGTGATTGATTAGGCAGGGTTGGGAATACCTGCCTCCCCCCCCTCCAATATTTTATTCAAGTTGGTACCCCTGTGGCAGACAACTGCCATTTTAGGCCCTC